GAAAGGGAAAGGGAAAGAGAAGATAAAAGGAAAGAAAGAAGAGGAAGAAGAAGAAAAGAGGGAAACGGGGGCAAAGGGCTTTTGCCTCGTCCCCCCGCCCCCCGCCAAAAAATAAATAAGAGAGAGAGAGAGAGAAGGAAAGGGAAAGAGAAGAAAGAAAGAGAAAAACGAAAAAGAGGGAGAATAGGAAAGAAAGGAAAAGAAAGAAAAGAAAGGAGGCAAGAGCCCTTCGCCCCTGTTTCCCTCTTTTCTTCTTCTCTTTCCCTTTATGGCGGGAGGGGGGAGGGGGAGGTAAGAGCCTTTCGCCCTTCCCCCGTTTCCCTCTTTCCGTCTTCTTCTTCTTTCTTTCCTTTTATATTTTCTTTCCCTTTCCCTTTCACTTCTCTCTATCTCTCTCTCTCCTATTTATTTGTTGGTGCGGGAGGGGGGAGGAGGCAAGAGCCCCTCTTTTCTTCTTATTCTTCTTCCTTTCCTTTTTTATTCTCTTTCCCTTTCCCTTCTCTCTCTCTCTCTCTCTTATTTATTTTTTGGGCGGGGGGATGTAAGAGCCCTTCGCCCCCGTTTCCCTCTTTTCTTCTTCTTCTTCCTCTTCTTTCTTTCCTTTTATCTTCTCTTTCCCTTTCCCTTTCCCTTCTCTCTCTCTCTCTGATTTATTTTTTGGCGGGGAGGGGGGGGGGAGTGAGGAGGAGGCAAGACCCTTCGCCCCCCCCCCCCCCGTTTCCCTCTTTTCTTCTTATTATTCTTTCTTTCCTTTTATCTTCTCTTTCCCTTTCCCTTTTTTCCTTCTCTCTGTCTCCCCCAGCTAGGGCTGGTTTTGTTTCGAAGCGCCCGTCAGGAGAGTACACGATAGAGTACACGATAGAGTACACGATAGAGTACACGATAAAATTGACGATATCGTGAACTTTATATCGTGAACTTTTCACGATAAAATTCACGATATCGTCAATTTCATCGTGAAAAGTTCACGATAAAGTTCACGATATCGTCAATTTCGTGAATTTCTTCGTGAAAAATATGCGATAAAATTGACGATATCGTGAATTTTATCGCATATTTTTCACGATTTAGTCTATTCGCGATGTCCCTTCAGGGCCACCATAGCATCCAGCTACACGAGCCACCAGACATACTTCAGGAAACTCCTTCATCCAATACTCCACCCGCACCATTAATTAAACACTCTTACATTCCACGTATACCATCAAGGACGGGAACTCACTACCCCCCCCCCCCCGACATCCAAATGACCTAAACATCGACACCTTCAAACTGCAAGCAACCAGCTTTTTCCGCAATCAAGACTCAAGCAACAAGGACTAAAATAAGCTACAGTGCGCACCCCTCATCCTTATCGTTTGGTTCCTAACGGGACGTTGAGGAGTATAACATTGAGTTGTTTTACATATCCCGCTCCCCCAGTGACATACAAATAGAGATTGTCCATGAAATACCATTTTTCCATCGTAAAAATGTGACTATTTTCGAAATTAGTTCGCTTCGCTTCCTAAACCAAAAACCGCGCACTCCTTTTTTAAAATAATTTGTTATACATTCAGTTTCAAAGAACTAACAGAATCGATGGTGTTATAGTGATATTAAAAATTTTAAAAATATATATATAATTTTTTTTTTTCCTTTTCGAGATCTAAAAAGTAAATGTGTAATCTCGATCGCTAGCCGAAAAGATAATATTCAATTGTAAGAACCTTTCGGACTGTGTGGATAATATTCCTCTTATTTCATTAGAATAGCGCGTTTTGGGGAGGAGCCATTAAGAAGGATTTCATTCAATAAAAGATGTGTATTACAGGTAAATTACATTTTAATACTATTATAAAGTTATGGCCATGACATTGATCTCAATCATCCACAATGGACTTCAATGATTTACAGTTACTTATTGTACATTTTATGTTGACTATAATTCTTTTCTCATCTCTTCAGCGAACAAGACTCCCTCACTGGCCTCACACTCCCATCGGAGCTCTCTCCAGACTTTGACGATGTTCCAGAAGACACCTCATCCAGGCAACATGAAAGACTCCAGAAACTACGCACCTGGTGGTCCAAGAAGGCACCTTCTGCATGTATAACCTTTCCAACCCTGAGCGATAGCAGCGACAGCGATGATGACTTCGATGATGATGATGTAGAAGACGTGATCTTCCCCAGCGCCCGATGTCGGGTTATGCGCGTGGTCGGTAAGCTTTCCACCATCCAAGAAAATGTCGAAACGATTTACCGTGCAAGATATGGACCTATTGACTTGGAAGATATGACATGTGCTATTAATCTTCGTGGTCAGAGAATCGAATCCCTGGATGACATCCGATGGGGTCAAGTGATGCTAATCAACTCGGTGGACATCCTCCAGTCCAAGATCAGTATGGTTCGAAGACTCTTTCTAGCCTATAAGATGAACATGTCGAAATGCAAGTCAGATCTAAACCAAGACGACATGAACCAAGAAGAAGAGGTTTGTCTTATATCAACACAATCTAAGAAGAGAGACAAAGTGGTATCAGAGTCAGGGTTTGCAAGCAAGCGACACAAGATTGTTCGTTTGATCACCCCACAACATCACCGAGATGTGATTTACAGGTTCTGCTCCCTGTTTCTTTACCTGATCAAGCCGAGTTTGTTTCCTGACAGGCAAAGTGAGATTAAAAAGAAGGTATTGCTAGAGGATGCATTCAGTAAGATTAGGATCATCGGGTTGCAAGACTGTTTGAATGACGATAGTTGGAGCGTTTTGGATAGGTGCCACCTTCCTAGCCCCAGCATTGTATCAAGGTGCATCAACTTATCGACTTTCTTTAATATGACTTCGCAGGATGATCAAAGTCCAATCAGAACAGTGACATCAGAGTGTGACGTCGCACAATCTCCGTCGTCGATGATATCGCAATATCAGGACATCATCAACTTCTTCAAGAACACGGCTCTCTTCTGCGCCTACATCTTCAGAAGGCTGAAAGTTTTAGAACAAGAGCTATGTGTAGCGAGCAAACACTTCGGGGAGATGAGAGACAAACGAATTAAGAATTGCAAACCATTGAGTGATGGAGATGAGCTTCTTCGTCGGGTGATGATGAAAGGTGAGGCAGTTCTTGAGATGAATGAGATAGCTCATACAAGTGCGAGTCCCGAGGAATGCCGCGCTAAGCGATTCATGATCAAAGGTATTCTGCGCATCGAAAAGAGAGCAGAGAATCTGATGTATCGGTTTGCTAGCTGGCGACGCTCCAGGGAATTCCCCACACCGAGAAGAACCAACAACCAATACCAAGATGGAATGAGAAAGACCAAACCAGAGCCGATGGAATCTAGGGTATTCTACAAAACGACTTTTAATGGGTTAATTATTAAAAGATTCTGCATTGCCAGAGATTCATTAGTCAGGAAAGCATTCAGTCGATCAACTATAGGATTAAATGATGCTCTCCTGGTCGCGAGTAAGCCGCATTTTAATTCAACATCGAAACAAATGCGGTCAATGCGATTTAAAGGAAATTCAATAATTTAGTGCCATGTAGTTTAAATAATAATGCTTAATCGAAGACGTTGAGTACTGTACTTGAGATAAAATGTAATTAAACAAGACGTGACTAAACGAAACGCTATTGATTTAATCTATTTTGCTTCTTCGAAAAAGTTTATGAGAACCATCTTAAAATATGAAAGAGGGAAACGATTCTAATCTGAATGACACTGCTGAAAGGAAACGAGAAGCATAATGAGTACCGGGAAATATTCGGATAATAAAAGGGAAGTTTCCCATCGACAACTCTTTCTGGAATATTTTAACCAAAACAAATACATACACAAAAATACTCTCATACCCACCCACACTCACAGGGACTCACTTGTCTATTTACTTTCCATTTAAAATTTGATATACCCCCTCTAAATATCACCCTCCCTTCATTCTATCTCTTTCTTTATCACTTTCTAGCTTTCTCCCCCATCTCGCTATATCGAAATCCTCCAGAATGAAAGTTAGTGAAAGTTTTGGATGATTTTTTTTTTCTGACGTTGATGGGTAAACTTATAATAAACAAATATTCGATCAAAGTATTGCCTATGCTTCACGCTTGGATGAGTATTTTTTGTAATTTATAATTAATTCGTTAATAATATTTATTCATATTTAGATGTAATAGATAGATTAATGAATAAATAAAAAATAAATTGCAAAATTTAGAAGAATTTTAGTTGTTGCTTTATACTAGAGATTAACAGTAATTCTGAATTGGATCAAAAATCTCTGTCATGCGGCAATTAAATGTGTTTTGTTAGCTGCAGATTGAAAAATAAAAAATATATATTTTCAAGCTTTATTCAATAACTTTCGAATTTATTTTACAAGACCCTGAACCGGATAAATTTGATTATAAGGAAGCACGTTCATTGGTTAACATGAATGTAAAGATACTGTCTAGTGCAACGTAATATGGTCAAGATACATATTGCTGCTAGCAATATGTATCTTTATTCAATAACTTTCGAATTTATTTTACAAGACCCTGAACCGGATAAATTTGATATATAAGGAAGCACGTTCATTGGTTAACATGAATGTAAAGATACTGTCTAGTGCAACGTAATATGGTCAAGATACATAATTATTGCTGCTAGCCGCGAGGGGGCGTATCCTACAATAATTATTAGGTAGAGTGGGCGGGGCAATTTTGAAGCTAACAGAAGGAAGCACATTACCTTTGTATCATCTTATTCTTCTACCTGGAAATACAAGAATTCCAAGTCAAGAATACTTGATACGATATACATCACTGGTCTTAGCTAGGTTCGTCATCGGTACTTCAAACGAAATCGTAAAGATACACGCGGGTTACCCAGACAGTGAGTATTAAGACTGGTATGTCCAATCCTCTGTATTCCATGCATTCCAGTACCTTTATCATTACCCACTAGTCCATATCATCCATCTCAAATCGCACACCCTAAAAAGTGCTTTCATCCCTAAATAAAGCTCATTTGCATGACAATCACTGACGACTCACTCTCATTGCCATCTGCATGCAGTGAGAGTAAAATATACGGTGATAATATACTTGAATTCCCTTCCGTCTTGGCAAACTATATACTATACAATTGCAGTTTGTTTGTCTATACCTGACGGGAGACCGTTTTCTCTCCATTGTTTCTTTCGATTGTGGTTGTCTTTCAACTATTGGTACTCTGCTCCGTCGCGACTTTTAGAAAACCAATATAGAAAGAAGCAGTGTGTATTCTTTCACAAAGGAAACGTCTCAGTGGAAAACTCAGATTGATAGACCGCGGTACCAGGTAGGATGAATTTTGTTTTTCACAAGTAACAGTATACTAGATAAGAACACGTTGTTGCAAATTCGTTAATGTATGCACGGGCGAAATGATTGCTTACTCAATTAATGATATTTGTGTGTTTATATCATTTTGACTTGGATTGAGTTAGTTTAATTCACAATTCTTATTAACATGAATTACGTTGAGGGGACCAACATGTAGTTACAGACAGTCCTTAAGTTTGTACTCGTTTTCTACATATATATTTTTTGATTGGAGTTAGAATACTGTAGTGCATTTAGCTAAACAGTATGCATATTTTATCATTGCATAATCATGTATTGTTATTGCTATCAAAAGGTAGATAAAAAGGTGGATTGGCAGTCCTGTAAAAAGTGGATAATAATTCTTTAACAATCTCTTTCATAATGTTAAGGACATGTACAGTGAAACCTGTCTATAAAGACCACCTGGCCAATTAAGGGAGACAAGAAAAGTGGTCTTCATAGGCAGGTGGTCTTTGTAGACATGTGTCTATAGTACATATTTCAATGACAAAACTTTTCAAGGGAAACAAAAAAAATGTGATCTTTGTATAAAGGTGGTCACTAAAGCAGATTCGACTTAACATAGAAAGATTGGTAAATAATCGATGTTTAGAAAATTACTGGTTTTCATGCACGATTAATCTACACAATGTAACATTTTGCTAAAATTAAGTTCAAAACATCCGATCAAGACAGAAATTAAATTTGGATAGGATTATGCATGGTCTCAGGATAAAAGGGGTATGGGTACTTTATTTATAGACGTCGTAGATTTGCATTTAGAGGAAGTCTTGGGAAAAATAGGAATAAAGCGACTTTGATCGAGTGGGAATTAGCCATGGTAAGACGGGGGTTCATTCTAAACAAATATTTACAGACGATTTAGTGGGAATAGTTATTGTTAGAGATGCTTTTCTTCAGAGTGAAATAACAACACCGTTTTAAATCTCTTTCCTTTTATTGATTAAGGGACTGGAAACCTTTCTTTGAATCGGGATAGTGCAGCGTGGGTTCAGTCATGGGGGTGGATACCAGTATTTAGAAGTTGAAAAGTTTCGCGCCTCCATCCCAAATTCATCAAATTGAGGATTTGTTTTCCATCCCGTCTATAAACATAGACGTACTGCACATTTTCGATCAAAGGCCGTGAACTTCGTGAAGCCTGAAAATATACTATCCGGATCCGAAATATTGCGAGTGAATTTTTTGGGCGCATTTTTTTAATTGGCAAAAATGTTATTGAATTATCAGTATACACTAGATGAAATAAAAGATTATATATTCGGTCATCTCTTTGCCACGAATCATTCTGCGTTATCAAGCTTGTTAGATGTAAAGCAAACAAGGGTAACAAAAGACAACGAGGTGGTCAAATATCATCATATGGGGACTATCGATCCGTTGTTCCTTTAGAGTTTGAAAGTATTTGAAAATATCGTACATGTATTTTAAAGTGAAACGGACACATAATTATATAGCTCTGTCTCGATCTTTTCCCGTAAAAATATCTTCTATCTTCAACTGCTATCTCCATTTCTTTTTCTTCTCTGCTGTACGCTACATTAAGTATGCAGATCGGATCATCCCAAAGCATTTTCCGATAATCGCACCTCCTACAACAGATTTCACTTTAATACTCATTGTGTTTGTCCACACGTTACTGGTTCATGTATTATGATATTTGAAGAGCGTTTTTGAGCAATTAATCTCCATATTATGTTACATTCTTTGTCCCTTTTCTTCATGTATCCCCTCTCTCTCCGCTTTTTTTTTGGCCATTCGATTAGGGGGGGGGGGGGGGGTAGTGCCCTCCTGTGTCCCACCGGTGTGGGATCCTTATCATTCATGCACGCTTCATGCAGTCCTTCTTTTCCTACAGCTATATGATTTATGTATACCTCCCATTTCCTCTCTCTCTCTCTTTTTTACTCTCTTCATCTTTCTCTCCCTTTCCCACTTATACTAGCTTCTCTCTCACTTCCACTCTTGCTCTTATAATGCATGGGCCTATACGGAGGTAGGCCTACATGTAATACTGCATGCTCTATTACTCCCCGTTCTTCCTCTTTCTTCCGTGTCTTTGACTTTGCCTGGGGCTAGCTCTACCCCGTTTCTCTCCCCCTTTCTCTCTCGCTCCCTATCTAGCTCTCTCCCTCCCTATCTAGCTCTCTCCCTCCTTTTTTCCTACCAAAGGAAGAAACGTGTTATCAAACATCTCAGACCATTTCCAGCGCTCTCGATCTCCATCTAATGTTATGCACTATCACTTAAACATTTCTCTTTAATATGTCCCGACTATAACTAAGTTTGCGTGGATATCCTATAATTCCCAGGAATTTTTATCGATCCTATATTTGCTCTTGTGATACCATCCTCCAATGATATCTGCTCATGGGTTAATTTTCATAGAATATAATATGTATTAGTATTGGGTGAAGGGTTGTAATTAGGAATTCGAACTGCGTTAAAACTTGACCTCCAATCCCTTTTTTAAAAAAATCCACATCTTTCCTCTTCTTGATTTTCCGATTCTTCGGCCTCGATCTTCCTCGATTTCCACCTGCTCTCTTTATCCCGTTCTCATCATAACCTCCTCCTCCACCTCCTTTTCCTTCTCTTTTCCTTCCTCCCCATCTGCCTTCTATCCTTCTTTTCTGCCTGCTCCGGCCCTCTCCACCAACTTCTCTTCCTTCTACTCCCTTGCCTCTTTATACTCTTTTCTCTACCACACCACACTTGTTTACTATTGATTTTCTTTTTATGACATTGATTTTCAGATTGAAACTGATTGTCCCAGTTGGAGTATGATGATTCCTGCAAAATAAAGTAGCTTTATTACAAGGTTAGGATACTTTTTAAACAGTGCCGATACCAGATACAATAGTCATAAGTCAATGGTAGACTTTTCTGAACAAAGGCTCATACAATATGGTAAAGTAATTCCCGATTAGAAATATGAAAGAAATGTTGAAAAAAAACTCAAACTCAAACGTGAGTTTCGTTCGAATGCAGTCTGTTCATGCTTTGTATATTTCATGTTGCAGTTTTTTTTTATTTGACATTAATTGTTTCACCTTCTTTGATGATTATCTCATTATTCTTGATTACATGTTTTCTTTCTTCAAATAATATAGAGCCAACAACGTACATCCTACAGGTGGTTTTATCAACCCTAACTCTTTATCTGTTCACTCATTCAAAAGACTGTAGAGATAAATTACTCTTATAAATGTATGTTTTTTTTTATAAAGTGCTAAACTGTACAATAATCAAAATATATTTATGTCAGATATGCAAATTCTATTCACGTGTATTATGGCAGGATTAACTATGGACGTGGACAAGATTCAAGCAATCATCAAGAAGAATGGTATCTCGACCATTCGCTATGAGATGCCTGATGTCTATGGCATCTCTCACTGCCGTCTCTACCCGGCTGCATCCTTCTCCAGAAGATCTTCTGACGGTGTCAAGTTTAGCATCAGCACCTTAATGTCCTCTGATCCTCAAGGAAACCTAGCTACAGGCACTGGGTACGGAGAAGAGATCGGCTTCAGCAACTGTCTGGCATTCCCTGATCTGGAAACCTTTCAAGTTGTCCCCTGGGCAAAGGCCACTGCTCGAGTGTTGATGAATCCTACGATCGATGGCCTCCCTGTCGTAGGTTACCCAAGGTACGTGGCACGTCTGCAGATTGCAAAGCTCAATGCTGTTGGTTACACACTGCTTTCCACAAACAGATACGAGTTTTACGTGGAGAACGCAGCAGAGAGGAAACCGATCTTTTCTGGGAGGAACTTTGGGGCCACTGTTCGATTGCCTAAAGCGGAAGGCATCCTGGAGCCACTCTGTGATTATCTACCTCAAGTGGGGTTTGATATCTTAAACATGGATACAGGACATGGACCTGGACAAATTGGGATGGCCTATCAACCAGCATTTGGACTAAAAGCAGCTGATAATGCATCTAAATTTCGAACCTCTACTAAGGAAATTGCTTTGAGGAATTCTCATATTGCTAGCTTCATGACAAAACCATACACAGATGGTAGCGGGTCATGCGGACACTTCATTCATTCCATCTGGGATACGAAACGGAAGCATCCAATGCTGTTTGACAAGGAGCATCCTACAGGGTTATCAAAGAATGGTCGTCATTGGGTAGCAGGGATTCTATCTCATGTTCCAGGTCTAGCCGTGTTGATGTGTCCGACCATCAACTGCGTGAAGCGCTTTGAACCAAACCAAAAAGCTCCAGTCAACGCAACGTGGGGTTATGATAACTGTAGTACAGCTGTACGGGTTAGGATCATGGGGGACCGTGGGACGTTCATCGAGAATCGGCTTCCAGGAAGCGGCTGTAACCCTTACATTGTCATGGCAGCAACCATAGCAGCAGGCTTAGATGGTATCGCCAACAAACTCCCGCTGCCGCCTCCAGTGAAAGGTGATGTGATGGACGAGAAGACACTACCTCAACTCACAACTGAAATTCCTAATAACATCCATGATGCCCTGAGTGCTCTTGTAGCTGATACTGTTCTCTGTGATGCCCTCGGGGATGAGTTCATCAACTGTTTCCTCTCCTTGAAGCAGCAGGAGGATCGACTGATGACCGAGGCAATGGCCTCAGGAAACAAGGACTGGGAATATGGTTACTACTTTGAATACATGTAATGAGACCTGTACATGTGGTTTCCTTGGTAATGTGGATTTTTCCACAGCTGCTTTCATTTTTTACATTCAAGAATATATTGATATATTGTTGGTTCACAAGATTGCAGCCTTTGTGTACTGGTACATTAGATGAACCAGGGAGATGAACGAAGACAAATTACACTATATTTTTAATGAAAATATATATTTAAAAATGTGGACAATTTGTAATTTAATGTATCTTTCTTAAGGTGGAAGAATTTCATTTTTGTCAAAGCCTCTTTGAATGTAACATGACTCTAATCTGAGTTTTTTTCCAGAACTTTTTCTCAATTATTTTTCATCACATGATCTCTTGTCAGTAATGTGACCCCATTTACTGCAATTGTAAATTAAATGATTGTGTTTCCTTGATGTCCCACTCCCAACACTGGGCCACCATCAACTAGAACATCCTTAAAGGTGTCACAAATCTCAGGTTCACAACCACTCATATATACTTTCCAAAGATAATAATGGTTTCATTTTGCAGTTAAGGTAGATTCACCACCGTGTAAAGTTTTATGAGAAAGAAGCTCTGGTCTATCTAACGTTCTTACAAAGAAACAAAATGTATGTAGTGTGTCTCCTTGCACTTTGAAGTCAGGATGGTGCCTGTTAATATAGTTTATTTTTTATTTTATTGTTGTTTATTATAGAGATCAAATATAGATTTTTTAATTGGGATAAAATGGATTAAAATCAATGTGAACTGATGGTAAGAGCCACTGGAACCAGTCCTTCTTTACACATAAATGTATTTGTATAAACAAATTTGTGAAATATTGAACTGGACTTGTCATGCCAAAAAGAGATTTTAACTCTTAGAAAGTTTTGGTGTCAAATAAGTGTATTTTACTTACAACATTGTCAAATTATTGATAAATTGCATTGTACATGTACTAGTACTGTTTGTATTGTCTTATGATTTGTATCAACAGATATATAATCAATTGTGAATATACACTCAATAATAACATTAGTTTTTGTTGGACTTATTCATTGTGTCAGAAGTGGTATATTTGTAATATCCTTTTTAATCCATTTCATTGTTCAAGGGTAACACTAGTACTAGACATTGGAGAATCATATATCCTTTGCTGTCATCTAGCATTCTGACTGGAAGCTTTCCATTACTACCCCTGGGGGGTGTTTCACAAAGATCCTAATTGAACTTATCTCTAAGTTGGACTTAAACTGTTAGCATATTTTCTATCATCAAGGAGATTTCATGTTCTTGATGTGGAATTTATCAAAAGTCTAAAATACTTGAATTTCCGCTTAGAGTTAAGTTCGACTTAGGATCTTTGTGAAACACCCCCCCCCCCAGGAATTTAAAACACTGAGACAGAACAAACAAAACTTTAAGCAATTAATCCCATTTCAAATATTGTATTTATTTCTACTCTAAATATATATTTTTTAAACAGATAATTATATCTACTTCTCGAGCAGAATGAATATACCATTTCTCAACATTCCTCATCCTATATACATACAATATAAAGTACATGTTCATAAATATTAAAATGTATTTACACGAATCGATTAAGAAATCATCGTTGAACAATCAACACAAAGATATTAGAGGAATTACAGGAAGGAGAGTTGGAGCATGAAGGTAAAGGGGTAACTTTTGGCATCAAGATACCAATAATGAATATTCTTTCTAACTCCTAAATACTTGTGAATGTATTGTAGCATTGTAACATTTGGACAAAAAGCTATCTTTATCTTACATACAGTTTTACATGCATTTTATATCTTGTACAGCAATGTGATGATGGTTGCAACAAATTACTTCTTTAAACATCCCATTATGTTAATACATGTACTTAGTAAGAGGAAATGATATAGCTTTAAAGATGTACATCGGGCAGTATAAAGATAAGATAAGAGTATTTCACATGCAATGGTTTGTGAGAAAATAATGAAAGGGTATTCAACATGTTTGAATAACATGATATATTTTTAAAACCACCTACATGTATTGCTGTGAGCTACTAGCATGCACACTAAAAGAACAATTATATATAGATATTAAAAGGAGTGAACAAAAGCATGATGGCTAATCAGAAAAATACCACTCCTATTTAATGAAAAACAAATATCAACTGAAATATCCTACAGCATGGTAGAGAATGAGTAAAGTGATCAACAACTGCAAACCATCATACCTAACAACTAACCATCCCACTTTCCCTCTAGACACTGGGGAGAGGTTCAGGAATATAAATAATAAAACAGGGGACAATCAGCTGGGTTCTAAAAAATGTCAAAATATTGCTACAATCTGTTACTGTGCAGATTTTTCCGGACTTTACTAGGTATGGGATTCTGCAGAAAGTCACCATAATATGATCATAAAGCTAGTGCTAACAGAATGCCGTTCCCATCTCCAGAGGTGGACTTTCCCAGGTGCGCTCTCCTTCTCAGTTCTGTAGAACTTTTCCATATTTGAATATTAGCATATAGGTCACATGACACAATGCATTACTGCATGTATTGCCCACTTTCCAGGCATCCAGTATACCTGCTGAAGTCAGCTGAAGTCTGTTAACTGCACTTCTGTAGAAACAGATTGGTAACATTCTCATAGGGGTTACTTTCCTGGTAGACAAGACTGTTACTTCCCGGGTCTCCGGTAGAAACACACTGACTTTGTGTTGGGAGTGCTGAATGGCATACATGCAGGAGATATTATTGATACCTAGTTCATTACTCTATGGTAACATAGCTGCAATCACCGATGTCATGTTGGTTTGTTTTGATTGACAAAGAGTTGGATGATATGAGGCATGTGAAGAAGCTTCTCTCTGATGTGACTGGGTAACACTGCATTTCTACCATAGCTGCAGGAAAAAAACAGAAAAGCACACTAGAAACATTAAAACTTATGACTAATTATATTAAGAAGAACGATAAATATTGTTGAATAGGAATCAAGTTATACGGTGATGCACTTTGTTCAAACAGGACCGCTGAGTAGTTGATTTGAAATAATCAACTATTAAGAAATAATGCAGTCATTTCCATAACAACTTTTATGAAGCTCTTCTTGGGGTCATATTAAAAAAGTACCCACACCATACATGTTAGTCTTCTCTAATGGTTGAATTATACATGACATTGTCTGAAATATTGTTAGCAGAATGAAAAATATAAGAACAATGATATTATCATACAATAGATATCAAAGCTTTTGCACACTTTTGAAAGCAATATGTAAATTGTATTTGTTGAACTGACTCAAGCTTTGAAACTAGGTGTAATTCTCTCCAAATTCAATGATTAGGGAATATATTTCCATGCCGTCTTTTGCTTTTGACATCTTGGTACCCATCACATACTTCACTGATTTTAGATGACATATAGTAGAGGATGCTAGACTGACCTTTGACCTTTGCCCTGTGAGTCCATGTATTTGATGGTAGATGTAGTAGCATGGACTAGGATCATTGAACCATCGTTATACTGTACTCTAACCTCACCAGAACTCATCTATAAGATAAGAATACATCACAGGTTAATATCAGACTATTAATATGTAGTAGCATGGACGAGGATCATTGAACCATCGTTATACTGTACTCTCACCTCCCCAGAACTCATCTATAAGATAAGAATACATCACAGGTTAATATCAGACTATTAATATGTAGTAGCATGTAGTAGCATGGACTAGGATCATTGAACCATCGTTATACTGTACCCTCACCTCACCAGAACTCATCTACAAGATAAGAATACATCACCGGTCATTATCAAACTATGCACTCCAATAAAATATAAAATAATATATTAATATATCATTATTTCCATGTGGTTAATGTAATTTACCTATTTTTATGAGTCTATGTATTTCATTTTTCTCTTCTCATTCTGTAGTTTTGTAAAGGCTGGTACTATTTAGTTTTTAGTGCTCCAAAATAATCAATATGAGAGAAAGAGAGAGAGAGACAGTGAGAGACAGTGAGAGAGAGAGAGAGAGAGAGAGAGAGAGTGAGAGAGAGAGAGCGAGAAAGATTGAAAACTGACTCTTGAAATTTTACTTTAAATACCTGTAAATATACTTCTAAGCACTGTAAGTTTGAATCACAAATTACCATTATATCCTTCTGTTTCAAAACTGATGGAAAACTAGTTTTAAAACTGATGTAAATATAGATTGTTATCTGAGTCTATTACCTGTGATGCCCATCCAATGTTTGGAACAAAGACGCTCTTAAGTACTCCATCCTTACCCTCAGGATGGGAGGAGGCTTGGGATGTCACTTTACAAGCCTCTTTGGAACTACCACCTGAAAGTAAAAGGAAGAAATGTTTGCTTTGAGATGATGAAAATAAAGCCACATAACAGGATGCTATTTTAATTTTGATTTAAATTTTCATGTCATCTATGCACATCTTGATATCATTGATATATCCTGATATTTTAAACTGTTAAATATATGTAAATATTTTTACAATTCGGCAACGTGCCCCAATGGAAATATTACAATAACATGGGATTCAATTTATTTGCAATATAAAAATCAAAGTATACAGTAACAATAAATTTTGATTGGATTTGATTTGATTTGATTTATTTATTTCTGTTTGATTTTCTTTTTTCTTTTGAATTTTTACAAATATTGCAAATTTACACATGACAAAAGAATATATGTAGAATAAAGTAAGGCTGGGTGTAACTAATCGAGAACATCAAACAGGAGGGTTGACAAAATAAGCAAAGCTTGATAGTATGACTACCCTCAAAGGATACATAATAATACAAATATGGAGGAACAAAATATTGGTAAAAGGGGGAAAAGACAGAAAAAAGAAGAGAAAAGAAAGAGGGGATGCACATCAATATTCACAGACTTATGTGGTAGTTAAATTACAAAGGTTATATGCGGGGCTTTCCATGAAGGTTACGAAAACCTGTGAAGTTGGATTGAACTGAATTGAATATTTGGCAGCTAGAGTGTTCACAAACCTTTGTCTGTTTTCCTGTGTCTAGTCCTATCCTTGCCCTGTACACTCCTAGCCACACTGCATATAGTACCATCAAAGGAACACACAGAGGCTGTGGGTGCGGCCATTACACTGGGGGAGGTAACAGACCCCTGGGGACACGCCTGGGTGGGGCCACCAGGGTGGGGAGTGGTAGAGGGTGGCACCGTGTTGGTGGAGGTGGCGGTGGTGGCAGGGGTTGTATGAGATGTAGCTGCTGAGGTTCTAATGTTTTTTGATGCTGTCACTTTGTTCCCTTGCTGGTAGGATTCTTGCAATGGCTTCCTATAAAGCATAAAATAATAATACATGAACAAATATACACAATGATTAATACACTGGTTCAATAATTCCTTGAATCAAAATGACGCTTTACGGTACTTCTTCTAATGGCCTGAATCTCTCAAGTTGTAAAAGAAATCTATGTTAAAAATTACAAACAATGAATCGTTTTCTGTTTCATCAGATTTCTCTTAAGATTAAGTTACGATTTATCTATGTAACATTATTCTTAAGCACCATCCAATGATTTTAATATCTTTTACTTGGCTATACAAACTAAAGTGATAGCATACACATACATGCTGAGTGATGATACATCTACTTACCTTGAGAGAATCAGAGGGAAGAAAGGTCCATAGCCATGTCTGGACTCAAGACTAGCAATAGCAGATTCAACATCCACGCAATGCTGTCTCCACTATAATCAACAAATAAAAATACCAGTTGAACCATGATTACTTGGGTCATCACAATCGTACAATACATGCAGAAATGATATCTAAGGATTATTTCACAGCCATTTGAGGTCCATTCAAAAGCAATTTAATGACAAAAAGTGTCACAAAATATTCTTAGAACTAAACAATGAACACTTGATCCAATGCAATTTTAATTCCTTAAATTAAAATGGAATATGATAATGTTACCTATTTTTTCTTCAATTTATCACAAACATGTATGACGTGATATGGTGGTTAGTATTAATACTCTTGCTCCAATATGAAATAGTTAGTCAAAGGGTGGGTAAGGTAGAGGTGTTGTGGACTAGTGAATAAGTCACCCGACTGCAGATCACAAGGTACGGGGTTCAAGTCCCGTCACGGCCCTAATGTCCTTTGGCAAGACGTTAATCTACATTTGCCACTCTCCACCCAGGTGTAAATGGGTACCTGATATGCTTGAGCGCTATTTGGCAGCTCGGCTACGACCAGGGTAATATGTGGCTAGATTAGGTTTGAAAAGGTCGCTCGCCGGGAGTATACTAGTGTGCACGCTGCCCCATATCTGCTGGACCTAGATAGAGGCCATCGGGCAAGGACCGAAACATGGAAAAGTTTTTCATTGTGAATACCGTGAATCCTCTGAAATCTGGTGATTCCAAAAGACCAGCAAATAATGAACCTCGACCAGTAAATCAACCGAAAGCTAAATTTAGTAAGAGGAAACCAGTTGGCGAAGAGGCGACTGTACGGGCTTGGACCAGAAATTTCGTATACAGAGGGAGGAGATCTGACCATTAGCTGCATGTTATAACATGTAAAATTGTAAGAGGGAAATAATGTTGATAACGATGAAATAGCAAAGAATTTAGGAGTATCATGGGTACCACCAATTCAATGGAAATTTGTATTAAAAAGCACCCCCCGTCAGTACTAAAAGAGCCCCCGTGAAAAGGCTCACGGGGGCTCTTTTTTTTTTTTAAGATTAAAAAGCACCCCCCGTCAAATTTGACAAAAATTAATTTGAGCCCTGCTTACACGTATCCATTTCTTCCACTGTGCTCTGTGTCAAATGATACAGAAATGTTCAAATAACACTTACGTCATCATAAACATCAAATGCAGTGGTTTGTTGCATAATTTCAAAACTAGGCGCAAATATCTGGCGAAGCTACTGTTCACATTTAGAACGTATTTACATCCAAATGTGAATGACTGCAATGTAATATATATATATATAAATATATATATATATGGGTCCTAGGATACTTCCCCCCTGGACATCCACCCCCCCCCCCCCCCCCCCCCGGATAACCACCCCCAGTCAACTACCCCCTAGGGGGTAGTTGACTGGGGGTGGTTATTCGGGGGATGGATGTCCAGGGGGTAGGTGTCCGGATACGATAATATCTGTACTCACTGTATAGAAGCTACTGATGATTGGTTTGAGATGGCTAGGTATCTGGTCACTGTTCTGATCAGCGGGAAGCTTGACCGTTTGACCGTTACTCTCAGTAACATCCAGTTCTGCTGAGGTGGCATGAATTTTAGTTCCTAATGAAAAAAATAGATGATATCATTTTGATAGTGGAACATGTTCCCATGATATTGAAAGCTCTCTTTAAATTTGTCTTGTATACTAGATTAAATTAATTATTAGTTCTATTGATCCTACTTATACCAGAAAGATACAAAATTTTATTAACTACAAAAAAATACAGGTATATATTTTATATTGGAATTTTTCTCTTCTTTTCTATGTTTCCTTTTATTTCTTCCTTTTTTTTTTGCATGGCTAACACGAGGGATTCCTAGCTCGAGGTCTCTTGCAACTTACATCAAGGAAGCAAAAAGCAGAAACTATTTAGCACTCTTTAAAAAATTCAATCAACAAGAATTTCAAGATATACACAAATCATAGCTACACTCACCATCATAGAAGCAAGCCTCACAGTCCGCTGTCGGACCGTTCTCCATCAGCATGCACTTAGCATGTGGTGTATAGAAGGTGACCTTGGGGGTCTTAGACCGGACGAGTTGGATGAATCTTGACGCATACTGGTATTTCTTCCAGTACTTGGACGGTAGATCATGGTAACTATGTTTGGTAATACCACTGTCTTGGGGTGGGGATGGAGGGTCATCCATGATGGGGAAACCTTTACCCCCATTGGGCTGGTAGATGGTGACCTGAGAATACAAACACATCATTATTGTAATCATGGTAACTATGCTTGGTAATACCACTGTCTTGTTTTAATAATAATAATAATATTTCGCTTTTATATAGCGCTGAATACAAATGTCTCTAAGCTCTTTACAGATATACTATTACCCCGGTCATCGGATTCAATACTTGCACGCACACATTGTGTGCACAATCTCCACTCCCTGGGGAGCATTCCAGCTAGGCATTACTTGACGCTCAAAAGCTGTTTGACCAACAATGACAATCCCATCCTACCGGGTACCCATTTAACACCTGGGTGGAGAGTAGCAAGTGCAGGTTAATATCTTACCAAAGGATATTAGCGCCGTGTTGGGATTCGAACCCTCGACCTTCGCATCTCCAGTCAAGCGCCTTAAACCACTCGGCCACGACACTTCCACCGTTTTAGTCCAGTCCATTTTAGTCCAGTTCTTAGCTAGTTAGTTTGTATATCATGTGAACCAGTTATACCTTGATTACAGCAATCATACTATGAATTTGGAAAAGACTCCCATATCAAATCATCTTTACTCTCTCTCTCTCTCTTTCTTTAAAATAATTTCTCCCTTCGATAAATTAATTTTGAGGTAGAGATGGTAATCATAAACCATCTAAATAGTAAAAACACGAATTGCAAGATAAGTATGAGAGTCTTAAAGCCCGTCTGTACTAGTTTGGCCAGGGGGATTAGACCTCCCTGCAAGGTCACTGACAGGTGATTATCTCATCAAATCAGCTCTCAATGAACATAAGAAAAAGGGGATCATGGGGGACCAATGGGCACCGATTAGGCATCGTTTGCTATATAGAGGGCGCAAGTAGCTATAAGTAATGCAGTGGGACTTTAACTGATGTTGATGGTAACCTACCTGCATTCCATCTTGTGATATCCTCAAGACTTCTACCACCCTGTCCTGTCCATCTTTGGTCTTCAAGAACTCAAGACACACCTCTCCTCCAAGCATGATGCTCACCTAACAATCAAAGCCATCAAGAAATATGAGCTCTCAAAGACGCGACATGTTTGAAAATACAACACAATTTATGCTGCTTGTAAGTATCGGCTTGCATGGTGATGTAGATGTACAGTAGGCTTGCGGGTGCACCATGTGACAGAGAGAGGAAGGATTGAGAAGTCCTGAAAAGGACTCTCGGTTATCTTTCTTAGCATATAGTTCTAAGGAGAACTATAGCGCTTGGAGAGGATGAGTGGCAGGAGTGACTCGACGTTTCGAACAGGTTGACTATCCGTCGTCAGCCGAGAGTCCTTTTCAGGACTTCTCAATCCTCCCTCTCTCTCTCTCTCACATGGTGCACCCGCAAGCCTACTGTATAACACAATTTATACTGGATAGTGTGTACACTATCATCTTGGTTTTCCTTCTCCATGATATTCTCAAGGACATTGCAAATAATCTAATTAAACACAGGTAGAACTTAAAAATTGTACAAAGTGAGGTGTGAAAAATACAATCACATAAATAAATATCATGAAACTACAGTAGCTCCCTGGATATGAACCATCTTTATGAATAAACCTACTTGAATACAACTATCATCAAGCAATGTCCATCTCGTATTCACTTAATGATATATTATCAGTCTTTAATTAATCTACTATTAAACAAGCTTGACTATTAGTATGTCATTTAAAGAAGTCGGTCCATAGATACAATCTGAACATGGGCTGATAAAGGTTATTTGTACCAAACTTTTAAAACCAAGATGATTACTGAACATGTACGGTACTCACAAAAGATATGTAATCGTTACTCATTTATTCACAGACGGTACATTTTCTGATACACAGGTGGAAGTATTCATCTCAAGAGGGCAAACAAAAGGTATTCATGCAGCACCTTTATCACTTTGGCAGTGATTATTAATGCACAAAGGGGGACGTCTCCATGTATAAAAGATCTCTGGATATTTGGGGCCACTTGTCACATGTGATAACTATGAACTGGTCTATTTTCATAGTAATCCAATATCATACAGACATCTTTGATTGGTTTGATTGCCTTACCACTGCATTTCTTGTTCTTTGCCTGATCGGTCTTAGTCTTGTAGCATTGAGAGGAGGGGTCAAATGAGCTAAGCTCTGAACACCAGCTCCACCCTCCCCCTTACCCCCTCCTCCTCCTCCTCCTTCCCTCTTTTCATGCTTGCGGGTATGTCTCTGCGTCCAATCACTACCTTTGTCTAGGTCATGTGACTTGGATTGACTCCGCCTATGGCTACTCTTTTCTGCAGCCTTGCTGTCCTTATGCAGCGCCCCATCCTGCTTACTGGATAATCCTGCACACGATGCTGGTGATGGTAATGCAGCATGCATACCATGCACGCTAGGATGGTCACTTACAGAGGATTGGGCACTTTGTTTCTTGTCTGTACACTTATCCATTGCATGGTCAGTTCTCACTGTGAGATCCCGTCTCCTATCAGAATCAATATCTGCTTCAGAGAAAAGTCTGTGTTTTGCATCATCCACTCTGTCATAGTGTCCCGATGTCTCTGTTCTGCTCTTTTCTCTCAGGATCGAACCATGCTGTCCAAAGAACTCTTGTGATTTCCAGGACCCGCTTCTTTTCACCTGAGCATCATCATAATACACATGTCCGTGGCTTCTGTGGATGTCTTGTTCATGAGATTGATACATCCCTCTAGGCTTCGTATCAAACCCTTTCATGTTTCCATCACTCATGGAAGGTTTAGTTGATAGGTTGTAGTCTCTGGTCTGTGATGTATGGGATGTATGGGAGGATGCAGGAGGTTGCGTCCTATCACTGCTGGTCACCCTTAGGTCCTGAGAGCTCGATGCCTTCTGCTTTAGAGCTGTGAACAAAGAAAAAATATCCAACTTTACTGACGTACTTCAGTAATAAGCTTTAATACTCTACAATGGTGGAGCTCAAACAATAAACTATCCTTACTAAATTCATTCTAGAATATCAACTATAAAATGAAAGCCAAGTGCAATCAAAGATAAACGTACAAAACAATAAATTCACTGTTTTTATGAGGAATAATTTTCAATATCAATAATGTTATTAGTATTTCTTTAGAAAAAGAAGAACGATATATCTGAAATGATGAGACTGATGGCAATGGTAAAAAATGCTCGATTAAGAACTAATGCATTTTCAATTTGGCAAAGTATAACAAAATAAATGCACCTTCTTCTGATAAAGGAAAGACATAATAAAAGTGAGAAAAGATACTTACCAGCACCTGAAAACCATGGTCTGGACTCTAGCGTTTCTCCTGCTTGCTCACTTCTTGACTGTAAGGCTGCACTGTGATTGGCTCGTTGTCTCACTGGTGGTGAGGGTGGATGCCTGTCATACTGATTCCAACTTGACCCAATCCCGTCTCCATGATGATGACCTTTGACCTGACCTCTTGACCCCTCACCCTCTGAGATGACCGGTGTAAGTGTTGACAATGGAAGGGCTCTCATCGGTCTGCTACGGGATGAGGTACGGTTTGATGTGTGGGAGGAGGATATGGTTGCCATGGTAGCAAGACCACTGTCCAGTGATGATTCTACTGGCCTCTGAGTAAAGAAGAAAGACAATCCATTTTCTTTTTTTAAATTTGAAAGAAAAGATTATAACTTTAATCTAGTATCTTAATTCACTGATTTTCGTTGCACACATTCCGCCAATCTTGGTAATATTGTGTACTATGTGTCCACATGACTGAAGGCCATACCTGAACTTTATTGGTAGGTTGTCATTAAGTCTTTAGTCTTTAGTCTTTTAGTCATTGTTCTTAAACTCTTGATACTTACAGTATGGGAATAACAAGTAGCCAAAAGAATATGAGATTCAAATAAACAAAAAGTAAATAAGCACATGTGTACAGAAACACACACACAAGCAAATATGTAACTAATTATTCATTACAATAAGCTTCACCTAAAATTTCCAATTTGAGAGTATGATAGAGAATTATACAGGCCAGAGATTAGGATACCTTAGAGAGAGGTCTATTCTTGGTTCCATTGAAGCGAGTCTTGTCCATGAAGGGATGATCCAGGACCGTTGATAGACCAATCCTCTCTGTAGGATCCTTTCTTAACATCTTATTGATCAAGTCCTTGGCTTCCATGGAGATATGGGTAGGCATGACGTACTCTGCTAACATCACCTAGTATTGATGATAACAAAGATAGAAACATAATTAAGATAGATAGATAGACAGAGGGACAGAGAGAGAGAGAGAGAGAGAGAGAGAGAGAAAAAAAAAACACAACCAAACCTTAAAGTCAATCTTAGTCATTGTGACCCCCCCCCCCCCCCCCCCCCCCCATAACATGCATGCTAGACACCTTCCTGACTTGTAACCCTTCCTTCGATACCTAGACTGTCAGGGAAACATTTAGCAATCTAAAACAAAAATATTATCTAAAGATCATAAGTTTGAGACCAAGGGTGAGGGCAACCAGCCATAGTTAAGTCCAACATAAAGTTGATCTTAGTCTTTGTGAAACACTCCCTGGACTATTACACACTTTACACCCATTTACTTCACAAATGACATCCATCCACCAACCTTATTAAGCGTTGTCTTGACAGCCTCTGTATCGAACGGTGGGGTACCGGTCAAGAAGGTGTAGGGCATACACCCTAGAGACCATACAACACTTAACACCTATCTACTCTACCTTATTGAGTGTTGTCTTAACAGCCTCTGTATCGAACGATGGGGTACCGGTCAAGAAGGTGTAGGGCATACACCCTAGAGACCATACAACACTTAACACCTATCTACTCTACCTTATTGAGTGTTGTCTTAACAGCCTCTGTATCAAAAGGTGGGGTACCGGTCAAGAAGGTGTAGAGCATACACCCTAGAGACCATACATCAGACTGGAGTCCATGTGGTCCCCTGGTAGCTATCTCAGGTGAGATGTAGTTGGGAGTACCACACATCGTGTAATGCTGTTCCTCTGGAAGCTTGAGCTGTGCCGCCAATCCAAAGTCTGCTATTTTCTGCAGGATTACAAAGATATCACTTGATATTGAAACTTGAAACAGAATGCAATTAGTCAAACCTGCCATAATGTTATGCACAGAATATAAGTAATGTATCCCTGTTTCTAAATGTCATGGTACTGGTTTAAGGTAAAGAGCATGCACATAATGATAGATCAGATGGCCTCGATACAGATCATACAATCTTAAAATCCTATTCAAATTCACTTGTAAGAAAACAGAATACCAGTACCGTATACAAGAGATAAATATTACAAGTGATAAAGCCCATAACATATAATGGATAATGCAATATTAAGCATTTCATTGCCTGCCTTCAGAATGGATATCATTTAGTATTGTTTGTCTATGAAAGCCCACCCCCACCCCCCCAAAAAAGAAAAAGAAAAAAGAGATTGGACGGATGAGGAAAGTATACTTGGCATACGCTATCAACCTCAACACTAAATAGGAAGGCATAATAACAGGGGCTCAAGTAGATTTAGACCCCCCCCCCCCTAAGTTACTGAAACATACAACATGACCCTAAAATTAACCTCTATCTTTTTTTTCTTCTACAGAGCAAATTTTCTTTATTATACAACTTGGAAGAAAGCTTAAGAAAATATTTTGGAATGATGGTTGCTTTGACTTACACAGTGCATATCTCTGGTGAGCAGAATGTTTGCTAACGTTAGATCCCTATGTAGGATGCCGTGTGAATGTAGGTAGAGCAGACCTATCACAATCTCCTCCAGGAACTGACGAGCTGTTCACAATGATAAACAATGTCACAAATACCTATTATTTCATATAAGACAATGGCAAAATGAAAACTTTTTTTAACCAGCCTATTTTCTCAGGTTGAGGGTATCTATATAATACAAAACTAAAGTGAAATATGTCAACAAATTGAGACTTTTTCTTTCAGATGTCATACTTGCAAGGTAGTACCAGAGCCCTTATTAGGATCTATAAGTTTTACTGTTTATAGGAGAACAGAAATATATTTTCATGAATTTCAAAATTAATATATTTTTCCAGGTGGTCCTTTCGAGTGAAAATGAAGAGAATCTTGAAAGAACTGAGAAATAAACATTTTATGATCATGGAAAAGAAGAACTCAAGCTTATCTGAATATTGCAAATATTTGTTAGTTTTCTGATCATAACAACAACGACAAAACTTCATGGAATCAAATTTCACCACATAAATATAATCTGTTTTATGTTTTAGGTAGAAAACTAAAAAGCAATGCACATCAACTGAATAAAATATTGGTACATACCTTCCTCTTCACCGAACACTCTTGCCTTTTTCTTGAGATAGCGTAAGAGTTCTCCATTCTGAGCCAGCTCTAAGACTAGGTACACATAGTTGTTATCTTCAAAGTAGCTGTAAAGCTGGTGATAAAAAGTTACCATGGAAAACGGTTGGGAAAATTAAAAAATGGTTGGAATAATTTACTGTTAATCACTATTAGAGGGTGTTGCACAGTGACACCTTCAAAGAAAACGATAGATATCTTTGTGGTTTGAGAATGTTTTAAGGATTTTTGCATGTTAGAGGGTTAGTACAGTAAAAGGAATATAAAAAGTAACATTTCAAACAAAAATTATGCAATTTTTGATCAACTTTCAACAATGTTACTGAGTCACTTTAATAGATGTAGAATCTTCAAGCAAGCATGGAACTACCTCACGGTCAATGACGTTGTTGTGGTGTTGGACTTCAAACTTTGAAGGGTCAAATACCTTTTTGATTTATGACATGCTTATTTTTGCATTGATTCTTCAGGGGGTGGGGGGGGGGGGGGAGGGGAGGAGGAGGATTGATACCAACAGTACATGTATGTTCATCATGAATTGTCATAATTAGGAATGGAAATGTATTTAGAAAGGTAATGTACCCAAGTGTCTTAGAGCTTTCAGTGAGAGTCTGCTGATTCAACTTATATTGTTTGTTTCACCTGACTGCTAGGAAAGCATGTGTATGCTTGCAAGTAAGCAAACAGGGGACCGATGGCTTAAAGTCCTCCCAAATGGACTTGGTTATGAGGATGAATGCCACACCAAAGGGCACTAGTGCATCGACTTGGTTTTGAACCCAAGACCTTACGCCTTCCAGTTATAAGACCATTGCTCTACCATTGACCCTTTACATTATAATATACAAAGATAACAGGAATAGCAAGAGACACATACTACATGCGTAGAGAACCTTCACGCAAAACACAAATTGACACATGAATAAATACCTCAAGGATGGATGGGTGTTTCAGTTGACAGTGTATTTCTACTTCATTCTTTACTCTGGTTGCCATGCCACTAGATTGCATCAACTTTTTATCAATCTAACAAAACAAGCAAACAGAAACAGAAGAAAAAAAATCAACATTAGCTCAACTTTGTAAAATGTTACATATTGCATGGGTGCCCTGTAATTTCTTTGTTTGATATTTTGTTTGGTATCTAGAGAGGAATTTCTCTTATAGAAAACAGTCTAAATTTTGAAGTTTTAGGTAAAATGTCGTAATTATACTGCTTCCTATCAGTGACTCAAAAAATAGAAATATCAACATTGACCTTGTCACTCATTTCTATATAGTCACTGTGAAATATATTTGAGGGTCTTTTTTTTTCTCTCATCATAGCACTGGCTACAAGTAGCTTCTGTGGTATCAAATTTTAAATGAGATTGTGTGCATTCTATAAATGAAAAAATTAAGCCATTTGGAGCCAAAATGTACAAGTAGTACACATTCTCTGATATGGGTTGTGCTTATGGTAGGGTAATAAGACTTTGGATACTGTGCATGTTGTATATTCAGGGATGCCAGTTAGAATTGATTAGAGGGCCTGAAAATCACCTAAAATTAGCTATTTTGTACACAAAAAAGCCTAAACTATGGTCTGAAAATAACTCGCCCGGGCCTGAATTCAGGCAATTGCCTGAAAACTAGCATCCCTGGTTTTTTCCAGACATTTGTTTCCTCACCATTTTGATAGCAACCTCCTGTCCAGTGCTGATTGTCTTGGCTCGATACACGCAGGCAAACCCTCCTCTACCCAACAGGTTCAGAACCTGGTAATTCTATAAAGAAAACATCATGTCATGTTTGAAACCATGGTTTAATAATAATAATAATAATAACAATATTATTGATTAATTAGGAACACTAAAAGTAAAAAGTAAAATAGCACCTACAAAATAATAGAATCAATGTGAAAAGGAACATAAAACTCATGAAAAAGGTCAATCATATTATATTACTGAGGGAAGAATACATTTAAAGGTATCTTTTGAGAGAGGCCAGACAGGTTAATTCTCTGATGGAAATGGGGATATTAAGTTGTACTTTAGAAATAGTTACATAGCAAGTGGCAAATCCATAAGTCTTCACCTATCATGGATTAATTGATTTCTGTATTAAAACATTTATTTTTTCCACAATTTGAAGTTTCTAAAATTGGTTTTGATCAAAAGAGCACAAACTGAACTACCAATAAATAGCTATGTTCCTTTTACAAGAAATATTTCACTTTAAAAAAAAATCTTGTTATCTTCAGAATAAAGCACTCTAGTCCAGAATGTTATTTGGGAATTACTTACATGTAATTCATATGCTGGTAATTTTGATTGAAGTTAACAAATAGATAACTCACCTCAATTCTGTCTTCCATACTGGTATTCACTTCAGTACAGCTTCTCTGATGAACTTGTACCAGTCAGACAATTCATTTTTGGTGTCATATTCTGGAAGATAGGATGATTTAAGGTGGCAAAGTTAGATTTAAGTAAATTTACTGCATGCTTAGAAGTTTACTTTTGTAAACAGTACTACAAACCTAGTATTGGTGGTCTAGAATAGGTACTTGGTGGATGATGGTAATCTATTAGCATAGAACACTTTCATGCAATGGAATCATGCTCTATTTTTGTAAAACCCATACATTTTTGCGGGGGCGAAATGGACCGTAGCGATCCGTTTTGTTTTGCTGATGATCAAACTAGACGATTCAAAGACTCTAGCAAAACAGGACGCTGAGGAGGAAAATCAGAGGTTTTTTCTTTGTTTTTTTTCTTTTGAGCTTGGAATTGGCTGGAAGTTACAGAACTAATTTATTACTGCCATTTACGCTAACTTTATGATTTTGGAGCTTCACATCTAAAATTAAGTACATGTATTTCAGCAATAATCATTATTTTTCTTCCATTTTGTTTTGTACATGTGCAGGATGTGACTGACAATTTGTACTATTAGCACTAAATGGGGGTATGAGATCCAATCCATACCGTTTATGGGTACGGTGATCAGAAATTGAATTCTAAACTATACAGAGATACGGCGCTATAGTATCCGACTGATAGGATAATATGCATGCATTGAGAAACTTTTGAGCTTGAGATAATCACAAAATCTGACTCTAAATCTGAAAAATACTTGAAATACAGCTCATTTTATGGGACCCATATTCCTTACAGACACGCGTAAGAGGGATTTTACCATGCATCCAACGAATCGGCAGAAAACTGCCAACGGCCGAAAACTCCCTCTAGATCTAGATCTAGAATCTAGATCTAGAGTAAAGGAGCCGGTAATCGGCCAGCTCCAGTTTTCGGCCGATTGGTTGGATGCAAGGTAAAATCCCTCTAAAATACATCGCATAATAGCATAACACATATCCCACACATACCATACTATGCCAGTGTCACTGAAGAACCACATTTGCAATGAAAAATATATCCTAAAATGTCACATTTTAGCGATGTAATCGGCGGTCCCGCTACCCGAATCTGAAAAATCGAGTATCTTACGCGTGTCTTTAAGAAATATGGGTACCATAAAATGAGCTTTATTTCAAGTATTTTTCAGATTTAGAGCCCCAATTTTGTGCTAGTCGCAAGCTCAAAAGTATCTCATCGCATGTATTAAATCAATGCAGCCGCACACCGCAACGCACACACGATATCTCTGTCCAATTCAGATTCCAATATCCGATCACCGCAGTACTAGTTTTCGGCCTGGCGAGCTCCGGCGTGGGATATCTGCTCCGCCCGCTAGTGTTATAGATCAGCGCGGAAACGCACGGCGCGTGCGCGCGCTTCCTATTGACTTTGTACATGCGGCCGAAAACTGGTACGCTATGCCGAAAACTGACTCCGAAACAGTGAAAATTGAAATGAATATTGTCATGGCAATTCGTGATTTTTTTCTGGGATTCTTGTTTTGTTTAAATAATAATAATATTTGCTTCATGATTTGAACAAAAAATGATAATAAATAGGAAGTAAAGGGTCCAAAAAATAGGATTTTGTCTTAAGTGGCCGAAAACCGGCTCCTTTACTCTATCACAATTTTACAGTCATTCACATTCTCTAAAAAAAAAATATAAAAAAATATATATATATTTGGTACTCCTTAGGCCATGTAAAATTGATTACATGTTGATCGTCCGGATTTTTTGAAAAAGAGGAGGAGGGTGTACCATGTTATTTGATATTTGATATTTCAAAATGGCCGCTCAAAATGGCCGCTCGGTACATTTTCCCTGACAGTCGAGGCTATTTTTTTTCAAGATGGCCGCCGACAATTTTTTTTTTTTTAAATCAGAAATAGAGCCATTTTAGCAGTGTTTTTCATGTTTTTTTTCTTTCAAAAAAAAAAAAATAACAAAAAAAATCCAAAAAAAATTTCAAAAAAAAAAAATAACAAAAATAACAAATAACAAAAAATAGGAGGCGGCCCCCAAAAAGGAAGCGGGCGGGGACGATCAACATGAAATCAATTTTACATGGCCTTATCTACAAGCCTTTAAGTTTAAATGCTATCTTTCATGTCAAACATCCCAAATTGGCAGTGAATGACAGTGCGTAAGCATAAATGGGAACGTTTGTTTTTGCAATATCAACAAAGTCAAACTCTAATTTCAAAATGACACCACTTTCCTAATTGTGAAAATAACATTCTTTTTGGGCGAATTTCGACAAAATATTCAGCAAAATTACTCTCTACAATATGAGGAATAATATGAGATCACTTATATGTGCAATACAATTGAAAAATCTTGTTACTTTCAAGTGGAATATATTGTTATGTTAGCAGACATGTATTGTATGGCCCTTCATATTACAGGACATCATTTTCAGCATATGGGGCTGCGACGCTATCCACCCTATAAAATCTTCATTCTCACGCCGATTTCTAGAGTCTATTGGTTTTTCTATACATCTCAAAAAATCTATAAAAATGTCCCAATTAATCATATTTTATACCATCACATCTGCATTTTCCACATAACCGACAAAATACGAACACTTACCGCAACGAAGTTCGACAAATTTGAAAGCAGCGCTAGTGGGTGACGTAAATATACCGTAAGGGGCGCTGCACTAATTTCTCTTCTCTTTTCTTGCCGCAGAAAGCTAGCAGAAGCGGTAGAAAACAAATAAAATGACATTTGTCAAAATTCGAAATTAGAATGGTCAGGAAGATTGCACTTAGGAAAATGAATAAAAACTATCATAGATAATTTTGTATTAGGTAAATTGTTGGGTTATGAGAATATCATAAAAATAATAATAATAATGATGCTAAATAACAATGAAGAAAAAAAATAATAGTAATATTAATAATAATGATAATGATAATAATAATAATGATAACAATAATAATAAAACAAGGGAAACGCTCTCGGCGGTCTCGCCTGCATAACGCAATTCAATATGATAAACCAGAACGTCAATGACGTAGCGCTCATCCGCATCTCGCAACAACATTATGTGGTACACTTTTGAACTGGTCAAAAAATAAAAATTTGATGCCCTGGAAGGGACATAATTTCATTTCATTTGCATAAAGTACCATAAATAATCAATAGAGCAAAATCTCACAATTCTGTGTAGAAGTTTAGTGTTCCAAATTTAGCTCTACCAGATAGGGCAAACCAAATCAAAATCGGTCGAGAAATGAAGGCGAAGAAGCCTTTTTTGTGATTTCGAATAAATTTGCATAAATTAGCATAATTAATTAATGGAAAACAATTTCAAAATTCTGTGTAGAAGTTTAGTGTACCAAAATTAGCTCTACGATATAAAGCAAACCAAATCAAAATCGGTCGAGAAATGAAGGAGAAGAAGCCTTTTATATGATTTCGAATAAATTTGCATAAATTAGCATAGATAATGAATTTCACAATTCCGTGTAGAAATTTTAAATCCCCCTCCTAGCCCTATCATATGAAACAATCAGAATCAAAATCGGTTGAAAAATAACGAAAAAGAAGCATTTTGAAAATCTTTATGTGGTGCCACAACAAAGTCTAAGTTTGTTGACCTTAAATGACCTTTGACCTTAACGAAGTGACCTGAAATTCTACTCACATGATTGGGGAGACTTGATAACCCTATAGTCTAATTTTCATTGACTAAGAACTTATACTTTCAAAATTATATCAAAAATTCAAAAACTTAACCTTAGGTTAAGTTTTCGATGATGATGCTACAACATAGTCCAAGTCTGTTGACCCGAAATGACCTTTGACCTTGACTTTGTGATCTGAAATTCTACTCACATGATTGGGGGTACTTGATTACCCTATAGTCAAAGTTTCATTGACTAAGAACTTATACTTTATAAATTATATCAAAAATTCAAAAACTTAACCTTAGGTTAAGTTTTTGATGTTGACGCCGTCGCCGTCGCCGTCGCCGTCGCCGCCGCCGTCACCGGAAAAGCGGCGCCTTTGTCTCGCTTTTTGCTACGCAGGCGAGACAAAAATGATAATGATAATGAAGATTATAATAATAATAATAATAATGATCATGATGATCATCATCATAATAGTAAATCTATTGTTGGACCATTCAGGCCTGGGACCATTCATGTTCTTGCCCCTCTCGTTTGTAACTTATTTATCTTCCCTTACAAATGGTACAAGGGTTTCCTCTCTCCTTCTTAACTCTTTTCCACCCTCTCCCTCCTTTTAAATACATGACCACCGAGATTGTATAAGAAAATAAAACAAAATAAAACAACAAAGAAAGGCACAGGACATATTATTGTGATGTTTCAAGTGTATTTAATAATGATACTATATATAATTGAAATTGTACAATCTCAGAAACATCTTCAGGGCTGTATCTTACATCAAACAAACTTCTCTATCTTTTTTTGCTCCAGAAAAAAGAGCATTTTGATTTAATTCCATGCATATTACATCCTCAGGACCAAGTGGAAGCATGCAACAAGTTATACACTTTGGGAAATATTTCTTTGTGAAGTGCTTTGGCCTAGCTGTTGTTTGGTTTAGGGTATATATTTAATGCATTGTATTCTAATGAATGTATGAGCTAGGTCCATTTATAAAATAATGGGAAAGCTAAAAGAAGCAAAGGGTGTCATCAGTTATTTTTTGATTGCTGGAAGTTTATTAAAAATATAAGATAGCCCTTTGCAATTCTGTTTGACAATCAGATGACAGAACCAAACATTTCTTGACCATAATCATTAAAATGTAAATAAATAAACCAATATACACAAAGTCAAAACAGAAAGATAGTTCAACATCAAAAAAATAAAAATAATAATAATGGGTTCTTGTATAGTGCTTATGTCCGTCAGACTTGACACTCTAGGCACTCCACAAGTATTATCCAGGCCTTAGCCATTAGTTAATAAAGCATACTTAACTCTTAACATGCTTTAGTTGAGTAAAGGAACAAACACTGGACTGCTGAAGTCAACTGTTTTGTCACATGTACAGTGTATATATGTATCATGTACTCCAAACAATAAGGCAGACCACTGGCAGTCTGGGGCTTGGATCCATAGCAAGCAAATAGTTAATATTTCCACACATATTATCTATTTTATCAAACATATTACTCATGCAACTGTATATTACCCAGGAGCATATGCACACCATAGCTTCTAGTAGATAATTGCATGCTGAGAACCCAAAAGGTATAACTGAATGTTAAGGCCCCATTTCACAAAACTTGTCATCAGTGACAAATTACAGTTTTTTTGTTATAAGCTAGTAAAATCCTTGCGTCCGATTGGTTATCAGCAGATTTGTCACTGATTTTTGTCATTGAGAAAAAGCTTTGTGAAACAGATCTCTGGTTCTCAGCAAGCTATCTTTATAATTGGCTCTATGTGAGCCATCAACTCTGAGCATGGTTTAGCCATGCACTCTCTAACACATTCACGACTAGCTGATGACATACAGAAATTACAGACTGATCATTTTTATTTCATTCATGTGGGTGAATGAGTTCAATGCAAATACAAACATCACATCACTACGGAACAGAGATGGGTTTAAAAATACTCTTCTTGAAGCTGTATAGTATATATACACAGGTACCCCCTCTTCATACACATATATTATCTACAAGTTTGCATTGTATGTTGCACTGCATTATATATATATTCAAACATCATGTATAATACACAAGGAGTCTTGTTCGCCATGCCACAGTTACACGTAGATAACACAGATATTTTATTAGGGAGCAACGCAACATCATGTTTTTTAAAAAAGCAGAAAGATTCCTGTTGTAGTATGTGTTAATGCAGTGAAAAGAAAAGAATAAATCTTCTAATGAAGAACACAAAGAATACATAGAACAGAAAATCAAAGTGCAAAGAGGGCATGTCATACTGCAGGATGAAAAAAAAAGGGGAAAATTATTTTGACAAAGAATACAAAAAGAATATGAAGATAAGACAAAAGAAAGTGACTGATAAATATACACCTTGCACATTGCCATTGAGGCATCACATAATGTATTTTCTTGTTTACTCGTTTCACCTTTTCTTGGATAAACAAAAAAGTTGAATTATACTTTAGTGATACTGCTTTCTTTGTACTACAGAACGGTACTTTAAAATAACAGAAAAACAACAACTGTTGCTCTCAAAGATTCCATACAATCATGCACGATCAAAAAAACTATTCAAGGCTGTAAAATCAAGAAAGAACAATGTACTGAAAATATTAACATTAATAATCAAGGACACAATAGATATTACATGGTAAATAGAAAAGGAAAATCATGCCCAGCATGGTTATAAAGGAAGGAAGCTAAACTTATAATACTGAAATATTTACCTGAAAAATCACAAAGAGGATATCTTATAAAGAAGCGTAATACATATCAACAGATTTTAAAGAAAATGTTGAGTTATGATAATGGAGATACATTTCACAGAATTGTTTTTAAATTAAATTCTGAATTCTTGATCATACAGTGGTAGGGTTTACAATCAATCAAACATCAATAAAATCATATTTAATAAAAAGAAAAACACACATTAATGCACTTCTACCTGGGACAAGACACATGTTCTTGATTAGAATGATGAATTTGATTCCATCTCAATAGTTCCTCATTGCTAAGCCTAATAATATATTTCAACCAGACGATTTGGCAGACACCATATTTGTAATCTGTAACAGTTAGTATATCTTTGTTGAATTCTTTGCAATTTTTAATTTCTGTCATTGCTAGAGCACAAGATAAATTGTGAAATGTCATATCTTTCAACAACGTGCAGATCACATATCAATAAGTTGTTTCATGAATTTGAATACTTGATGGGCATATAATATTATATATCTGTAAAAGAAACAAAGTGTGTCTTAAATCATTTAAATATCTCATACATAATAATTGCCTAGTGTTCTGCAGACTGTATTACTATGTATGTGCAATAACCAACTATAATTTGACAACATAAGTTACAGAAGACACAAAGTGGCAATTTGACGAAGGATATACCTAGCTCAAGTGCAGAATATACTGTGCAGCAAACAAGAAAATAATTTTTATTATCATTTCACAACAGATTAATTTACATCTTTAAAAGTGAAAATGCCGGCAATTTCCTTTCAATCAGAGTAGATTTAAATATTCATGAACAAAAATTGTTTAAAAATATGAAAAAGTTAAGAGATAATTTGTTTGAAACTTCCTATTCATACTGTTGATACCAAAACATATATCTTTTTTTTTCTTCTTCAGACAGCACTATACCTCTGTAATAAAATATATCTATGTTTTGTACAATACTTCAATTCTATACAAATGTAAGGCAAGAGAATGAGTCTAGAGATATTAAAAGCACTTGGACTGATGTTAAAAAAAACAATTTCTTTTGCCAGTTTTCAGCTAGAAGTGTATTTCTCTTTTAGATGTATATTCTGTTACTCTGCAAATAATCAAAGGCATTTTTTCATCAGTTGATTATAATCCACAATGAAAGTATTGTTTTTGGGGTTTCAAATGAGGAAATTTGTACAAATTTAAGGATATTTGTGACGATTCTCTGAAAAATATTAGGCTTCTTAGAGCCTCTGTGTAATGGCTTATATAGCAGTTAAGAAAATGAGAAGACAAAAATAAATGTGCAAAATACAACACGTACATTTAAGTAAAGCATGTACTATAAATGTGTCTAATACTTGCATAGCTTTTAAACACAATGTCCTTCTCTATGAAGCACTACAATATAGGTGCCATCTTGAATATTCAATCATAATCTATTATCTGTTACTTCATGCAATCCTTCAAAACCTCCACAGAATGTCTTTAAAGGGAGTGTGAAAATCGATGAGATTGATATGAATTTTAAGCGCATTTGAGCAAGTATGTGAGAAATGCTTTTCATAAATACATTATTATAACTATTATTAATTAATACAATTAAATGACCTGTTATTTTGTGAGACTATTTACATCTTCTTCTGTCAACTTACCACAAAATAGACAGAGAGTTCAATTATTTATCTAAACTAATTAAAATGATCTATAAATCGTGAACATCCGCTTTACACATGTAAATTATTGTCTGTTCATAGCCAAAAGGGCACTAACTGTATAATTATGAGTATATAACTTATTGCCCTTCTGGTTCCAAACAGACAATATTTAAGCTAATCCTATGATAAATTATTTCTTTACATTTCATGAAATGCTTCACAAGAATCACATATTCTCTCAAAAACGAAAACTAAAAAGGCTGGTTCATATATGAAGTGGTAAACTAGAGTGTTTTTTTAAACGCATAAATGAATAGCAACTGTGTGCAACAAAGATCCTACATGCATTCACTGAGCTCTGTGTTATAACATATTGAAACGTGAAGTGTATCACACTTATGTCATCATAGAAAACAACGTTGTTTATCACATCATATCTGAACGCAGCTTACATCTGTCCAATACAAACAAATATATCATGCAAACACATCTGTAGAGAGGCATACGAGTAGACTTTATATTTACACAGTAATATACATCCTTTTACCTACAAATATATAACTTTTCAGCTCTCACAGAAATGTTATTATATCCTTTTTCTCCTTGCGCCATAATGTTATTTGTAATTGTTCATCTTTTGTGCCAACCTGTGGCATCTGAGGGTAAATAGTTGTTTGTGGTTGTGCAGCTTTGTCATGCTTCATTTTTCGATAGCCACTCTGCTTCTTCGATGAGTCATAAACAAAGAGCTTTAAAGTCAACTTAAGCTACGGTCACAAAGGTTCATACGAACGATGTATTTTATTAATCTCCCTGTTTTTCCATTGTCTGAAAATCGTTCGTACGGCATTCGTAGCAGTTCGTAATGGCATTTGTGACCGAGGCTTTAGGCTTGGCATCTCATCTCCTTGATTGGTGGTCGCAGCGGTGGGATATGAACCCATGCAATCTTAATGGCAATCTCCTTAATTGCATTGTAACAGGGTGCAGTGGGAAGTTATCTCTAGATGATGGAATTTCACGTGCAGATCATGATGAGAGTTCAACGAATGCCGCAGGGAATCGACCAGACTTGCCATTAACCGTACCCATCAGCCATTCATCGTTAACACGCTCTGTGATTGTAATCACATCATCAGCCTGCATGAAACAAACAGATCATAAAAAAAACTTGTTATTACCTGCATGAAAGTTGTAATGGTTATTAAAGATACATTAACTGGAAACACATTATTACAAGGTTAATTCTTGTTCTTATGGATCACATGGTGCATGGTTCAAGTCCCGTCGCAGAAATAATATCCTTTAGTAAGACGTTTACCTACATTTGCTACTCTCCACCCAGGTGTTAAATAGGTAACAGTAGGAAGGAATTCATTGAATACTGCAAGCAGAGCTGGGTAATATTGGATAGCCTTTAGCATCTTGCATGGTGGATACGTGTGCTCTAAAAAAACATATCTAATATCATTATTATTATATTTATTACAATTACTGATTATTTACTCACTTTGAAGTTCAGTTCATCTGCATCTTCAGCATCAAAGTCGTGTAAAGCCTTAGCAGTAGAGGGTGTAGCTCCAGCAGACGGGAGATCAATGATGACATCAACGAACGACCGAGGGAAGATACCTTCTCGTGAGTCGACCTTACCCCGGAGCCAATCTTCACCAATCCTCTCCAGGAGGGTGACCTTCTCGCCTGCTTTGAGTTTGATCTCATCCTCACCAGCAGGCTCAAAGTCAAAGGACACCACACAGTGTGGATCAACTCCAGAGGTCTGTGGTGGACATGCAAAGTCATTGTCATGATTGGTCCCATACATTAGTCAACTGGAAATAATCTAAAATCGTTGTGTGAACAAGAATGGCCTGTACACACTGTGAATATGACGAACAAAGAAAGCGGACAAAATATACAGTTCCTCATGTAGACAAAGGAACATCCCTTCACTGCTATTATGTAAAAAGGTGAATATGCATGTGACACCTGTTCTACACATTTTTACATAATAGCAGTGAAGGGATGTTCCTTTATCTACCTGAGGAACTGTATATTTTGTCCGCTTTCTTTGTCAGTCATGTTCATAGTGACATATTAGAGTCCTATAAAGATTTTTAAAAATTAAATTGAAGAAAACCCCCTCCCCCCCCCCCCAAAAAAAAAAAAAAAAATCTTGAAAATTACCATGTTGTGAAATTCGAAATTCCCTTGACAAGAACAAATAAAGAAAACAAAATTCCAGAACGTCTGCATCACTTTCAGAAATACACATGTTGACCAAAGTACATTAGATAATAACCAATTTATGCCATCCTCAATGAAGATCATGACTGACTTACCAATGAGTCAATAGCTTGTAACTGCCCTATGTCTGTAGCTTATAACTACCATACCCCTAAATCTATAGCTTATAACAGACTCACCTCTCTATCCGTAGCTTGTGGGAGCCCAGAGGGTATTCTGTCTGCAAAGGCAGCAGGGAATCTTCCTTTCTTTCCATTGAGTTCTCCTTCCAGCCAATCAGTACCTACCTGAGCAGTCACTGTGATCTTATCTCCATCCTTGGGGTGAGAAGAATAAAATATAAAATGAAAACAGAGCTTTGGAATAACTTGTCAGAATATATTGAAAATTGTGATACTGTTGAAACCTTCAAAACGCATCTTAAAGTCTATCTGCAATAGTTTGGCAAGGAGGGATTAGACCTCCCTGTATGGTCACTGACAAGTGGTTATCACATCAAATCAGCTCTCACTTAACATAAGAACAAGGGAACCCTGGGGGGGACCAATGGTCACCAATTAGGCATTGTGTGCTATATAGAGGGCGCAAATAGCTATAAGTAGTGCAGTAGGGCTTTAAAACATTTCTCTTTTAGAAACAATTTCCAATGTTAACAATAACCGAAGGTAGTTTGCTGAGCATATCTTGACCTTCTCTATTCCTTTCTTTCTGAAAAAAGAAGTTTCATATCTTCATTGTGAAAGAGAAACACATCATACTTGAATAATGCTGGTATTTTATACTCTTCAGAATAATAATAGTAATATTTGCACTTTATATAGTGCCCTTTTCACTGGAAACAAAGTGTTTTGAGATGCCATCCATGAATCACTGTTAAAGTTAAATTATATACAAATTACCAAGCAGTAACAGTGTGAGTTCAACATTAAATGAATAGGGTTTCAGAATAGATATGTCTTCAAACTCTGTTTGAATTGTCCTTCTGTTGCTGATGATTTTAATGAAAAACTTACACTTTAACTGCTGATGACATTGAATATTTTTTCATACTTGAAGATTTAGAAAGTGAAACTTACTTTGAAAGTGAGCTCGGTATTGTCCGCACCATCAAAGTCAAACAGTGCACGAACTTCATTTCCTGTCATGCAAAGAGAAAGAAAGAGGGAGAGAAAGTATAACAGAATGAAGTGCTTTAATGGGAAAGTTTCAGACTTCATGAGTAATCCTCAATTCAAGATATCACCGTAGCATAAACAATATTGTCACGCAAAGAGGGGGAGAGAGAGAGAGAGAGAGAGAAAGTATAACAGAAAAAAGTGTTTTAATGGGAAAGTTTCAGACTTCATGAGTAGTCCTTCACTCAAGATATCACAGTTAGATGAACAATATTCCTCTCATTTTCACTCGTTGATTTCAAGTAGATCCGGTGCATTACAAAACTCATATATTATCATTATTATTATTATTAGTTTCACTCAACAGATTCATTGCGGAAGTGTCGTGGTATAGTGGTTCGTTCACTCGACTCTCAATCCGAGGGTTGAGGATTTGAATCCTAGCCATGCACTTACATCCTTAAGCCAGACATTAATCCACATTTGCCACTCTACACCCAGGTGTATATGGGTGCCCGATATGCCAGAGCACTACATGCTCCAGCTGTGAGCGGGATAACATTGTTGGAGCACCAGGAGAGTCACAACATACACAATATAAGAAGCCATTAATATTGTTTTGTTGTTGTTCTGAATTTCTAGCTACAACATTGACTACATACAGTACACCCCTTCACAGTTAAGGGCACCATTTTAATTTGCGAGTAAACATTGCATCATCAATTTTTTTCAGACGCGCTCAAATCATATCGACACATGCGCCTTGCTTGCTGCATTACATAAAAGTTACTTGCAGTGTTTACTCGCAATTTAAAATGGCGTCCATATCGGCGCATGCACACTCTTGTAACCGTGAAAGGGTGTATTGAAGTCATACCTGTAGTTGGTGATGCCCGAACTGCAGCTGGTAGATCTTCTATCACATCAATGAATGCAGCAGGAAAGATACCAGATTGTCCATTCAGCTCACCATTATACCATTCATCACCTACTCGGCCTGTTAGTTTGATTATAGCGCCCTCGCTGAACGTCAGATCATCCGCGCTGCTGCCGGTGTACTCAAACTTGGCTTTACAGCGAGGACCACTGCTACAAAGAGATATACATGTACAAGAGAAATATGGGTGTATGTCTTATGCAGGTTTTTCATTATGCACTGTTTTGTGTATATGTTGATACTCTGGTTCCTCATGGATACACTATATATAAAAAAGTCACAATTTAAATGTGATGTATGAAATGAAAATGAAAACCTGATAAAAATAATGACCATCAAAGGAAAAGTTCTTAAATGTATGTCTTTGAAAATGCAACCAAAATTGACATCTTAAGTGATGATCCATTTTATAGAGTGCACATGACATGATTGCACTATCACCAACTTTTATCCTCATTAAGATTCCTTATAATGATATGTAAATGTATATGATTTAGAACTGTTATAATAATATGTACATGTATATGATTAAGAACTGTTATAATGATATGTACATGTATATGATTAAGAACTGTTATAATGATATGTACATGTATATGATTAAGAACTGTTATAATGATATGTACATGTATATGATTAAGAACTGTTATAATGATATGTACATGTATATGATTAAGAACTGTTATAATAATATGTACATGTATATGATTAAGAACTGTTATAATGATATGTACATGTATATGATTAAGAACTTTTATAATGATATGTACATGTATATGATTAAGAACTTTTATAATGATATGTACATGTACATTTTTATGATTAAGATCCGTAATAATGATATGTATTGTACTTTTTATATTTATTGATTCAACCATAAAACAACATCAAATGAAAACAATAACAGTATATCAATTGAAAACAGTAAATAAAATCATGGATAGGAACATCGAAAAGCAAAATGCTTGTAACATGGTATCCCAAAAGAAGAAAAATTGAAAAAAACATTTAAACATTAAAAAAACATGTAAATGATATACATGTATATGATTAAGACCTGTTATAATGTTATGTAGATGTATGTTATTAAGACCTGTTATAATGACATGTCTATGCTCGTTACTTACCTGATACTATCAATGGAAGGAGAGCCGCCTGGTAGAGGTACCTGGGTGAAAATAGCGGGTCAAAAAGGGAATTTTCACAATGGTATCCATGGGCCACAATTATATTTCATACAGATATTCTGTTATCTAATCAACTCATACTTCTAATGTTCATGTGTTTGTGGGGGGGGGGGGGGGCAATTAGAGATAATTCAAAATTTGTTTATTTTTGTACTATTTTCAATTTCCAGTTCTGGTGCATCAGCATCAAACGAGTATTACAAGTCATGGCACAAAAATACATGTGAGAAGTAAAACACAAATATATTTTTAAAGTATTGTTTTCATATGGTATCCAGTTTGACTGAACTTTTTAATAAATTATTTACAAATTAATGGGGTGAGAGAGTGACAAAGAGAGACGGGGGAAAACAGAGAGAGAGCTTTATTTGTCTTCCTGCATTTTTCTTACTTTCCTTTCTCGTTTATCATCTTTTCTTACGTACCTTTTGTTTATTTTCTATACATTCGGTTGTGCTGAGGAAAGCACAGAACTTTTCCCTTATTTCAGTAATTTAGTAAAATACGTCACTTAACGATAACCATTGTATACCCGTAATATGCTTTTGTGAATACCTTATGTTTATTCAGATATCCTAATTTATATACACAACCATAATTAATTGGGACCTATATAATACATTCTTTACTTTTTATTAGATCCCCACTTTATTTAGCCTTTCAATGTCTTTATCGTACTTATGAGTATTCCATTACTGTGTGTTTTGTCATAACTATTATCATGTACATTATGTTCCAATATTGTATTTTTAGTTATGATTATTGATTATTACCATGTACATTATGATCAATTATGTTACTTTCGATACAGTGGAAACAATAGACTTGAAAGAAACTTAAAACTTGGATGAGAGATAAAGAGGCAATGAAAAAGAAAAGAAGAGAAAGAGATATAAAGAAACAAATGAATGAAACTAGTTACTTACAATGACTTCCACATGATTTGATGGGAAGATACCAGACTTTCCTTTCACTTCTCCTCTAAACCATACAGTACCGACGGTTCCTAATAGCTTGATGGTATCACCTTCTTCAAAGCCAATCTCATCAGCTGCAGACGCTATGAAACCATAGATTGCTACGGCTTGGGGACCGTCGTAATCCTCCTAGCAAAGACACATTTAAGACACATTTATTCAAAATTGCTTTTGATGATTTACATACTCTGCACACATTGATGTATATTTCATATGTATTGTAATTTGTAGGTTTATTTGTAATTTTCGTTTAATATATGTTTGTTTGTCATTGCATTTTGTTTTCTTATAGCGCTTAAGAGACTTTGGTGGAAAGGGTTTTATAAGCACTGTCTTTTATTCTTGTTATTATTATCATAAAATGAGATGAACAGGAGATATTGCACTTCCCTGGTTTAGGGGTCTTGATATCTGTTCTATGTTTTTTCTTCACTGTCCTTTATATTGCTTTATTTCAAGCCTATCTGAGGATATCCAAGAGAAACTGAGAAAATGACCACTGTAGACGGGTGGCCTTTATGAACAGGTTCTACAATACATATTTCTTTCTTAAAGGGAGACAAAATGCAAATGATTACATGGCCACTATGCGCAGGTAGCTTTACATAGAGGTGGTCATAAAACAAATTTGACAGTATCTCCATCTCATTTGATTATATCATTCCAATCTCTTCAGTTTGGAGCAAAAAGGATATTAACACAGAGTCACCCCGCTTCTAGCTCTGAACAGAGGACTTATTACATTTGTTTGTTTCTTTCATTACTAACTTCAATCCTTTCATGACCAAACATTAAGTGGATACACTGTTTGGACATAAGACAAATTTTTTTTTTTTCTTCAAAAAGACAAGATTTTCCTTTTCGGGCAAAAGGAATTCCTGATACCGGTATTTGTTATTTGTTGTCCTTCTAATTCCCTGAAAGTTCCCTGGCTGGAAAAAGGGAACTAATTTTCTGGGGTTACGTCAATATCAGAGGTAATGATATCTGGGAACCAAAGAAAATGGTAAAAACAGTTGAAAAGTGATAAAATGAGAGATAAGCACATACCTCCATAATTTCGTTGAGATCTTTCACAACTTTGACGAACTGAACCGGAAACATTCCCTCCTTATTTTTGCATTTTCCAACCAACCAATCAGCATCAATCCTCTTCACAAGGATGATGACATCATCAGTCTGTAAAGATAAACAACAACATTACACCATCAGTCTATAAAGATTAACAACAACATCCATCAATTATCACCAGCTTATAATCAAAAGTCACATAATAACCACACTGTCTACATCAATTATCTTAAGAACAGTATCTTAACAGCAATATGCACTTCATTCCTTCCTACAGAGAAACCACTTCTTTTAATTCTGATTAATCTCACCTACTGATCTGCCCTCTCTTGGTCTACCCCTCCCCTTCCCCCGATGACCTCCTGGGTCTGTCTATGAATATCTTTCATTTAATTTTATCCCAAACTTCAAGAAAGATTCAAATATTCTAAAATCCAGACAATAATTTTTATTTGTTCATATTTTCATGCCATGACCAAGCAAAAAATTACTATGAAGAGTCCCAAATCATTGTCAACAAAGTTTGTTTACTTTTACAGGGCTGTTAATCCAGAGCTGTGACTGACTGTGACTCTGAATGATTCATAATTATCTGTTGCAATGTATTGGTCATACAATTGAAACAAGTTTGTTACCTTGAAAGAGAGTTCATCTGCTTCTACTCCTTGATAATCAAACGTGGCGACAGCATGAGGTTCAGATCCCTGGTTTAATACAAACAAGAACAGTTAAAGGTAATACAAAGTTTGGGGAATTTTTGAAAATTGGATGGTGGTGATTCTTTTCAATTTTGATATATTTGGATGCCCATGTGGATGTAATATAAGCACCAGAAAATTTAGCCCCTAAAACACTTCTGCTTTCGAGAAAAATTTAATATAAAAATTTACCGGTGCTCCCGGTAAATTGTGATAAATTTCAAATAGCGCCATACGGCCGTACAGTGGTAGCTGCAACCATGAACATTTCAGAATATGTAGTTGTGATATATAATTTCCAAACGGGAATAGCTAATCGGTCGATTTTAGTCAAGAAACATTATTTTATAGCTTAATTAATATCTTGACCTTGAGAGGGAGCTATACAACATAAAGAGTTTATTATTTATAATTTCATAACTGTAGAATCGATTTCAACCGCGACAACTATCACTGAATATTGTAGGGTCGCGTATGCTTCCAATATGTTCATTTGAACCAAATTCATGACCCCATACCAAAACTTTGTTTTACCTTTAAAGAAACAAGTTCAATCTAACTTCGCCATGACAACGTGTGTATGTAAAGGCTTGTTTACAGTATAACGCAGTAAACCGCACTGGTGTTATTTTGAACCAAATGAATGGTAAATGGGGATGAACAAATAATTTGGCTGATTTAGGATGCAAAACTTTTAAGAGCAATATACTGCATGTATAGTGTATACACTCTGAAACTATGAGTAACACTATCAAAATGACTTTTCTGTTTCTTTCTCCTTTATTGGTAAATTTCAGAAAGCAGTGAAGTTAATTCAAATATGCAAGTAATAATACAAAATATGCTACATACATTACAAAAACAAATTATGATCGAAATATTTATATATATATATATATGAGTGTACTTAGTATGCTCATGGAGAAGTGACATGTAAGGATCATGACTGAACCAAGTTGACTTTACTGCAATGAACAGGTGTCGATAGTCAACTGATCAGGGATTGTGAGTGACTCATGCACCCTACTGAGTATCATACAAAACCACATTCTAATTATAGATTCTTACAGACTTAAAAGCCCCTCTAAAGTGTTGGGAGCCCCAAATCCACCAAAAGTGTTGGGAGCCCCAAACATTTGATGGCAAAATTTCACTTAAATTCTATCAAAATGTGAAAGATGATGTCATTTAAAGCACACTTCTGCATTAATCTGCAAAGATCCATCCCCCAAATGTGTTTGAAGACAAATATTGGTTAAAAAATACATAATTTGGGTGTTCTGTTGTACGCAGAAAACTTAAATTTTTTATTCCTTCATCTACATTCAACTTCAAACACATTTGTTTCGAAAATCCTTGCAGAAATGTGTCTTAGATGACATCCTTTCACATTATGATTCAATTTAAGTGAAATTTTGCCATCAAATCTTGGGGTCCCAACACTTTAGAGGGGCTTTAAAGAGATGTATCTGTAAGATGATTGAAGCTAAAAGCACAATTTCCTGTAGTCATTCGGAAATATTTCTCCATGATGATGTGATGCTGCATTTATCAAGAACATAAAAGTCTTTTCTTTGAAAAGAAAATGAAACATTGGATGAAACTAGCTAAGCTACTATTTCCTGTTTCACTTCACTTCACTATAGAATCGAGTTGATTTCTGTTTCCAAAGTAATCATATTCAAATCAACAGATACAGAAAGTTTTGTTACTTTAGAATTGCTAACAGAAATAACAGATTAGAAAAGAAATTAACTTTTGATATCTCTTGTTAAAGGTATAGACCAGTTCTGGTTATGCGATTGCATTGTGAAAGAAATGTTGTGGCATAGATCAGAAAAGGTTGATCATCTAGCATATAAGTATTGGTGTGTACAGCAAGGTTCTGGAATCATCATAATGATAAGAAATTTGGCCCAGTCTTGGTAAAGTTACAAGCACTGTACACAGAAAGATGTACAATGTATATATCCTATATCTACCCAGTCCGGATAGATATAATAATTTACCAAATATATCAATTAGTAGGCGGTTTCCCAGCAAAATTTGTATCATCACGTATTTAATAGTCAAAACATATTCTTTCACATGATTGGGTAATAGGAGCTTCCATTTAATTTTTTGAGAGCGGGGCATTTCCAAAACTGGTCTTTACCTTTAATGTAGATGTATGTATATCTGTGAATGCAGTCAGTACATGTATAACTGTAATCAAGCCTAGTATGGAAAATAGTTACATAAGGACAACCACATATAATACAGTGATGATTAGTTGTCATTGAATGATTTCCTTCTCTTTGAATGATTTCCTGATCATTTGTAGTTATTCTGGGAATATGACTAGTTGACTACAGCAGTTCAAGGATCTCGTGAGTAATCTCTCTACAAAGGGGGGCACGTACAGCTAGAATTAGTTTGCAGGTACACTTGACCTTTACATGATCTAGTCTAACCTTTCAGACATGTACAGACTATATATTGGGATAAAAAGTAGAGCACTTAGTTTTATAAACTGATAGTGAACTTTCCACACTTCTTTGCACTGATATCAGGGTCTGTTTAGGAAGACTACACTATTTGATCTTTGGATCATAGTCAAGTTTGCTCCCAATAATCTTGATCATGTTTCCTCTGAGCAAACTAAGATGACATTTGAAATCATCATAGGCTGGATATACATGTGTATTTTCACACACTGATTCAAAAGGGGTGTCATCAGTATGAAGTTGAACAAACATCAAAGTGACAGTTACCAAAATAACCTAAAAAAGAGCACAGTTACAAAGGTTGTCAGTATGCATGCCTACAAATAACTTTACAGTTTACAAAAATGTGTACAAAAACATATTTTGTGAGACAAGTTTTCAATCAGAGTGCCCTTTTTCATATTTCATCTTTATGTGAATTTCCTCCATACTTCTCAATTTATGAACCCATTTTTAAAATAAAGAAAAAAGACAAGCTCTCTTTTGTCAAATTTCGGGCACTTCAAACCACCGACAAATGTTGAGCATCCATATTTTAGGGGAAATTTGACCATTAATGCCTTTGTATAATTTTATTCCATTTTATTATTCAAATTCTGAAGAAGAAAATTAATGGGAACCATGTCATTTTCATTTACATCTTGCAAAATGGCAAAGTCAGGCTAAAATTACAAAGTGATCTACAAGAAATTTCTGATCCATTTTCATGTTCTTTGTGAATGAAATGCCATTGCAATCGAATAACATTGGAAAGGAGAGTAAGTGCACTAAGTTGAAGAAATATGTTTATGTGGTTTGTAAAAATGTTTTTTTTTAAATATTTTTTTTTAGATAAGGATCAGTTTTTATAATAATTATAAGTTTAATCATCAAATACAATTGGCATAATCTTTTTCAAGAATATGTAAGATAAAATCACAATAAAAATTCCCAATAAATATGAAATGTTATTATCTATATAAGGCTTCCAAGTGTTGCAATAAAATAGTGTATTTAATATCTTTAGCGCAGTATCCGGATGACTGATCAATATTGTTTTTGATATTGCTCAGTCATTCAGGAACTTCTACTATCGATATCGATATCACACAGAAACAAAGCCATATCTACCGAGGTAAATCAAAATTTGTTTTTTCGCTAGTCAGCCTGAGACAGATAATAATAATAATATTATATGGCTTTGTTTCTGTTCGATACTAGAATATATTGCTCTTGCTATGACAATATATTCTTGTATCACAATCAAAGCCGTAAAATATTATATAAATATAATATTGAAACAGAGAGAAATATCACCTGGGAAATAGTTATCTTTATCAACATGTAGATATACAGTATGCATAATCAACATTGTTAAACCAATAATGTAAATCTCACCATATATTTATTATAAAGAGCATGTCCAGGTCCTGGTCTTGGGGGTAACTTCTTGGCTGCTCCTCCTCCTCCACCTGGGCCTTTAGGAGCCATCTTCTTACCTACAGTAACAACCAGGAAAGGTCAAAGGTTAACATAACTCAAACAACAATGACTCTGTAAAATCAACTTTGCATAATGAAAACACACCGGAGTGTGTTCTATTCCTTTTTCAATACATAATGCATACCGATATTCAAAATGTGGCAAAGCGTATTCCCACAATCTCAATTAATATGCATTGAATCTAGCACATTTAACATAATTATATACATGTATATCCCCAGCATATGTACAGTATATCCCTAGCATTCATTCTACACAACTATTCTTAATTTCAGATTCAAACCACCATACTTTTATCATGAAGAGTATAACCATATGAACAATATACTTATGCTTAGGGTAAACCAGAAGGGGGTTAAATCAAACTGGTAACACATCCATTACATTTTATAGAAAGTAGAGTATGATTTGGAAGATTATTAAACAATTATACAACATACAGTGCTGCCAATTTAGGCAAAAGAAAATAACACCATACACGGGAACATGAAAATAATTCTTATTTAAAGGTAAAGACCAGTTATGGTCATGCGATTGCATTGTGAAAGAAACGTTGTGGAATCGATCAGAAAAGGTTGATCATCTAGCATCTAGCATCTGCAAGGTTCTGGAATCATCAAAATGATAAGAAATTTGGCCCTTTCTTTGTAAAGTTACAAGCACTATACACAGAAAGATGTATATGGAACTACCCTATATCTCTCACAGACCATGAGAGAAACAAATTTACCAAATGTATGAATTAGTAGGTGGTTTCCCGGCAAATTTGTTATCATCATGTATTAGTCAAAACATATTCTTTCACATGATTGGTAATAAGAACTTCCATTTCATTTTTTGAAATTGGGGCGTTTCCAATACTGGTCTTTACCTTTAATCACTACCAACACCACTACTAACACCACCACAATTATCATCAATAACAAATAATATCAACATCTACAACAACAACAGCAACATCTTGATAATATCTGTTACTATTTTTTTTTAAACAAACTTAAAAAATTGCATTATAGTTCACCATCTACAACATGCATCTGATTTTTTACCTTTCTGACTACCAGGTCTAGGAGGTGCTTTCCTCTTTGGTTGTAGTCCACTTGGTCTAGGTGGTGTACTGCCAGCTGAGCGGGTACCATGGACTGCGTTGGGTCTGGCTGGAGCCATCTTCTTGGTAGGTGGACCACCAACAGGCTGCAGTAAATGAAATACGAAACAAGATTGGACTTGGAGCGCTTCCTGATTAGGTACCGGTATACATTCTTCCTGCATTACAGCACATTCACATAAATATGTTGGAGTAAACTGCACATTATTTTTGTTTGTTTGTTTTTGTATCTACTAGAATGGCACGTGGGGATGAAAAAAGTACCTGTGAAAACAGTGATCCCATATATACATGTACATGTATGTACTCAATTATCTGTGTGTTATGAGATACAAAAGTGTGAAGAGCAGTACGTTACTGATCAATGGAGTGCCGTACTGAACGTTTCCTATTAAAATTGCTTTGTTCCTTCTCTATCTGGACAAACGATCAGTTCACTCCATAATAACAAGTGCTATTGTTTTTCCAGGGTCATGTCAAACAACTACTTTTTCCCTCTACAAGTCAATGAAAAAAGTATTATATTACTGTTTTTCTTTCATACAGTGAAACCCATCTGTAGACAAGAATGGTGGTTTTATAGGCAGGTGGTCTTTGTGTACAGGTGCCTAGTACAGTGTACATGTTACAATGAGAAACCATTTTCAAGGGAAACAAAAAATGTGGTCTTTGTAGACAGGTGGTCACTAAAGCAGGTTTGACTGTATATTGCGTAAATTATATCTAAAATGTTACATATCTATGCTATGATATCTATATTTGCTATGATGTCTACATGTATGTATGTTTGTGTTATGAAAAGTTGTACAATGTAAAATGTGAGCAAAGCAAATATCCATTGGACAAAGGTTCAGATTCATGGATCTTATATACATGCATTTACATGTACACGATTCGGTAGAAATGCGCAATGCTGCAATGATGTTATTGAAACAGGCAAACAATTTTGAATATGTAGCTTTCCATAAAAAATATCCTGATTGCCTTACATGTACAAAACAAGAAATTTTTGTGAGCCGTTTAAAGACAGCTGTTTCTGTGGCAAAAAACTTGCTGAATTGCAAAAAGTTATGACATGGATGATTGATTTCACAGAATTAAAATTTTGCCAATCTGGACCATTTGCAAAAATTACCAAAGTTTTTGCACAATAGTTTTAGGTATTAAAGAATCTCTTATTATTCTTTTGTATGAATGGAATCAAAATACTGAAATCCTGCAAAAATGAAAACAGCACACATGACCAGATAGATTTGAACTCTGCACCCTCAGTTGTGATGTTTTATGACATTTTGAGATGCCACGGAAGTCTGAACGTGTAATTGGTCCTGTCCAGTACCACCTTAGATGTGTACATGTAGATAGACAATTGCAATTGGCGGTACATTAAAATATGCAGATGGTACAACCCATGGAAAAAGGAACTTAAAGAGCAAGAGCCGGTATTCAATTCAATACTTAGAATACGTAAGAAATTTACTAAATAAAGGGTTAAGCTTAGAAATTTACTTATCTCGTATTCAAATTGCATTTTAGATTTTACTTACCTGAGACAAAATCTAAGTAAAATACATGTACTTACTGATGAGCATTGTGACATGATCACACGGTCAATCAAAAGTAATACGCAATTAACGCGTCGCAATAAATGCGGCTAATATAATTGTGGGCAAGTTATAATAATACGTAAGAAAACCATATGCATGCCAATCAAGGCCTCCAAATAATTGGCTTAAGTCTGGTAGAGACCTGTCTTAAATTTAGGGTAAAATACTTAGCCAAAAGTTTGAAATTAATACCAAAATTGGCTAAGTATTTATCCAAGCCAAATACTAAGTAAAAAGCTTAAATTTGGTACTTTCAGTAAGTATTGAATTGATTACGGGCCCAGGTGGTAGAAAAAGATTGAATGTAATCTCACCCTTGGTGGAGGTTTGCTCTTCTTCTGTTGCTGTTCCACTGCAGGTGATGAAGATCTACTGTTACCAGCGTTGGGTCTGATGATAGTGGGCTTACTCCTACCTCCTGCACCACCCTGAGCCTTGGACTTGGGTAACCCTGGTGGTCCAGACTTGAGGTGGTCTGATGCATCAAAGTCAATCAGAGAGCCTCCTCCTCCTTGAGGCTTGGTCTTGGAAGGTGGAGCTCTTGGTGCTGATCTATGGCTTGATTGGGGCTGGGGTGCAACTCTCTGGGGCTGAGGCGCAACCCTCTGGGACTGAGGGGCTACCTTCTGACGCGGTGTAGGAGAGGGAGGGGGTGGCAGACCAGACGCAAGATTCAGTTGTGCTGGGGCATTCTGCTGCAACGGCTTTGGTCTGGCTCTAGCGGCAGGATTCTGTGATTGGGGTGGTACTCCTCCTTTACTTCCCATCATTTGAGCAATTAGATCTATTGAGGATTTTTGCTGACTGCCTGGTTCTGCTTTTCTGGTAGCATTGTTCACAGCATTTGTGGTTGCAAAATTAGTAGCATGGCCTATCTCCTCTGCCGTGACATTCTTGGCAGCGCTCTGTCCGACCTGACCTGAGATACGTCCCAGAGCTGCTTGCTGATCCTGACTAGCATTGACTTTACCCTTGTTGGCGTAGGAAGATGCAAACAGACTTCCTACACTGAAGGCATCTTTAGCACTCACATTCTTAGAGGTATCTTTAGCAACATTCCAGGAGAAATTAGCAGCAGCCTTTTTCTGCTCTGAAGTGGCTGTTAGGGTTACGTTTGATCCTGTGGAGGATGAGGATGAAGATGTGGAACCAAACAAGCCACTTAACTGATTAAATGATGAAGATGATGATGATGATGATGTATGAGAGGTTTGGTTTGAAAGTGAAGCAGATTGCTGTTGCTGCTGCTGCTGTTTGTTAGTGCTACCACCAAATAGGTCCCCAAAGGAACTATAGCTCATTGGTCTATTTCTGGGGATGGGGTTTGTTTGCGGTGCCGTTTTGTGTGAAAGATCTGGTCTCTGAGATGGAACTGGTCTTGGCGCTTCCACCCCACTCGGCTTATTAGGTGGTTTAGGTTTACTGGAGATATCATTTAAGTTATTCATCATCCTATTTTGAAGCGCTGCCTGCAACTGCTGTCCTAAACTATTTGGGGCTGCATCTCGCTCATCCATGCTTATCACAGCAGATTGTTGGCCAGGTTTCATGTGAACATCTTCTTGGCTTGTCACCGGTGTGGAGGGAGGGAGAGGGTGCACATACGCAACTTTAGGACGATTGAACGGTACAGGGGGTGGTACATAAGCTCCTTTGGGCCTTGATGAAGGCAGTGGTGGTGGTGCACCTGCAGTGAGTAAATAAATGAGTTGCAAAGAGTGAGCCTTGCTGCATCCCAGGAAGGTAACAGGTGGAAAGAGAAGAGAAGAGGTACATGTACAACCTCTAGCCCACTTCAGCCTCACAATCTGAATTAACAATTAAAAGATACCAATATTGTACAAAATTTAATGAATTTCTTTTGGAATTCTTTTCAAATCTTTGGACCAAAAACTCTCAGCTTGCCTAATTATTAATCTGGGAAAAGTGTTCTTTTCATTAATCTAGTAATTTGACCTCAATTGCATTTGGCCTTTGACCTCATGTTCCCAAAGTCTACCAAGTTCAACCCTTGTAAAGATGTAAACAGATACCAAATTTGTTCCTTAATTGATTCTTGAGATATTGCTCAAATGAGAAAGTGAGGAAGATAGAATGACAGTGCAACCTGGAAGCATAGTAGTACTGGCATCACTATGGGTTACAGAGGCAACAAAAAAGGTTAGAGTTTGGAAATGAAACATTTTGATTTCATGCACAATAACCCATTCTTTTTCAATTTTCCAATCATTAGAATCATTGGTGTTGATTTAGTTTTTATCTTAACATGCATGCTATTAAAGTTATTTCTTTGAATCAGAGATTATGCTGTTAGATCATGCAAGATCAGAATAAAAATTTCACGATAATTATTTTCTGAATTTACATGTACACTGTATATGAGTGGCATTGGTAGTTAGTACCAACTACATGTACACGTTATATAATTTAAATTGTTGTTTTTCAAAGTAAGATGAACAATTTGAAACATCTCTTAGAAGCTTGAAAAGGCAACAATAAATGTTTGAAGCCAAATCATTGCCAGAAATACAAGGGAATCTTGGTTTACTTTTTTTTCCAAAATATATCCATTTGAAAAGTCCTTTGATGGAATAATCAACATTTCAAAACTTGAACAGCTAACCACAAAATGTTTGACAGTGAGAGAGCTAATCTCAGCAATTTTATTTTCTGAATGGATATTCTTCATAAAATGGTAAGAATAAAGATCAAGTTTAACAGCACATTGACTACATACATGTATGAAAATAAGAGCAGTTTAGACTTGGCTGGAGTGACTGAAAATTTGCAGCTTATCAATGAGTTTTAATCTCTTCTAACAGCAATCAGGTCCAATTTATCATCTACATCCTGACCAGTTATATATTTAACTTTTTTTTCATACTCCTGACCAAATGATCTTTCCTATCAAATGAACGCTATTCACTGGTGAATACTTTCTATTTTTGCAAATCCAAGTACCCGGTAGTAAAGAAACTCAAAATTCTACTCTAAAATCTAAAAGTCTCTCCAATGCTAAAAATTAGGTGAATGTGATCTAGATCATAGATAACTACTACTACTACATGTAGTCATGTACTGAGGTCTACATCCCCCATGATGTCCATGGCATTTCAAGCTAATTTCAGACTTCCTGTTTTGCTGGCAAATTTAAATGTGACGGTAAGGTAGAGAGGAAGATAGTTGATTTCAAGCTAATATATTATAAACATGCACTGAAATAAAAACATTACAAAATATAGAAAAAGAAAGAAAGGAAGAAAGAAAAGAAAGCTAATGCAAATGACATCTGCACAACAGAAATTCTACTTTTTGTGTTTATGGTACATGTACATGTACATGTAGCTTAATTAGTTATTATTATGCCACTTTGATCTAATTGCATTTGATTAATTGAAGTACTGAGATTTTAGTTTTAATATAAAGCTCAGAGTTAGGCTAATGAATATGAGGAAACTTCCATCAAAGTTAAAGAATAGGCACAAGTTGTCATGATCATTTCATTCATTAATAATTCTTTAATTCAAGTTTGTATGCTTTAAAGCTTAGGACAGTATCAAATAATATGTAGTAGTCTTTCACTCAAACTCTGCCTTTAATCCAACATTCTGCACTCATAAATGTGCTTTATTAAAAATCAACAATAATGAAAGATAATGTACACTACAGTACAGATGTACATTTATGAACTACAGTGTACAAGTCAATATATGTTAATTAACATCATTGGGACACTATAGTATATGTATTCAATAAACTTGTGCTGTGTAAAACTTACATCAGACAAAGATAAATATTCTCAGAAGCTAAAATTGTCAAATATTCACATTTCCCTTCATGCTACATACAATCTATCAAAGTAGTAAGTTACTACTTTGATATCAAACTATACATTGAGGTAAATTATCTCACACAATAACTCAAGATGACTTGCTTATTCAAAAACTTATCTAACCTGCTTATACTACACTAATAAAGAACATAATAATCATGCAAAGTTGTAACCTGTAATATTGTGTGCAATGAAACACTTACCAGCCATTGTCACTCTCTATGAAATCTTGGGAGTCTTCACCAGCCACTAGACAGCGAAGACAGCTTATAGCAGACAGTGAGTGATAGTGGACTGATTACCTGTGAATGGGAAGAATAAACAAATACGCATGGTCAGATTCATAACAAGGAACAGGAACAGCAGTTCCACAAGTAACAGGAAAAAACAATTCATGCAGCTTTCCCCCAAAGTACCGGAAGATATGTATGCATGGAAAATATGGATGTACAATGTACATGCATACAAAACAATATTAATGAATTATTTAAGAACGACACACTTTTGCTAAGGTCTGCTTGTACAGGTATGTATGTCTTCAAATTTCTAAATCATATGGCACCTGAATATCTTAATGATACCCTCCAAATAAACACACCAGTGACCAGCCCGTAACCTTGATAAATATAAACTATTTTTTATTCCTAAATCCAGACTCTCATCTACCAATTTTTTTTTTCTTCAAGCTATTTCATCAGTAATTTAATGTGATTTCAATACATACAGTTGTATTTTTATGAGTCTATGTATTTCATGTTTCTCTTTCTTTACATTATGTAATTAAAGCGCTGTGGTATTTTGTTTGTGTTTTTAGCGCTCCTAAATAATCAATATTATTATTATCAATACTAGCCTTTGGATAGATGGGTAAATTAATGACTAAATATATGTACATGTATTTTGCCTACAGTGGAAACTCATTTTGTTTTCCTTCTCCATTTTGTGCCTTGTCATGTTTCGTTGAAACGTTAGCGTCTATAAATACCGAAATGTTCCCAATGTAAATAAATGGCCCATTAAAGCCCCTCTAAAGTGTCAGGAGCTGTGACAATTTGATGGCAAAATTTCACTTAAATGTTATCATAATGTGAAAGAGGATGTCATTTAAGACACATTTCTGCAGGGATTCTCAGAAACAAATGTGTTTTAAGTCGAATATTGATGAAAGAATACAAAATTAAGGTTTTCTGCATACAAAAAAAAAAAAAATCCAAATTATGTATTCTTTTATCAATATTTTTGTCTTCCAAACACTTTGCAGAAGTGTCTTAAATGACATCCTCTTTCACATTATGATACAATTTAAGTGAAATTTTGCCATCAAATTTTTGGTGAATTTGTGGCTCTCAACACTTTAAGAGGGGCTTACATTTCCACACCCCATCACCCTTCTAAGTAATCCCTAGCTTTCTATGCTAGACATGGTACATGTACATGTAGCTAGTGGGTTGCTAGACTGACTTCTACATGTACTTGTACATGTACATGTATTATTCAGTTCCTGTAGCCGAGTTTCCTTAAAGGTACTACAGTATGTCCCATTTGCAGGCCCAAAAAATGAAAAAGTTAAATTCCAACTGCATTTGAAAGATAATACTAATTTAGAACTTCCCTAAAAAGGGTGGGGCTTGAAAATGTCTTCAAGTGGGAAAATAACGACCATTAGTTGTCAAATCGACTTTAGGGCTATAGAGCCCAAAAGTAATAGTCTTGATTTTCAGACAATTGTACCGAATGGTCATACGTTTTATGCTGCGCAAAGATTCAATCAGTTTAATCATGGCCATCACAAGAAGTGGGTTATTGATGTAGACAAATGCTCATGTACCCTTTACAACCCTTTTCATGTATGTTATTACCAAAGAAGAAAAAAAGCCAGTCAGTCACTCAATAGTGTCTGACAGTGAAGTCTAGCAAGTAAACAGGTTTCCTTGCATAATTTGAATATGAGGACACTGCTAACGTTTAAAAATTCACAGATAGGACATACATGACATATTCATAATTCCTGCAAAGTTCTACAGCATTTGAGGTTGGCTGCAAAAGGGACATAGCACCTTTAAAGCCTGCTGCACAGCAGTACAACATATGTTCATGTACAATGCGGTTATGCAAACAAATACATCTACGCTAGCTGTTTGGTGCACTTGATTAAAACAATTCGAACTGCAAACATGGTTATTGCTTTGCTATTATTTATGTTAATTTATGTTTTAAAAATAGGTGTGTACATTTCATTGATTCAAATACCATCACAGTCAATCTAATCTTATTCATCATCATTCTTTTCTCACTCTTCAAAAGATCTCACTTTAAACAGACTTTAAATTATATTATTTGTGTACCTGAATAGACAAACATTATGGCTTTTCCTACATGTACATGTACGTCTAACATGGATGTACATGTACTGTATGTAATTAACATTCTGACTATTGAAATGATATTATTTGTAACAGGTATATTAAATAATTTGTAACGAGGTACTTACATGTAACAAAGATTTGTGCATTCAATTTGATTATCATACATTACAAAACTGGCCTATTAGACAATACAACTGTACGTATGATCCACAAACAACTACCGAGATGTTGACATACACCTGTAAACAATTGGAACATGGGCGGGCTGATGTATGCAGAGCACAAAGTCCCTTGTGGCCTGTGTGAAGGGCTTGCTGAAGGGCTCTACATAAAGTGCAATATAAGCAATCTTTGGAAGTATTTCCAAATAGATTTTATGACTAATATTTCATAAATAATTTTGGTTGAGAATGAACATTAAACTGTTTATGTGATATTCAAACTGTTGCTGATTTGAAAACCTGTCGCCGTCAAAATTGAAATCAGTCCAGTTACATTTAAAAAATCTTGTGGTCTACCCTGTAGTAGTTTATACAGTAATCTAGATGATTTAGTCCTGCATTAGAAGTGACAATCACTTGTGACTTGACTTTAAAGTTTGACTAAATCTATAACATTTTCTCAGCTCCCTGTTCTCTCCCAACATTCTTTAATTTACAATTGATATTATTTTTATGTTGAGAGAACAATCAAACAATTAAATCAGAGAGAGAGAGAGAGAGAGAGAGAGAGAGGAGGAAAAGGGGAGGGCGAGGGGGTGGTTAAAAAATTGACAATAGATGATGGGGCAAACAAAGTAAAATGCTTTATATCCATGCATCCGAGGAATGTCATTTCCTGCTTGTTGCAAGAAGCATCAAAATCACAGGTCAATAACAGTTTAGATGATCAGCTTTAGTTCACCTATTCAATTCACTTAAATTCTTAAACTGATAGTTCCATTTGATGGTATGGTTCACAGATCTAGAGATAGTTCATGGAAGATATATATTGTTGTGTATTACAATAAATGTTGTTGTCTAGATTTTTTGCATACAAAGCAATTTAGATTTTAAAAAAGGGGAAACAATAACTCTTTACAGTTTTGCAATACACAGAATCACAAGTAAATTGTATAAATTGTCTTTAGTGGAGGACAATCTGTGTCACATTTCCAAAATTCTTGGGGAAATGGATTAAAACTAGCTTCTGTCTTATACAGTAATATGACACTTTTTGGAAGTCCCCCTGAAAATAATGTAAAAAGTACAATGTACTGTCCATGCATGCCAGTGAGAAAGGTATTCATAAAACATGACAGGATTAGTAGGTGAATGGCTGATGAACTGCCTCCATCATGGATTCATTGAATTCAATTTATGTCAAGTGTGTGTGTCCAGCAAGTTGACTAGATTTTTTAATCATTTTAGATTTCACTCAACAAAAGACTGAACGTTTTTTAAGACATGTGATCTACTCTGCAGTCTGCATTATCAATGTGGCACATTTTAACCTGCAAAGCCATCTCATTAAAAATAAAACAAAAACAAACAACCACAACAACAAAATGAACATACTATAAACAAACAAACAACACTCCTCCCCCTCCCCTCCCCTCCCCCCTCTCTTCTCCTTCCCCCTGTCTTGGACTCTTTCCTCTTCTTTAATATATCCTGTTTTCCCCCCTTTTATTTTACATTTCTCAATCTGTACTCATAGAGAGCCTCTTTCTTCCCTCATGAACATTTTCCCATAAACAGTGTTTTTGCAAGGCCACTGAGAGACTGTAGACATCACAACTGTTCACTGTTAACCAAATATTCCTTTTCTAAATTTTGGATAAAAAGAAAGGAACAAAAGACTTTACATGTTCATGTACGTCATAAGGTAAACATTATTTTTTAGAGAATTGCCCTTTGGTGTCTTTTCTTCATCCATGTACTGTACATGTACATGCTTCTTTAAGTTATTTTGTTTGCTTTCCAATGACGTTTACATTTGTTTTTCTATTCAAAATTCTTTCATCTGTAGTAGAATCAATTGTAAAAAAGCAAATTCTCGTCTGAATTTTTTGTACAGATATCACAGTTGTATGGATTTAAAAGCAAGACGTACACTCTGTTTTGCTCTTATTCAATTTTTATTTGACTATGCTAACCCTGCATGGTATAGTAACATAAATAAGTCAGATCAAAAGAAGTTGAAGATTATACAGAACAAAATGGTGAGATTTATCAACTGTTCTGGTCCAAGAACTCATGTTGGCTACAGCGAACTTTCTAAAGCTGGTTTTCTTGAAGTCGACCAAAGATCAAAACAACTCGTATTGCATCACGTGCATAAAATATATCATACTAGGTCGAATCATTATATTCGATCCAACTTCGATCTTGTTACTGACGTACATGATTATAATACAAGAAATAGCCGATTCAACTTTAACTTACCAGAAAGAGTATTGGAAATTTGTTTTATTACAATGCCATAAAACATTGGAATTCCCTTCCCAATGCTGTAAAGGAAATAGAAAACTATGCTCATTTTAAGAGGAAATTAAAGGAATACCTAATACTTAAGAGGAAATTAAAGGAATACCTAATACTTGACAGTCAGATAAGAGAAGTAAATGACATGTTATATGATTGAAATTTGTATTCTTCTGCCGGTTCATACTTTTTCATTTTTACTTATGTTTTCGTACGTTATAGAAATTCTACAAATTCATCATTATTTTCCTCTTCTTCCTCTGCATCTTTTTCTTCTTCTTTTTCCTTTTCTTCTTGAACTTACATGTATATCATTTCTATCATCAGTTTAATGCTGTTATTATTATCTTTAATAAGTAATTCTTTTATTTTTCTTATCTGTCTGTAAATAATTATTACTATTTTAAGTTATTAATTTTATACATGTCTGTAAGGGACCCCATTGGAAATAAGCTATTGAGCTTTCGTGGGTTATCCTGTTCAAGCTGACTTATTTCTGATCTGTTATTGTATATTGTTGTATGTTGGTAGCTTGTCGAATAAAAATCAATCAATCAATCAATTCTCCCTATTAAACTTTGTTATAATTACCCAATTTCTGTCAGACTGAAGTTTTCTCTCCTTATCTGTATAATTTTATTTGATGTTTTCCTGATTCTTCTTCTCTTTTATTTTTTTCTTGATTTCACTTTATATTCTCTCTCTTTCCACATATCATTCTATTTTTTCATATACCCATACACTGTATACCCCCTGTAATCAAATTTCTGTCTTTTTCATTTGTACCCTTTTCTTTCATCTCCCCTTTCCCTAGACCGAATTTTCCGTCTCTTTCGTTCGTTAGCCTCTTATTGGGGTAGGGTCGGCTCTCTCTTTAGAGACGGAAGCCGTTTATACACATGTCCTTGCTAACGCCACGGCCAGTCCTGGTCGTAGCGTTTTGCCCCCAAAATCCCCCAAAATGTCATTTTACCTCGAGCATGTTATATTGTAAATTAGGCCTAGGCTATAATAAATCAGTTCCACTTACCAACTTGACTGAAATAATCAGTTTAATAGTCCCTTTTTAGGAAATTATGGGTCAAAATCGAAATCCATTTTGAAAATCTTTTTCAACATGGATTCCGATTTTGACCCATAATTTCCTAAAAAGGGACTATTAAACTGATTATTTCAGTCAAGTTGGTAAGTGGAACTGATTTATTATAGCCTAGGCCTAATTTACAATATAACATGCTCGAGGTAAAATGACATTTTGGGGGATTTTGGGGGCAAAACGCTACGACCAGAACTGGCCGTGGCGTTAGCAAGGACATGTGTATAAACGGCTTCCGTCTCTAAAGAGAGAGCCGACCCTACCCCAATAAGAGGCTAACGAACGAAAGAGACGGAAAATTCGGTCTACCCTTTCCCATGATTTATTATTATCATTATTTTGGGTTTTGTTGTTGTTGTTGTTGATATAAATCTTTATTCACACATTACAGATAACATCATACATAAATATTTATAACAAGCATTTCATCATAATTCATATGTTTAAATGAGATCAAATAGTTGAAAGCAGACTGTAGATGCATTCCCTGTAATCCATTGTCTTCTTTAATGAATTAATCTTAAAATCTTCATTAATCATCATTATCATCATTATCATTATAATAAGACTATTATTATTATTCTCTATTTTCACTCATCATCTTGCATTCCTTCTGTATATACTAGCCTAGGCCTAACCATATTTCATGTTTTTGCTTCTTCTCTTGATTACTTTCCTTAGAGTCTATGTATTATGTAGAGACATAGATCTAGTCACAGTAGTCGATGATCCAAAAATTCCAAACACAGTCAACACATACAATTACAAATTTTATTCACAATCACATTTTTATTCATAAGGTCTACTCATCATTAGGTCTAACTTAGTGGACAACATTCTTGATTCTTCTGTTCTTCAAATTCTTACACACCTCTAATTCTCAAGTCAAGCGTGAAGAGTCAATCATGATCAACAGGATCAATCAAGTCATAATTTTGACCACATCAACATTTCAAAAAGTGACATGGCATAATTAATGATGACCCTGATGACAGTAGATTATAGGCCTGACAGTCTACATTCTACATGTAAGAGGAAACTGACCGGCGGACTCGGCGGTGTCGAAGGCGAAACAAGGCCAAGTGCTTGCGCTCTCAGCTCCCCGAAGGCGGAGCCCAAGGAATCGCGATCCCAAGAATTAGATGGACAAGAGCAACCGGTAACGATAAATTTAATGCAAAGATGGTAACGAAATATAAGTTAACAAAATCAAATGTGAAAAATGAGTTACTTCTTACCTTTTCCGAAAAAATAGATTAGCTTGTAACAGAATTCAATCCGAACTTCTGAAGTAAATTTCCCTGGCTTTGAAGCAGAAAATCCTTTCGTTGTGTTCGCACTTCACTACACTCGACTCCTTATCTATTTCCGGCTTACTAGGTAGAAGAAAGCAACCAAAATAAATACAAAATAAATAAAGTTCAAAAGCAGGGCCTCTCTTTCGTTGCCAATTTTGTGGACTACGGGGTAGGGTAACTAATCAGTTGCTAAAATAGATCAAGAATAAAATTAACAGTACAACTATGAGCTTCCGTTACCCTAAATCACGAATTATAAATACTTTGTGAAATTTTCATGAGATTATTTAAATTAACAACCTTATTTAGTTTACTCATATAAATTGTGCGTGGGTGAGTGGGGCCCTACGAAAAACGTATAGAGCTAGAGCGATCAGTGCGTGGCCCATTTTGGTGTTGAATTCAGCGTTAATATGGCAATAATTCAAACTTGATTATTATCAGCAACTACTTTTCTTATCCTCGTATGAGCTTTAATTACAGAAAATGTTTTCAAATTCTGTCCATTCTTATATCCATTGAAAATATTCATATATGAATATTTTCAATGGATATAAAGCCATTACTCTCTCTCTCTCTCTCTCTAGCTCTCTCTTGACCCCAAAATATCAAACGTGGTTTATTTCTAATCCGATACCTCTGATATTTTTGCCCCTTTTTACTTCGACTCAGGCCCCCTTTCCCTTCCAATAAGTGCACTTTTGCCTTCGTAATAGAACCCCCTTCCCTTTATCTTAAGAGCTACTTTTCACCTCTCATAAGTGTCACTTTTTTTTGACACGTGCATTTTTATCATATTTCCTTCGGATAAATGCTCCTTTTCCTTTTTTTTTATGAGCCCCTCCCCCTTTTCAAAATGCCCTTTTAACATCTGATAAATACCCCTATGAAAATGATAGGTGCCTCTTTCCTTCAACAGATTTTTCTTTGGTGCCAGGTAAAAATGTCCGAGGAAAAATATCAGAGGTAAAAAGTCCGAGTTAAAAAGTCCGAGTTAAAAAGTCCGAGGTAAAAATGTCCGAGGTAAAAAGTCCGAGGTAAAAAGTCCGAGGTAAAAATGTAAGAGGTAACAATGTAAGAGGTTAAAATGTCAGAGGTACAAACAAAACGTCAGGGCGAGAAAAAAAATGTCGGGGTCAAAATCAGTGCCCGTCATAATATATCGGCACCTCATCACACAAAATGTCGAGACGGATACTGGGCTAGCCTATTATATTCCCTTTGTTCGTATCATGTATATTTAACAAATGAATATGTCTTGTATTTCGTACGTGTCCTGTGGATATACAATGTGGGTTTGGTATATGAATTTCTAACATTTTTCGATATTTTGAATTGGTTGATGTTTTGAGGAAGTAAGTTCATATAGTATTAAGATTGAATGAGAGAAAACAGGGAATCAGTTATAAAGATCGCACAAAACTTCCACAAATTCAGTCATCAGACCCATTTTCATGTACATCCCAGCAAAGACTGTTATGACAAAGAAACATTAAGAAAAAATCACGATGCTTATCCCATCATTAATACTATTACTACATTACGAAAGTTTAACAATTTGACCCTGCATTTTTAGAAAGAAGATGAAAATGTAGAAGGTTTCCGGATGACGGATGTTGACGGCGGCAATAGCTCACTTAGAGGTCCATGCTTTGAGCCTCCGGCTCAAGAGTGAGCTAAAAATGATTATGGTAGTGTTTGAGTCAAAAATTGGTACATCGCAAGCGTATTTTTGTTTAGACTAGACCTCAGGTTTAAAGTCGTATAAAATCGTTTAAAAAAACGAGAAAATTCCCCTTTCTTCCTGTTTGTTTAGCAGACAATTTGGGCTCAACTTCGACTGCAACTTCTTTAGTTTTTTGCAACAGTCGCGCACCACTCCGACTGACCGCAAGCGCCGCCAGTTGAGAAGGCCTGGTTTAGAACCTCTCCTGAGATCTGAAAATGAAACGGGAGTCCCTTACTTTTCTTTCCATGTTTATTTCTTTTTGCTATTTAATTGGCCAGGGGTCTTTTATACAAGAAATTCAGGAGTCTAAAAGCCGAAAAAAGTCGCTCGGGGGGGGGGGGGGGGGGGGGGGGGGGGGGGGAGTGAGCACTATTTTTTGTTTTTGTCCCGAAAATTTGAAAATCGCGCCGGCCGAAAAGTCGTTCAGTGGTGGGGGGGGGGGGGGGGGGGGAGGGGAGGGAGGGGTAGTGAGGTATTTTTAATTTTTTTTTTGGCCCTCGAAAATTTGAAAATTTGCACCCCCCCCCCTTGCCTTGAGCGCCGGGGGGGGGGGCCCATCCAAAAAAAGGGAAAATTGACGTTAACAAAACTAAAAATACACATTTTTTTTCCTAGGGGGGGCCGGCCCCCCCCCCCCCTCTGGATCCGCCACTGCCACCTCCCCACCTCCCCCCCCCCCCCCCCCCCCCCCCTCGATCCATGCATCCACAGTTGCTTGTTTCATATAATATAAGGAGTGGCTTGATGAGGGCGGTGAATCAAAAGCGGCTCTTCGGGTAAATTCTCAAAACAAAGGAAGCGAAAACAAACAAAACATGCAAGCTAGCTCCATAAGAATATTCAATCAGCTAAATACAGGGATATAAATATTATAAGTACCTATTGATACAACACAAAAACATCCACAAACGTGCCAATACATATAACAGAATTAACAATCCTTTCTTTCAAGTCACTTATCAAATTGGCAAAAATGAACAATCGACTATCTTCAAAATTCGAGAGAAAGTAAGCAAATGATTACAACACAAGTTTATGATAAACAAAAGTTAATGCATCCCTGAAATTTTAATTTAGATTTAAATCAAACAAATAAATAATTTTATATTTATTTATAATTTTCAAATTTATTTGAATATTAAGATAACTAAGAAAAATAAACCTTAAGTCCGTAAAATGTTCTCATACTCCTACATGAAAAGGTCAATACGCATGCTACGTATGGCGCCAATAGCGCATCAATGTAATCTATTACGAACAGTATGGCTTGAAGTTGTAAGTATAAATCGACAATATTGTTTTTTCTGTATTTGCTTGAATTTCTTTATTATATCCATTTATTTTAAGTGTCGTTAAAATAGTACATTAGGTATGTTATTCCCTGGCGAAAAGAAACAAATTTAATTTCTAGAATTCTTTTAAAAATGAATTAGCTGGAGTTGTAAGACCGTTGTCGTTGACGAGAAAAATACCAGAGGTCATGACACTGCACTGTAAACTTGAATGCTGTGTGTACGTGTGTGTGTATGAATGAATGTGATATTCATGTACACTTGTAATGCAGGTGAGTGCTTGAGCTGTGTGTTGTGCATAAACCCTAGTCGTGCAATAACATTCATGATGTAGCTGATAGACAACAAGCACTATAATGAACTGTATTTAAATCAGGCTGCTTCTTGAGGTGAGGCTGAGAGTTGCTAGTTGATCATTAATCCATGATAATGTCGTTGATTTTGTGAATTTTTTAGCAATTGTGAATTGAATTAGGAAAACTAAATTCACAAACAAACAAATCAAAAATATTTTCACCATTATCTAGCCTTAATTAACTACATACAGACCAGGTGATAATATTAAATATGTTATTGATATCAACTAGTGTAAGTTGGCGATTAAGAACACATTTTAGGTTTTGTTTACCTCCCTCTTCACGCAGAGTGAGGTAAACAAAACTAAAATGCGTTCTTAATCGCCCCTTCCCGCACCAGAGTAGCAGATGAACATTGCACACTGGCTTTGGAGTTCGCTAGTGCCTAGAATCTAGTGGACTCTTCTTTTTTCTTGTACAAAGGGTCAAAGCACTGAAATCGGTCAAGAATTTACCAAAAATATGAAATTTTGTTACCTTCTTCTTCTGGTTCTCCCTCCGCGTTCGTCGGAGATCAGCAACAGGATGTTGTAAATATAGATCTAAGCAGGCCAATTCATAATTATTGAGGAGAAAGAGATGAGATACGGTTTACATGAATCTTGTAGATAAAAATGAGTGTTGCAGTATTCAGTTCATCACATATTTGAGAAGGGAGCTGGGTAACAGTGTGGCTTTTGTGAATGCTTCGCCCTTGGTTGTGTCGTAGAGGGAGAAGATCTCTTCTGGCAGGTGTATAGTCCTCGGCTTGTTTTGGAAGTCTTGTCTGTGCGTCTCCAGCTGTGTACATGACGCCACAAAGTGAACTGTGTTTTCCTCTTCTTTATGGTAAAGCTGGCAGGTATTGTGGCCTTTTTGATGGTTACTAATCTTTTCTGAACAAGAGTTGTGACCTAATGACCACACCTTGTCGGAGGAATTTTGAGCTGCTGTAGCGAGGATACTTGCGGGTGGGGTTCAGGGTCTTCATATTTTTCCAAAGTGAAAGTGTTGTTTTCACTTGGATTGCCTCAAGTGTGTTGTTATTCACTACTTCTTCTGCTGCTGCTTTTACTAGCTTCTTCCAATATCTTTATGGGATTGGTTGCAGTGTGAGTGAGTGGAGATCTGCCAGTTTGTATTTACTGAGGATGGTTTGCCAAGCTTTGATGGAAGTGGTTTGCTTGAATAGAGCATGGAGAAATGTTCTGTACTCAAAGCGATCATGGGGGAGATCAACCAGTTGTTCTATCAGAAGGAGCTTCTCAAGGTCCACTTGTGCACTCAGATGTATGAGTCCGGTTAGGAGGTATACAGATTCGTCAGTCGCTGATTTTGGGAGGCCAAGAATCTGTTTGAAAAGTTGCTGCTGTGCCTGGTTGAGTCTGTTAGACATCCCCTTGGTGAGGTTTGTGACAGCTGCTCCATACAGCATGCGAGGAACGCAGTATACTCTCCATACAGCAGTACTATGCTGTGGAAATAGTCCTCCAGTGTATGCCCCAGCTCCAGTAAGTGCATAGAATGTTTTCAGTCCTTTTGAGATCATGTCCACTGTTGGGTCTCTCCTTGTGCTAGATTTTGTGATGCCAAGGTGTGAATTCATTGGGGGCAGTCTGCACTGGGTCCTCTCCAAGATGCCAAGAAGGTCGTTGGGCAGCATTTTTGCCTTTGTTGAATACTATGATACAGCTTTTAGATGGATTAATTCTGTATCTCCATTCTTTTGTATAGCTGTCAGTTGCATCTAGCATACTTTGCAGTTCGCTAGGAGATGAGCTGATGAGAGCTACATCGTCTGCTAGTACAAGAAGACCTAGCAGGGTGCATCCTAGTTCTTGCTTCGCAGGAGTTTGATGAGATCAATGAAGCTGGTATAAAGAAGTGGGGACAGAACTCCACCTTGCCTAACTCCTTGGAAGATAGGGAACGGCTCACACTCACTTTCCCATCCTATAGGACCTGGCTGTGTAGATCTTGGTAAAGTGAGTCGACCATGTTGAGTTGTATGGGATGAATGTTTGTGGCTCTCAGCTTTTGGAAGAGCCCCTTGTGCCACACCTTGTACCGGAGTGGTAGTAATTTGCATTCCTTCTTTGTTTCTGAAGATAATGAGCTAACGTGCAATTAACATAACAAAACTGCTGAGCTCTTACAATGGTTTGCGATGTTGGGTATATCTGAAATTCTAATACAAAGAGTACCAAAAAAAAAAACTGTTTTTGCATTGCCAATTTGATACTTACAGTGTACTTTACTATAATAGCGGCCAGAGTAAAAAGGCGCAAATTGCCCATTTCAAAGGTGGTACTGTACCTGTACTTTCCATAGCATCAACATGCATGTCTAGCTAGCCTTAAAGTCATAGAAAGCCATTTATTTCGAGGATTTGTATGTATGTACATGTATATAATAATGATTCTTGCTGAATATTCTAAACATCCTAAGGGTTTTCATTGTTAAAAATATTGTTTTTGGAGTATCTCCTGTGTTTGTCAAAATTTGTTAGGTGATATTTACTGGTAAATACCAGGGCAGGAAATACTGGTATTTACCAGTAAATATCACCTTACAGGATCGAATCACAATTAATTCTGTTTGGTGGTTATTTCTAGGAAAGCTAAATCGGTAATTGGCCTTATGTTTCTCATCTTTAGGCGTGCATGTTATTTTAAGATTCATTGAATACACATGTACATACAGGAAGGTTAGCGGCAAGACCAAATGACACTATAAGTAATAAGTATAACAAAATCATATTGTTCCACCTTAACATATCCTTGCTGTGGGTATTTCAGTGCTGACTCATTGCAGAAGGGGCATTTAGATTTCTGTACATCGCTATCTTGCGCTGCATGAACAGCCATACCTTGTCTTGTACTTGTCATGCTTGCTAAGACTTTCTATGAAAATTCTCATATTTTTAGCTCATTTCTGCCAACCCTCTTTCTTACAACTAGGCACAAGCGCCCACAGGCTTTCATTATTTTGCACTGATATTGCATTTCTGGCGGCAGAAGTAGTTTTTGCATGATTTTTAGTGGTTCTGTTGTTGTCAACGACTATATGTCTTGTGTGTGCAATGGGGTGATTTACTGATTTGTGTGTGTTGCATGTAGATCTACAGATGTATGTCTTGGCAATCTAATTTTGATTTTTTGATTTTTTTTTCTTCTTTTTTTTTTCTTTTTCTTATTATATAAAAAATAGATTTTATCTTTAATTGGAGAATGATTTGTGGCATAAAATTTGCACTTACATGTAGTAGAAGGATAACAATTCAAATTCAAGCCAATTTGCAACCTGCACAAGCCAAGTTTTATATCAAATTGAATGCAAAATCTGTGCTGTTGTCTTACATGTAGATATTTGTGCACTGGATGGGAGAAAATGAATTCAGACTCTGATGGTCAAGGTTGGAGCCCAGTTTACGATCTGAAATGACCTTGGGTCTAAATATTATGCTGAAGATTGACCAGCCTTTCTTCTGTTGGAGAATGTCGACATGCTATTCAGATCTTTATCCAGCTCCAAAAAGTTGACAATAATAATAATAGTGTGTTCTTGTATAGCATTTGTGTCTGTCAGACTTGACGCTCCTGGCGCTCCTAATTTTTACTCTGGTTTTAGCATGGCTGCCATTACGGCGCTCTAGCATTTCAAGGAATTAATTCTTGCCAGGTACCCATTTACATCACCTGGGTTGAGTGTGGCAAATGTAGATCAATGTCTTGCCATTAGTGCCGGGACTCAAACTGCAAACCTTGTGATCCACAGTCCAGTGATGTATCCACTCGACCACGATACCGGAAATCTTGTAAATTTTGTATATTTAGTGTTGTGTATTAATGGTTTAGAATAGATTAATTGTTATTTTATAAAATTTTCACTCATTTTGAACCACTCACAGGGTCTGCCTAATCGTTGCTTGGTGAGAAGAAAACAGAAAATATAAGAACTGCTTGCTGAGGAGGAAGACGACAGGCTTTCACCATGTTTGGCTCCAGCAGCCATGGTAGCTCCAATCAGCCTGCGGAGGTAAGTCTCTTACAGTCTTGGTATACTCTCACTGACGCATGTTAAACCTGACTCTGGGACTGAAATCACAATTAAGAACAGGAAAAATTAGACCACTACCTAACTTTCTTTGTTAAAGAGAAGGTTGAGTTCTGGGGAGAGGTAACAAATTATTTGTGAGCTTCATTGTTATTATGCAAGTGTGAAAAAGTGTTTCCTGAAAAGCATGGCTCTGCAAATGCCTCCATATTCTAAATACAGCTTAAAAGTGAGGCCTGATTTTTATGCCACATGTTTGTGTAGTCTGATGTACACATCTTTCTGTGTACAGTGCTTGTTACTTTACTAAGACTGGGCCAAATTTCTGATCATTTTGATGACTCCATAACCTCGCAGTACACACCAATACTTGTATGCTACATGATCAACTTTTTCTGATCGATTCCACACCGTTTCTTTCACAATTCTCTCAACTTTATCTTTAAACCTAATTTTTCGTAAAAAGCCTAAACTCAGCGTCTGGTTTGAATTTGAGTAGAATACGAGCCCAACTTACCTTCAGCTGCGAGCGATAGAGCTGAATTAAAGACTTTATAAATGAACGGATTAGAAACACAAATTATATACTATCATTGGTGCTTTCATGATGTCTGGGGAGTTTTCCATTTGATAAAGTCAATACCAAAATATTAAAGTAGATGTACCTTGAAAAAGATATTTTAGCTGTGAGTATACTTTCATTTGAATGAAAGGTAATAAGGTTAAAACTTGAGCCTAGGGCAAGAGAATCACCTGTAGCACGCATGTTTAAGAACGTATCTAGACCTGTATATAATATTCAGCCATAGTCAGCTTTTATATAGCGCTTAATACATCTCAGAAGTTTCTAAGCACTTTACAGATACACTATTACCCTGGTCATTGGATTCAGTCCTTGCCCGCACACAATGTGTGCACAATCTCCACTCCCTGGGGAGCATTCCAGCCAGGCGTTACTTGACGCTCAAAAACTGTTTGACCAACAATGACGGTCGCATCCTACCGGCTACCCATTATAACACCTGAGTGGAGAGTAGCAAGTGTAGGTTAATATCTTGCCAAAGGATATTAGTGCCGTGTCGGGATTCGAACCCTCGACCTTCGCATCTCCAGTCAAGCGCCTTAAACCACTCGACCACGACACTCCCACGACACCCCCATATAAACTCTCAACTGCTATGGATTAAACACCACGCTCCTTCTCTTATTTGTACTCCGCAGGTATTCCGTAAGGATCTGATTAGCGCCATGAAGCTGCCCGACTCTTATCAGCTTCAGCCTGATGAATACATGATTATGACGGATAATTGGAAACCAGAATGGGAGAAAGGAGTCCAGGTTCCAGTCAATCCTCAATCTATTCCCATGGCTGATATCAAAGAGATCAGAAAACCAGACGATATCGACTTTAAATTGTAAGCTCCTACGTTCCGTCAAATTATGCTGTGATTTAATGTACTTTTACAAATAGACAAATGCAATTCTTAGGATTTATATTGAAATGAACATTGAATTCTCCCTTTATGAACTTAACCATCTTTCCAAAAGCTTGCAGGATTTGTTTTCTTTCTAGCAATGTCAACAAACATTTCAACTACTTTTATGATTTTATAAAACTTTTAGATTCACATAGTATTTCGCTTTAAAGAAAAATCTGAACCTTGTAATAACATTTGTTTGGTAGCAAATAAAAACTGAATGGCAGAGATGCCAACCGTTACGGTTTTGCAATATTTGTTCCGGTTTTAATGCTTTTGTTACAGCGTTACGGTAAATAACCAAAAGGTTACGGACATGATAAATAAGTACATTATACATGTAGATGCTGCTTATAAGTATCGGCTTGCATGGTGATGTAGATATACAGTAGGCTTGTGGTTGCACCATGTTAGAGAGGGGGAGGATTGGGGAGTCCTGAAAAGGACTCGGTAATCTTTCTTTCTTGAGTGTTTACATTTTTTTGATAATTCATTATTGAAGTAAAAAATCTTATCTAAAGATCATAATGTTGAGAGCAACTAGTAGCATAAATGGCCTGCCATAGTTAAGTCCAACTTAAGTTGTTCTTAGTAGTTGTGAAACACCTCCAGGTCTTTTCACAACTTAACATAATAATATATCTTTATATTTTTTATTTCTTTCCTCCAGGACTAAGAAGTATATTAAAGGATACGATACAGAGGATGAGAAGGAAGATGATGCTGATGGTCCTGAGAAGAAAGATGCTATGTGCCAGTATGATTTAGATGAAGCGGATGTCCATTGGCTCGGTCAAATCAACCAGACCAGAGAAGAAATGGGTCAGTAAACAATCTCACATGTTTATCAATGTCCAATCTAGCATTGTTGGAAATGCAAAGACATGTACATCTTAAATGATTTGTAGACCCTCTCTGAGAAAGTGCCCAGAAATTGACATGTTCTGTTGTTGATGTAATTTATTTGAAATTAATATTTGTTTGAATTAGAGGGAAAAGAGATTTGACAGCAAAGCTGGAAGACAACTCAAATAGAGGGGGGGGGGGGGGGGGTCTGGTGGAATGCTAAAATATAGCTTGATGAAGAACCTGGGAGTTATTATTTCCCTTACAATCTTCTATGTAGTGAAGCTCCTCTCCTTTCGTACCCTCATTTTACAGAAATTCTGCAAATGAAGTGGATGTTATCTTGTTTTCACTTATAAGATTGTTCAACTACAGACAGATATGACAATATGTATCTTCAAGGATTATTGAAGTCAAAAGTGAATTTATTGTTAAATTCTTAGAATTGATATAAAATGATTTATTTAATTTTCTATTTCAGGTGATGAAGCTGTTGATGAATTGACAATGGAGAGAATAATAGAAGAATGTGACATACAGGTAGGTTCATAAGATGGATTGATTCACAAATATTTACGAGGTCACTATTAACCATTTTAATGCTGTAAAGCTTTCATATAAATCAAATTAAGCATTTTTTTACTTTGTAAAGCGCATAGAGAAACTGCTGTTTATCATGCGCTCAATAAATCTATCTTTATTATTATTATTATTATCTTGTATGGTCTGATTTTAAAATATCAGCATTCGTATCTTCTTGCATGGTATCAACATTTATAGCTAGAAATTATTGGCCATCTATGTTTCGAATTAGAAATTCTGTCTTAATATTAATGTTCAGAGACAATATCTGTATTTTATCAAGTGACAGGAAATTGTATTATATTTCAAAGAGGATTCTATGTGGTACAAGATAAACATTAGATATACATTGATTTATTTGAAATAATTGGTGTTTTTTGTTTTGTTTTGTTTTTTGGTGACAGTGCAACAATAACATGGAACATGCCATGCAGACAGAGGAAGGTCTTGGTATTGAATACGATGAAGACGTCATATGTGATGTTTGTAGAGCTGTAAGTACACATCTAAACCTGTATATAAAGACCATATAAAGAATACGATGAAGACGTCATATGTGATGTGTGTAGAGCTGTAAGTACACATCAAAACCTGTATATAAAGACCACCAAAGGGGTACAAGAAAAGTGGTCTTTACAGGCAGATGGTCTTTACAAAATGGCTTTTAAATCAAGTTTAGATCTAAATACAAATCTGTACGCTTCATGGTTGTATAATAAAGGATAATTTTTTTTTAAATTCTGTTAGTGTTCATTTAATGAGCTATTTATGTTACCATGGAGGAATTCAAAATATATGTTTTAAAAACCAAACAAAGGTCAGGGTGGCTCAATAAGCATTTTTTATGCTGTTATACAACAGATATCTTTTAAAATTTATGTTGTGTTCTTATCTCATTTTATGATTTTTAAAATAATTTCTATGTACTTGCAATCATCATTTCTTTCCTCATTTGATGTTTAACATTTCAATTTTATTTCTGGTTACAAGATTGCCACATGGCAACTTCCCCACCCCCTTAAAATGAAAAAATAAGACAAAGAAAATTATATGTGTTAAACAAAGTTGGTGTATATACATGTAATCTCATTTCTTTTCTCATCTTTCCCCTTTCTCATAATAGCCTGATAGTGAAGAAGGCAATGAAATGGTTTTCTGTGACAAGTGTGACATTTGTGTACATCAGGTAAGCTGGATTTCTCTGAAATGTCTCAAACAAGATCATTTTTGTACTTAATAATTGTGTTTCTGTAGCGTGTGTCAGTTGTCTCTCTATCTGTCTATTTGTTCTCTTACTTTCCTCATTGTATACTATGATATAGCGATCAATAGCAATAAAAAGTACAAACTCTGATGATGTCCACAGCCATTGAGATGAACCAATAGATATGCAGGTATTTCTCTTTGAGATGTGTGACTTACCAGAAAACTAAATTATTAACAGTTCTATTGAACAAAGCGTTTCCAGATTAAACCTCATGTAAATGGCTTCTTTTATATTTCTCTAACAGTGATTTTGATATATCAAGAATGCTGAATTTGAATATCCTCAATTCAATTTAAAAAACATGTATAAAGTATGACAAAATACATAAAAACAATAACATGGTACAGTCAAACCTGTCTATAACGACCGCCCAAGGGAAACACAAAAAGTGGTCTTTGTAGACAGGTTCCTTTAGTACATGTTTCAATGAGAAACCATTTTGGGGAAACAAAAAATGTGGTCTTTGTGGACAGGTGGTCACTAAAGCAGGTTTGACTTTACAAGCAAATAAACAAAGAAGAACTAATTAATTTAAATGTGGTGGGATCATAATTTGTTTGTATATAACTTTGGAACATCTATACAATAGTCAATCGTATGACCTTTGATTTCTTTCTCCAGGCATGTTATGGCATAGTGAATGTACCTGAAGGAAGCTGGATGTGTAGAACATGTGCTCTAGGGATACAGCCTCTATGTATACTGTGTGGGATCAAGGGAGGTGCTATGAAAAGTACAAGGTAAGTCAGTCAGTTTGGTCAATCAGTTTTCTTACTATGTTAGACAGAAGTTGTTTTAAGGATGTGCATTTAATAACCACTTTCTCCTTGAAAGAAAAAATTTGAGAAATCGTATATGATTTTCGCAGTTGCTTGTACTTGCCTCTAGCGATTTTTTTTTAAATGCTAAGAAATGTGAAAGTGCTTGTATTGATTTTGTTCACATTTGCAGCAGGTGTGCTTTGAAAAAAATGTTAATTAAAGGCTTCTCACATTCATAAACCAGCCCTTGATAGGTCAATGGCCTCTGCTGGCTCCCCCACAGTCTTAATTATACATTCTAGGTGCTCTAAATGCTTTCTAATATTGTTATGCTACTTTTTTGTTTTGTTGTGTTAATCACATTTTTTATGTAAATTGTTATATTTTTTTTTATGAGAAGTGGAAATAATGAAATGAAATAAAGAAGAAGATAAGAGATGAATAACATTTGTAGTATGTTGTTTTGCCCATCATGTGGATTAAATGGAAGTATTTATATGATTGTTTTCCAATCAGGAGCGGTACCAAGTGGTCTCATGTAAGCTGTGCTTTATGGGTTCCAGAGGTCAGCATCGGATGCGTAGAGAGGATGGAACCTATCACGAAAATATCTCAAATTCCTGTAAGTCTCGCTTTTCAACATAGTATGCACTCTTACAGACTAATTCCAGGACCCTGTAAAATAAAGGTTTGCAATCACTTGTGAAATGACAATGGCCAATCAAGATCATTGTTGCATGCACACATCATTCAAAAGGCTGACCATTAGCCAATCAGAATCATTTAAAATTGCAATGAATCACAAACCTTGGGGTTTCGGGGACCTGATAAAGAAAGAGATGATTAATTCTACAAAATAAAAGACAAACATTTTACTCTGATCAGTGTAATTTGGAAAGCGTTGATATGTCTCTGTTCAAAGCTATTCTTCAATCCGTGATATGTAATTGAGCAGTGAAGTAAACGGGAAAACAAAGAACTAGAGGAAGAAGGTTTTGAAATGATATATAATATGTAGATGTAAATCAAAATGAGTAATTTCATAATGCGAAAGAAAATGCTTGTGTTAGCTCAGAAGGCTTACAATTTCTCCTGCTCCAAATGATTGCATAAAAAATAATTTGATAATTATAGTTTTGATTCTCAAGCTCTTTTCCAATAATTGGTAATAATAAATTCATTGATTAATTACAAATCTCACTCTCAATGATTATCAGCACTTTCTTATATGAATATCTTTATTTTTGAGAGCCAAGTTGGTGATTACCCTCTCTTTATCTTTGTAGGCAAGTCGATGGGCCCTTATATGTGTCCAATGCAGAGAGAGGACGGGTGCTTGTATACAATGTTCGGTAAGTGTGTTTGAGTCAACAATAGTTTTACCTATGCAAGTAATGTTGAGAACATCCTCAGATTCACATGTTTATATTTTGATATATGACACAGTACCATCAGAGATTTTGACAAAAACCAATAAGACAATGATGACAAAATAAACATTCCTGTTATAATCATTTTATATATTCAGATGCTGAATTTAAATGATGGTGTGGATTGTTTAGACTTTTTTTTCTTTTTTCTTTTCACTGTAAAATATTTAATGCTAGGTTTACACTATGTTTGCCCGAACTGTATTCAAGTTTTGTTAGGTCTTGCCAATTTTATTTTATTACGTACTGTCACGTTTTGTTGCATTCACCCCGTTTAACTACGCAAATTCATATTTGTCCATGGTAAACATAATGTAAACCTAGCATGAAATGCTAAAAGATACAGTTTATTTACAGATACTATTTTATAGTTGAAATTGTAATGGCAGCAGGAGAATGATCAAAAAGTGGGGGCCTTATTTGTAAAAACGTGAAAACAGAAGACTATAGGAGAGTGATGGAGGAGGGAGGCATGTACAGTCAAACCTGTCTATAGCGACACTGAAGGGAAACACATAAAGTGACCTTTGTATACAGGTTCCTTTAGTACATGTTTCATTGAGAAACCATTTTCAAGGAAACCAAAAATGTGGTTTTTGTAGATAGGTGGTCACTAAAGCAGGTTTGACTGTATGTGTGATATGGGGATGAGATGCAAGCCAGAAGCCTAGACTTATCTCTATCATGTTTGTTTGTTGTCTCTGTGAAGGTGAAGACGTGTAAGATAGCGTATCATGTGACCTGTGGCTTTGAGAATGGTCTAGAGATGAAGACATACTTAGACGAGGAGGCAGATGTCAGGTTTAGGGTAAGTTACAACTATTCATCCCAATACAGCTAACCAACCTTTGGAATTGATCTACAAATATGTAAGATACATTAGACCTTAGGTGCCATAACATGGGTCAGGCGGTCGGAAATCTTTTAAAAAAAAAACCTTTGGTTGTTGTTTTATCCTTTATTGTATCAAAGAGGATTTGTTCTATAAGCATTTACCGTAATGGAGCAATTTCTGTGAACGCTGTTATTTTCTTGTTTAATTTTTCGCGGTGAGCGACCCCAAAACATATTCACTGGTTCCTAAAGTCGTGTTGCATGCAATTCAGCCTGTTAAAAACATGCATAAGAACAGGGATGCCAACCTTTCAGAGCACAAATCAGTAATCATAAGGCTAAAAATCAGTAATTTGGAGACAAAATTAGTAATTTTCTGCGCGACGCAAATTTTTCTGCACGCTGGCAAGCGCAGCTCCCGCAGGCAAGCGCGATAGCACAAGTTAAATAAAAGTAACATACCTGTTCATTAGTTGGTGTTACATGTGCATGTAACTCCATATTGAAAGTATTCTACTGAAAGACTGGATGAACTCATGACAAAATGTCTTAATATGTTACTATAGTCTTTTGCAGCGTCCTTGCACATGTAAAAGTTCATAAGTTGGTGTCAACTCCATATTGAAAGTGTTCTGTTGAAAGGTTAGATGAACTCCCTCACAATCACATGTTCTGATATGATGCTATAGTCTTTTGCAGCCTTCTTGCACCTGTAAGCTCATTAGTTGCTGTCAACTCCACATTGAAAGTGTTCTGTTGAAAGGTTGGATGAACTCCCTCACAATCACAAAATGTCTTTATGTTGCTACATGTGTAGTCTTTTGCAGCCTTCTTGCACATGTTCATATTTTCAACATAACTACCAATGATTAATTATATTGAAAGGTTGAATGGATTCCCTCAAAAAATGTCTTTGTTTTTTGTTGTAGTCTGTTGCAGCCTTCTTGCATTTCTCAAAAGTCTTTTCATCAAAGACCATCTTGTGACAGACAAAGTTCTTGGACTGCGAGTATACCTTCTGAGTGAGGACATCGGAGAGGACGGCAGTTGAGATGTTTGGTCTGAATTCAGTTGCATTCTTCCGGACTAAGCTAAAGAGTCTCTCGTCCTCTGCATTCGAATGGGGCAGTGACAGGATAACCAACATCACTTTGGCAAGGTTGCCATACTTCAGACGGTTCTCTCCTGATGACTTGTCAGTCAGCTGTGAGATTGCAACCCATGCTTCATCTGATCTCTGCTGTAAAGACACAGACTCCAGGGGATCCACCTGGAAATTACCAAATTCGATCTCCAGGTCATCGATAGACTCCTCCATGTAATGGAACTTGTACACAAAGAATGCCACACTGGCAAACTTTGACTCCTGCCTCTTGCTAATGTCTGCCACTTGTGCATTGATCAGCACTTCATCATTTAGAGGGAAAGTCTTTGTGATATAATTGCAGACTGAAATGAAGTATCGGCGCACCGTTGTGAAAAACTCATCACGTGTAGTAGGAGGCATCTCACGAAGTAGTAGCCTAACCTGACTGCCAATGATCATTTCGTCATCTTCTCGCTGGTTTTGAGTTAGATGGTATCTGCACTTGTCAGGTTGAGCGGCAGCAGAAACCACACTTGGCTTCACAAACCTTATCAAGATATTGCGTAGCAGTTCCTGCTGAAGGTCATGCAGCAAGTGGATTTGGGGCTCATCTCTTTGAAGCTGTAGGTTAAGAGTATTAAGAAGGGGAATGGTGTGCTGCAGAAAGAGACAGTAAAGTTTGTTCCTATCATTTTTCAGTTGATCATAGATCTCCCCAGCCTTATTTTTAGTTGCTCCACTGTTCTTAGATACCTTGGACGTTGAGGTGTGTTCAGTAGATTTGTTTGTTCCTTACGAGATTGAATGCTCTTTGCTGATGAAGGAAAGAAAACGTTCTTGGCAGACATGGCAGCAATGGAAGAAGTGCTACTGACAGATTTCTTTGTAGGCACAGGTGCAGGATCATGATCTGTCTTCCTCTTTAGCTTGGAGACATTTTCACCAGCTTTGACATGTGGACGAAGTTTCTCACCTGCGAATATAAGTGTATTAACAAGAGCACCCTTGACACTAGTTGATGCTTGTTTTGTAGTACTGGAGGTTGGCTTGACACTACTTGATGGCTGCTTGGTAGTACTAGAGGTTGACTTGATACTACTTGATGGTTGCTTGGTAGTGCTGGTTGTTGACTTGACACTACTTGATGGCTGCTTGGTAGTACTGGTGGTTGACTTAACACTACTTGATGCTTGCTTGGTAGTACTGGTGGTTGACTTGACACTACTTGATGGTTGCTTGGTAGTGCTGGTTGTTGACTTGACACTACTTGATGGTTGCTTGGTAGTGCTGGTTGTTGACTTGACACTACTTGATGGTTGCTTGGTAGTGCTGGTTGTTGACTTGACACTACTTGATGCTTGCTTGGTAGTACTGGTGGTTGACTTGACACTACTTGATGGCTGCTTGGTAGTGCTGGTTACTGACTTCTTGGCTGGTGCAGCGCTAGGACACCTTGTCTGTGCTTCTTCTCTGAAGTACACCAACAATGGTTCCCACTGTTCAAGTAATCTCCCAAGTGATGCCTCCAAACTCAACCATCTACATACAAATGAGACAAAAAAAGAGGGATGAAACTGTTAAGCCATGATACAATAATTATATTTATCATTTAACATAAATAAATGTGTTATTCAATACACAATGAATTTTAAATGTACATGTACATTTAGGAAACTGATAAGTACAATTGTACATTCTATAATACATGTATTTATGTTGAAGTTATTCAACTTCTCACATAAACTACATGGCACTGTATCTTATTTTAAATGAAAATTTAAAGCATATATATGTTTAAGCTATTGAATAATACAAACTTTACAGCACTGTGCTATAACCAAAATTAAGTTCTCAGTCAACCCAAATTTAATATATGGTGCACATTAGACTCTGGAAACAGTAGAACATTATGACAAAATCTAGAGCTAACACAGAAAGGCATATATGGGACAATGTACTTTTTTGACGTAGGGCAAAGTCAAATAGTATTGAACATGCCTAATTTGTGATTCTACACATATTCATAACATTGAACAGTACTCCAGATTACCTTTAAAATTACCAAAATACATCATATTCACCTTGTGCAGATGTACTTCAAGATGACATGATCAGCCACATGCAAGCTTCGTTGAGTTTCTCTGAATTCCTTGTTCCGCTTACTTGACTTTTCCAAGTAGTAGTAGATCTTGATCAACAGATCTCCTGGACAGAAGGCAAGCTCCTTGGCACCCTTCTCTCCTGCAAGATGCAAGCGGTGGCAGAGGCACCCGTTGATGAAGGTATCTGGATTAAATTTCTGAATGAACGCTGCTACACCTGAGACCTGACCCATCATTACGGAAGCATTATCAGCCGAGTAGCCAATAACATTACTCCAAGGGATGGAGTACTCTTTCAGTGCTTTGTCCAATAACAGAAAAATGTTTTTTCCAGTCGAACGTTCCTTAGTTGATGATATCTCAAGAAGAGAGCTGACAACATGCTCATCGTCGTAATAACGGACAATGATGGGGTATAATTGTTCCTGTGCTCCTCTGTCGCTACTACCGTCGGTGGAAATTGAGAAAGGCCTTGTTCTAAGCTTCTTCACAACATCCTCTGTTGAAAAAAAAAATACAAGAAAATATGTATAATATGTTGGCTTTGTCTGGGAAATCATCACCCCCCCCCCCCACCCAAAAAAAGTAAAACAAAACAAAACAAACAAAACAAGCAACTCCCCACCAGAATTGTAGATGAAAATGGAGTTCGATTTTTGTGACTAAATATTTGTTTTATTTCTAAACAATTGTGCATAAACTAGCAATAGAGAGAAAAAGAGAGAGGAAATTGAAAGAAAAAAAATAAAAACTAGAAATATTTTTGATTAATATCCCTGCCCCCTTGTGTGTGCCACTGCCACATTTTATGATCATCGAAAATTGAAGAACTTGTTTGATACATCTACATGTATGTATCTGCAAGACTTTAAAGATAATATACCCACTTATCATGGAAATGCCCAAATATCTTTTCAGTTTTCAGTTTTGCACATAATCAAGAATTTAGGAAATCGGCATTGACTTGATGAGACTATAGTATAGGCTCCGAACATAGATTGTTACACAGCCCGAATGCCGCAGGCTCAGTTAATATAGATCTAGTCCTAGACCGATCAATGCGGCAGGTTTGAAGAAAAAAGTTTGGTCTACGGAAATCATGGGTAGCGAAGTAAAAATAATGAAACTTTGACTCACCTATAGCTACTTGGCCCAATGTCCGACCAATAGATGTGGTCTTAGTTCTCTTACATGAAAATTTCCTTGCAATGTTACTGTCGGGAAACATTGTTTTGAAAATGTCACTGAGGTGGTCAGCTGCAGAGAAAGCTATGTTGTGTTCTATTAAGAAATTTGTCATGAGGGCTTTTGCTCTGATCACTGATGAATCTCCAGAAACAAGAAATTTCTCCATTGTTGTGTTGCTACCACTGGCTCCAACGACTGATTGGTGTTTTTGAGTCTTGATATGCCACTGCACGTCGTTTGCCCCGCCATGTCCAATGTTGAAATCTGATGCACATATCGTGCACCTAGCATGATTCAGGCTTTTCTTTGAAGGAACGATGCATTTCCATTTCTTACTGTATTCATCTTTAAAAGTCTGTAACTTCTTGCCACGCTTCTTAGTTGTGGAAGACATGATGATTGATATCTAAATCCAACCAACATGAGTTCAGATTGTCGACGAAAATCGACGAACGCTGTGACAGCCTGTGAGAAATCCGACAGTGTACACGGCGCTAGCGTAGCGAGGCCTGGCGCTGGCCGCGCGGTAGCGGCGCGGCCAAGAGAGGTATTTCACCCGGCCCCCGCTCGCGAAGCTGTCTTTCTCTGCTGGGCACACACGCACACACGTACACAGTCAGAATATACAAAGACACACATGTATGCACCTGCACTGTGAAAGGGGTGTGCTAGATAACAAATCGGCAAAATCCGGGATTTATGGTATGAAAATCGTACCGCCCGTAATCGGCCGATTTCCCGTAGAAATTACGGGAAATCCGTACTAGTTGGCATCTCTGTAAGAAGTTATGCTTATATTTTTGCGAGTTCTTAAATTCACGCTTGCCGATCTTAGGCCGAAATCCGTGAAAATTAATGTACCGCAAATATTTCTACTTTTACAGTAACTCTTCTGGCAAATGCAAGAAATAATCTTCAGTTTTAATATTCTACCTTTCATTTATTGTCACTACAGTTATCTGAAATCTGTTTCCTAGAACCTTTGATTTATCATTCAGAATGCCTTTTGACTGACCCAAGTATTATTCTTGTTTCAGTCCTACTGCTCGAAGCACACCAAGATTAGAAGGGAGGAGGGTATACTAGAGAGTAAGCTGGGTACACCTGATAAGACCCATGGAACACCCAAGAAAGATATCAAGGAGATGACTCAGGAGGAGAGGGCCAATGAAAGAGCAATAAGGTATGTAGTGAGAACTGGGGGTGTTTCACAAAACTTGTCATCAGTGATAAATGACAGTTTTTGTTTGATTTTTTCTGATTGGTTATCCGCAGATTTGTCACTGATTTTTGTCATTTGCCATTTCAAAAAGGCTTTGTGAAACACCCCCCCCCCCCTTGGTCAATTTTAAGTTTTAACATTAATTTAGTGTAAAATGCATAAAACATGCGATGTAAACCTTTTTCATGTGATATTGGTAGCCTTCTTTGTATTAAAAACATCCCTCAACAAGCTAATTACTGGATTGTGTTTTTACAATTTTTCTGTTAATTTTCCTTTTTTTCTAAGATCACAGAATCTTCACAAATGATGGGTCTACTCTCATGTTTTGACCTTTGCTTGTCGATATCAAAATGATACTTTCCCTTTTCCCTTTGGCGAGACTCTGATGGAGATATGTGACAGTTTGCACAGCCTAAATTGTTTTTTAATGTATTATCATACACAATTTACCCGAACAGTCTCCTGTTTTGATAGGCAAATGATCAGCTTTTGTCCTTTGAACTTTATACTGGGTCATGGGGTCAAATTGGTCTTTCCTTTTAAATTTTTCACTTCATTGCAACCCAGATCTACATCTTTCTTCTTTTTTTTCTTTCTTTTTTTTCTTCATAAAATCAATTTTAGGAGATTAAGCCATTAGTTAATAGTTAAAGGGTTGCAGGTAGGCTTACAAATGGTAACCATGGCCCCATTGCATAAAACTTGTTATCAATAACAAACATCAACTTTCTATGACAAATTTGCTCTCAGCCAATCAGATGCCTAGATTTCAGTAGCTTATAACAGTAGCTTGTAGCTTGTTATTGATATCAAATTTGCTCTGAGCCAATCAGATGCCACGATTTCAGTAGCTTATAACAGTAGCTTGTAACTTGTTATTGATATCAAATTTGCTCTCAGCCAATCACATGCCATGATTTCAGTAGCTTATAACAGTAGCTTGTAACTTGATATTGATATCAAGTTTGCTCTGAGCCAATCAGATGCCACGATTTCAGTAGCTTATAACAGTAGCTTGTAACTTGTTATTGATATCAAATTTGCTCTCAGCCAATCACATGCCATGATTTCAGTAGCTTATAACAGTAGCTTGTAACTTGATATTGATATCAAGTTTGCTCTCAGCCAATCAGATGCCACGATTTCAGTAGCTTATAACAGTAGCTTGTAACTTGTTATTGATATCAAATTTGCTCTCAGCCAATCAGATGCCATGATTTCAGTAGCTTATAACAGTAGCTTGTAACTTGTTATTGATATCAAATTTGCTCTCAGCCAATCAGATGCCACGATTTCAGTAGCTTATAACAGTAGCTTGTAACTTGTTATTGATATCAAATTTGCTCTCAGCCAATCAGATGCCTAGATTTCAGAAGTTTATAACAGTAGCTTGTAACAGTAGCTTGTAACATGTTATTGATATCAAGCTTTGTGAAACAGGGCCCAGATGATTGGTGATCATGGCAGTCATGTGCTACAAATTATAATTTAGGTTTTTGACTTAATTTCACTAAACGTTATGTGTGATTTTTGTTTGTTTATCGCTCTCAGAATTCAGCTAGTGACTGAAGAGTTCTACCGCTACACCAAGTTAAAGGACATCGTGTCTTCTCTTGATATGAAGAATGATGTCGAGACGGTTGACGTGGTCTATGAATACTGGAAACTCAAAAGAAAGGTAACTTTATTTCACAGTTTTATGTACAGGGCAACCTGTCTAGAAAAACCACCCAAGGGAGACACGAGAAACCATTTTCGAGGGAAACAAAATATGTGGTCTTTCTATACAGGTGGTCGTTAAAACAGGTCTGTCTGTATGAAGCATGATTTTTCATTGTCTGTGATTAGATTTTCAAATGAATGATAACCACTGTCACAAACCTTTTGCTTTGGTTTGGAAAAAATAATGATCCTGATATCAAAGTTGTACAAAGTTATGATTAGAATTATTTCCTCACATGTATGTAAGGATGAAATTTTATGTTAAGCTAGCAATTTTTCAACCTTGCACAATCTATGGTTTGTCCTAAAATGTACCAATCACCAAAATGTTGTTTGCTATGTATGTTTGGTGTTCCACATCATCATACAATGTTCACGATATGAGCTCTAAATGTTAACTGTATAAAGATATATTGGCATTTTGAATATACTAAAAATTAGCGTGAAAGTTGACTTATGTGTAGAATAGTTGACACACATACACACTTGCATTAAAAAGGGTCTGTATTGAACGCAGATTTGACTTCCGTTCCGTGCATGGGTTTAAGTTCTTTGTTGTCTTTTTATTTCTTAATTTTTAACCCACAGCATGTCAGGTTAATTTTTAGAGTTTAATTTGATATATTATAGCTGAAATCAAATTTTAATTTTAATTTAGGTGATTGATGCACTTAACTTTTGAATTAATTGCAGTGTGTAAAAGCACCATTTAATATATTACCTACTGAAAAACTATTACATGAACTGTCGAGAATTCAAGAATATTTTTCTTCTCACATATGTAGTAAATAATCTCCAATATGATATTAAATAAAGTGATAACCATGGCAACCTGATCTGTTTTTATTCTTTTAGTCTGGTCACAACAGACCTCTGGTAGCACCTACCAAAGAGGTTGGGAGCTTGGGATCCAATGAAGAGTACAACCTCACTGCCAGAATGAAGATGTTTGTACATCTTAGACAAGATCTAGAAAGGGTGAGTTATCATGCCCAGCGAAACCTGTCTATAAAGACCGCTCAAATCAAGGGAGATAAGAAAAGTGGTCCTTGTAAGCAGGTGGACTTTATGTACATGTTCTTTTATTATATGTTTCATTGAGAAAAACCACTCAAGTGAAACAGAAAATGTGGTGTTTTTAGATAGGTGGTCTTACTCTACAGATTTTTGCTAAATCGAGTTTCACTGTAGTTGTATGACCTAATAAAGCAGAGTGGTACTCATTAATGTGGTACGGGATAACTAGAGTGAAATAAAGGGCAAGCAAAGACACTTCCTTAAACCAAATCAAAATACTTCTTTATTTTTGTGTTCTGATTATTCATACATTATTGTTTGTATAATTTTGTTTTCCTACAATGTTTCCCTGCCTTTCATGAGAAATTTTCTAATCAGTACTTGTACAAGCAAGTCAAATGGCATGATGAAAGATCAGGAGGAATGATATTCCAGGGCTGTTGATAATATAGTATCAAAGTTATATTTATTTATACAAAAGCTATTTCAAAACAAACGAGGAGTTCCCCTAAACTTCACCATTTACTTCAATTACTTGGAAATTATTATTATTTATACGTCAGAGCTTAAAAGAACTAAATAAATTTGATGAAAATGAAATTAAATGTGCATTTCATTTTGAGTTCTTCATAAAATACCCTGCACAATCGTAACAGTCTCCACATTTGTTTTGTCTTTTGTCAGGTGCGTAACCTTTGTTACATGGTGCAACGACGTGAGAAGTTAAGTCGTCAGCTGAGTGTGCTGAGTCAAAGCGTATTCCGCAAGCAATGTGACATGCATGCAGCTGGTCTGGAGAGCTTCTCGGAAGAGGATCTTGAATGGGCCATCAAGGTGGGAAAGTTTGCCATTCACTTGCCTGTCTCAGACTCAGAGGCTACTCTAACAGACACTGCAACATCGAAAGACTGTGATACGGACGAGAGACTGTCCAAAGACTGTGATACGGACGATCGAAGCGAGGAGGGGGAGAACGGGGGTGATGCTTCGGAAAGGACAGCGGAAACACAGAATGGTGCTGACACAGATGCAATATCAAGTGCTGGGGAGGATTCAGAAACGAGACAAGATAGTGACAAAGAATGCAATGATAAGGAAAGCGAGGATGAGAAAATGGAAGTAACAGAAGCCAAGGATGTTGTCAAAGCAGAGGAAGAGGAGGAGGAGGAGGAGGTTGAAGCAAGGGAAGATGAGGAGGTTGAACGGGAAGTGGAGTTTGCAAAGTTGGAGGAAAAGGTGGAGGAGGAGGAGGAGGAGACGGAAGAAGAGAAGGAAGAGGAGGAGGAGGAGGAAGAAGAAGAAGAAGAGAAGGAGGTAGAGGAGAAGAAAGAGGAAGAGGAGAGTATCACAGATGTTGAGGAAGATCTTGAAGTATTAAAGGAATCTTTGAAGAATGAGGTTGAGGAGGAGAAAGAAGTGAAAAAAGAAAAAGAAGAGGAAGCAGAGGAGGAGGAGGAGGAGAATTGGAAGAATAAAAGAAGGTTAAGGACAAGGTCAGGTGACAGAAAAGAGGACAACGTTAAAAAGAAGGAGGAAAGGGATCTTGTGAAAGAGGTCTCGGTTACAGTAAAGGAAGAAAAGGAGGATTCTGGAAAAGAATTAATAAATGAAAAGATAAAGGAAAAGATTGATGAAGACGAAGAGAGAGTGGAGGAGGAGGAAGAGGATGAAACAGAGGAGGAGGAGGAAGAAGCAAAAGAGGAAAGTAATTTGAAGGAAGAAGAAGAGCCAGATGATGATGATTTGTTATTACAAATCAATGAAAAGATCAAGGAGTATGATGAAGAGGAGGAGGAGGATGCAGTTGCACATTTGAATCATCATCAGGTTGAAGAAAGAACGAAAGAAGTTATGAGAAAGCACAATGACTACATTAGTAATCTGAGGCTAGTGAGCCCGCATCGTAGTAGAGAGTCTTCTTTGAGCAATGATCGATGTAGTTCACCCAGGAGTGCAGACGCGGATGAATCGGATATAGCCGACGATTCAGATAGAGAAAATTCATTCATCAGATCTTCTTCTCTTTCACCTCCATCTCCTTCACCTCCATGCCTTAAATCAAGAAGGGAGGAAGTGAGGGAGGACGTTCAGTCGGAGACATCGTGTAGCGTATCAAAAGAGGATGAAACTGAAGGACCTTATGTGAAATCTGTTGAGGATTCAGTTACGAGTAATGACACGGAACACAGACACAGTGCAGAGGCTGAGCCTCCCAATAGACCGTCCCTCAAGCGAAAAATATCTTTGAAAGCCATCCGCGAGGCAGAGATGCGCAAGAACGGCATGTCCAAAAAGCGAAAGCGAGACTCGCATCATCGGAAGACGAAAAACAGGAAAAGGAGGAGTAGCGATGAAACCAGTGATCAACCAGTGTACAGTATTGTTAGGACTCCCACTCGGGATTCACCAAGTAAGATATCAATAAAGATTCACAGTCCACAAAAGGTCTCGCCTAAAAAGTTACAGTTAGATGAGGAAGCTACCAAACTAAGACAACGTATCTTAAACAGTGCCTCACCGAGATCTAGTCTGAAAAGTTACCGTATCCCTAAGAAGAAGCCGATCATATCACATACGTTGTCTAATGGACCGGCTAAGAAAGAGCCCCCAGAGATCGATCCATTTGAGTTTGTTGATGAACAGGAAGAACCCGTTCATAAACCAGAGACGAGAAGCAGGAGAAAACTGATTGATGATGAGCTGGACAGTGAGAGCAGCTACAGTGATAGACAATTTGAACCGGTGGACCAGGAGGTAAGCATGTGTCTCCAAGGAAGGGAATCCCCCTACAAAGGGGGAGAGGAAGAGAATGCTACTCTTGCCAGAGAAACAGCCAACGCTAACCTTGCGAGGGAGGAGAGGTTGAAGAAGCGAAACCTAAGCTCCCGGATACGAGATGCAGCTGTACGTTTCCTGAATTCAGCAATCAATCTCTAGCATTCATTTGGCAATTACAAGACCAGCCTAATTCAGGGATAACTCTTACAGCTCAGGCTTCTCCCAAAGACCAAATATTCATGGTTTAATGGCATCTCTTATTCTTTATTCTCTTCTCACTTTCTGAAGATGGACAAGGTTTTGAGTACAGGGTGTTTAGCATAGCTATGGTATCATGTGTAGTGCTGTGTAGCTGGAGAAGCTCTTATCCTGTAGTTGTTCAAACTGGACAGATCCTGGTGGAACCAGATTGAACCAGATTGAAAATCTCTCTCTTATTTTCATTGTCTATTTTCCTTGATATAATCAGAAGAGAAACTGAAAGTAGCAGGATACATGTAGAACACAATTTCAAAGATGAAGTATAAATTACATTCAACATGCAAATAATTATTGTTTAGTGATTGAGTTTTAGACACATCATGTATGTCAAGTTACCTTTATGTTATGAGTTGTTCATACATTCCCCTCTTATCAAATACTAGTGCGCTTTCGCAAAGACAAACGGGAGAATTACGGTGATACAGCTCTTTCGTCGTGTTTAGGGAACGAACGCTATATCATGGCCGCATACGGTCATGAAAATCAACAGGACAGAGAAAATTCTGGTTCGCGCATGCGCAGATTGTTTTTTCGCTCGTGTTACCGTCTTTGCGAAAGCGCCCTACTGTCTTTCAAGAGCAAGTGCTCTCTGACATGGCAAACATTTGACCTTTCAACTCTTCAGTCATTTACACACAACCATCTCTAGGTCAGTGGTTCTTCACCTATTATAAATCCCATTGGGATCATTTGATGATTTACCCAAGGGTCATAAAGGGGTCATGAATAAAATGAAGTAATTAGTAATCATCAACTCTTTATATGCCACACAATTTATCTCCCTGTGCCAAATTTTTAAAAATTATTAAAAAGGTAAACCGTAGGCTTTGAGATTATTTAACTATTTCAAGTGAAAGATCAATCTATACCAATGTTAAAGCCCCACTGCACCACTTATAGCTACTTCCCCTCTATATAGCAAACGATGCCTTATCGGTGACCACTGGTCCCCCATGATCCTCTTTTTCTTATGTTAATTGAGGGCTTGTTTGAGGAGATAACCACTTGTCAGTGACCATGCAGGGAGGTCTAATCCCTCCTGGTCAAACTAGTGCGGTGGGGCTTTAAAGGGTGGTCACTGAGCTAATCAAGACTAGAAATTGGTGATTTTGCAAAGAAATTCTGTTTCACAAAGCGATCCTGTCAATTGCTGCCTAGTGTTTTGTACAAAAATGCACATGTGGCAAACAAGCGGCTGGCAGAAAGAGAAGAAAGCAACCGAAAAGTTAAACATTGTCTTGTGGCATCTCATTACCAAACAAAGAATGCCTGGGCCCTGTAACACAAACAACATGGTCAAATGTTAGGTTATCTTTGTGTAGCGTGCCCTGATGATGTTATGGTAATTATTCAGAACACTTGATGGCATCATTAGGCCAAAGAGGTTTTAGAACCACTGATCTTAGAATAATAACAAGAAGCCATCATATACAATTCAGCAGTACTGGTTCAGTTTTTTGCACACTGTCCCCTGAATACCAGAAGTATTTTCATTTTCTGTTGCAGCATGCTATATTCTTAACATAAAATGACAAAGACAAAGAGCATTATAACTCGTATCTCCTTCTATCAAAGCTCAAACCAAACTTGACAGTACCTACGCTTGAAGTATTTTACATGGAATTGAATGAGCATAACAGTCATTTATAATTAGGGGCATTAACAGTGATTTTATACAATGAAAAGTGACATGTAATGGGAGTCTACTTCCTTGTAATGTTTGAAATTCAATTAACATTTTTTGGTGAACCCTAGACCCATTTATGTAATCCAAGACAGATACAGTGTATGTCAATGGTCAGGTTCATTAATGCTATTTTATCTTGGGTTTTTTTTTTCATTTGGAATTTAACACAACAAGGATTCTTCTAAAAATATATCTCTAATATTTGTATTTTTTCTGATTAGGGATCAGAGGAATTCCAAGTCCGATAAGAGCTGCTGTTTTGATCTTGTCAATGTATGTGATTGTCGGCAACTTGTGTTTACTTCTTCATAAGACATCCTTATATTAAAGCCAGTTCGTAAATACTATCAGGGCATGGGCAGATAAAGCTCATTTGTTCCCAAATTGTAAAATCCTTGAGACTAATACTGGTAGCATGCCCATGCACCGTCAGTACATTTATCTGATACACAGGTGAAAGTATTCTTCTCAATAGGCCAACAAAAGGATAATAATTTCTGAAGCTCTGTGGAAGCGCATAGAGACTAAGTATTATGAGCTATACAAGAACAGACTATTATTATTATTATTATTCATGAAGCACCTCCATCACTTTGGCAGTGAGTATTCTAAAATGCACAAGTGGGACGTATCCATCGTGTAAAAGATCTGTGGATATTTTTTGGTCATGCGTTCCAAACTATTTACGAACTGGCTTATAAAGGAGACCATGCATTGCATTGTTTTACATAATACCACTGCAAAGTCTGTTAAATTTTAATAGATACAATGAATTGATATAACTAAAAAGAGTCTATGTGATGTATGTGTTGGTGTCATTCACTTAAATATGATTTCCTGTAAGAACGGTTTGTATAAGAAGTACTACTTGGTGTTTTGTTTCCTGTGCTGCAATTTACTGTTCCTTTCTTCTTAGGAACCTAATCATTTGAATTTTACTACAAATGTATCAACATTTTCACAGAATTCTTATTCTTAAAATGTTCCAGTCACGTCCATCATCAGTTGTCATTTGATTATTTTTTGAGAGGAAAAAGACAGGATAAAAATAGTTACAATTTTACAGATCTGAAATGCATGGCCCTACGTGTTATCAGTGTCTGTGATATGGTGTAATAATGAAGCCCTACCAAAATTGATCACAAAGTGCTTCAAAAAAGTAAGAATCTTTAAGTGACCAGTTTGACCATACTCACTCTCCCCAATAGACTGTAGTGTTATAAAAACCGTTGGGAAAAAAGTTTTAGAAATTTTGAATTCCTATCATAAATATCTTGATAATCAAACGTGATCGGCTTGAAAAAGTCATGGGATTCCTGACTGACCTAAGGTTTATAATATACCAGTTCGTAGATACAATCTGGGCGTGCGCGGATTGATCTGCGCATGCGCAGATAAAGGTCACTTGAACAAAATTGTAAAACCCACTGAGACGAATACTGGATACATGCTCACAAAAGTTATGTCATCATTATTCATGTATGCACCTGTGATGATTTCTATTAAACACAGGTGGAAGTAATCTTTTGAAGAGGCAAACAAAGAATCACTTCCATGACTTTAGCTGTGATTATTCCAAAAGGCGCAAAGTTGGATTTATCTATGTTTAAAAGATATGAAGATATTTGGGGTCATATGACCCATGTGCTAACTACGAACTGGTCTATTATGATTGCAGCATGAGCTCATCATGCTGACACATTACTTTAAAATGGTGGTTCCACGATGCAAAAGCTAGAATCAATATTACAATCTGTATTACATCTGTGCTTCTACACTAATGCATATTATATCGTGATAAAAGGCACTTAAATAAATGCATTACATTGGAGATGTGTCACAGTAAGATATACTGTATGAGGATGATTTACTGGTTTCCCTAATGAGCTCCATTTATGGCCTGCAATACGTGAGGAGTAGTCATTTTCTGTGAAAGTTCTGAAATATTATGAATATATTTTTTCTCATTTATGTTTTCATTCTTTACTGGGGTTTGGTACTTTCAGTCACCCCCAGTGTCATATAGTTATTCATGGATTACTACACACTTATTGCATGATCAGGGGGGTGTTTCTCAAAGATCCTAAGTTGGACATAAAAATTATGGAAAGCTGTTAACATCGTTGAAAATATTTTGTAAAAGTTATGTCAAAAGGCATAAAATGTTGATTCAAATCATTCATATTTTATATTATCAAGGAGATTTTATGTTTTTGATGTGGAATTTATAAAAAGTCTACATGATCCCAAATTCCGACTTCAAGAATTTTATGAGAAATTATTATTGCCAAGTTATCATAAAAGTCAACACTGAAATGCCAGGACTTTGTGCAAGGCTACATGTAATGGTTATGACAATAGAGTACCAAAGTGCTAACATCACATTTGCTCTTTATCTAGGTTACTGGTTCTAAATAACAGCATGAGGTTCACCATGAATTTTTTCAAGCAATGGGCTGGTGCAGGGCAAATTCAGTGTTTGGCGCTGGTGTGATCACCACGCTATTGTTTGGAACTAGCAATCTTGACAACTTGGCCAATATGTCGTCACACTTCGGTACTCTATATATCTCTGCACATTCAGGTTTAAGCTTTTTAGTTTGTTCTCAACAAGTTTGGTACCAGTAGTTATCTTATTCCAAACTCATAGCAAAACACTTTTTTTTATCCAAGAATTGGGAATAAAGTTCCCACACGATCCAATTTCCCTATGAGAAGTCCTTGAGACACCTGTTCATTGTGACAGTAAAGGTGGATAAAGAGATGTTTTTAGCACTTTAATGTTGATCTTGGCAGATATTACTAAAGGTCAAAGTTTGTTGGGTGTAATTTGAAAATTAGATATTCTTGTTAATCTTAGCATGGTTATGGGCTAGCGCTCCAGCTCGAGTTGCACATTCAAAGAAAGAGAATAATATTTCCTAATCAAGCTTGATTATATCTCGCATTGATTAATATTGATAAGAGTCTTTGTGTAGAGACGATTAAGGTATTAAATCACTTACATGGATAACAAGGTGTGGGGCAGTGCTCCAGATTATAATCATTCTTTGCATGTTGGATTGGTTCAAAGTTGAGGTTAATATTTATTTCATATTTAGTTGATTTGTGAATGATTTGTGTTCCATTATTTCTATGTCTGTGTACATGGTCAAGGTGGTGTAATCTGAATTTGTCTTGATGTAAATCAATCATGTTTGATTGACAGGTGGGTCATAGTTTATGTAATGGAGAATGGAGAGATTAATAACCATATTTTTCCCTACTTTGCTTCAAATCATTCTTTATACTGAAGTTTTCATGAAATGATGCTTAAGCGGACTATTTTTCATACGCTGTACATTCAGAGAATTTTCAGTAGATTGTAAATAAGATGCAGAAAGAGCGAGGAATTAAAAAACTTCTATATGAAAAATCTCATTATGAGAGAAATCTACCCTTGTATTAACACTCAATGATGTATATGTTCACAGTGTATATATATTTTGCCTGTATGTAAAGAAAGTGTTATGAACATCAAGTTGAATTGAAATTCGATTTAGATTTGGTCTCACTACAAATTTCTTGTTTTGGGTCTCAAATAAATGTATAAAAACTCAAAAGAAATTTAAACCTACGTCACATTGTTATACTTGTTTTGAGATGGTGATGTATTTTGTGTGCATTTGTGTTATCTGTCTTGTTGATTTCAATATACCGGAAAACCATGGGAAACAAGTCGGGGAGAGCTTTGGGAAAATAGACAAATAGTCTAATAAAAACAATTATGATCTTTTCTAACTCTAATGATCATTCAAATGACTTGCTTGCTAATTTTTCTTTACAATCATTTAATAATAATAGCTCACTTTTATAATGCGCCTAATACTTTGCTTCTAAGCGCAGTCCATATTATTACCCGTCATAGGATTCAGGGTTACCCACATACAATGTATGCACATATTCTCCACTCCCTGGGGAGCATTCTGGCCAGTTGCCATTTTACAAGCGCCACTCGCTCATCCTATACTGGGTACGCATTTAACCTATCATACATGTTTCCAATAGCCGCCCTTCAAGTTAATAAAAATATCTTTAAGACAAAAGTAAAGAATCACTACAATCACAATTCTAGAGAGATTATTTTATTTTCTGCATCATTCTTTCCGTCTTCAAATGTATATACACATTAGTCATAAATCACAAAGTCAACTTTATATAAATAAAGAAGTTCTTCTACCAAAATATGACGATTGCTTTAAAATACAAAACATCCAGGGGTAATATTCTGTAAATAATCAGATATTGGTTTTATCTTGATTTTCGTGAATCGATTGTCATAGAAAATATATAGACTTCTAGAATTTGATAAAGATTGCACAGAGAAATATGTCATCTGCGCTTACACATGAAAGGTTGCAATATAATACTTGCAAAATAAATTTATGACATATCAACAACATTTTCAGTATATCACTAAACTGATTCTCTGCTACCGGTGCTTTCTATTTTCTCCTCAGTGGAGGAATGGACTCCGATCATTAGAATAAAACAGGTGGTTTGCAAAGTGTCCAATTCTCAATTGCATTTTATTTATTGATTTTAAAATAATACCAAGAAGCAAGCAAAGATGTCCGTTTTAGACTGATTGTAAATCACAAACTCTCTGGCCTGAATTCACAAAGGAGGTTCGTCAACAAACCTAGATTATGTGCGTCATATGACGCGTTTCAGACCAAGGTTAAGACAAACCTTGATCTTTAACACATCATATGACGCACATAAACCTCCGTTGTGAATTCGGGCCATTGTAAGTCAGAAGTATGAAACTAGAAGGCTTAAACCAAAACTTAAGTTTAAACTCTGATTTTGCTAAATTAATACATGCATGTTGTACAAGAGAAGGATAAAAAGAAAAAGATTAGATACACAAAACAAACGAGAGACAAGATCTAGCCCCAATAACACAACATGTACAAGTTTACAACCACAGAAAGAGTAGAGTCCTTATGATTCTCACTTAGTCTGTAAAATGGTCTGTTGAATGTTATTCTAGTTACCTATCACAGTGCATGGGCACAATTCATCTGGTAGCAAAGCATGGATATTATATCTGCCATGTCTGCTAGTGAAAGGTCACTCACATGTAGTAATCTTACAGTACATTTATAACTTACTAGAGACCAATTTTTTTTACCATTTCAATCCCCCAAACTATACCGTATGACAATATTCATTTTAGAGTTCTGACTAGTTTACACCCTAAACAATAGGACAATCCAATTAATAGTACATGTAAAGTTCTGACTACTTTATTATTAGTGCCCTCGAGCAATTAAAGTGTCTTGACCATTTACATATAGTATAGATAGGACAATTTAGAGTAGGGTCTGGATATTCTATCAAATACTCTCCTGGCTATGACTGTATAGCACACCACATCACACACACTGGAACTAAACAATACCACGTTCGCCATATTTGACATCATCATACAACTACACTGTACATGTAGTCTAGGCAATAATCTTGAGATAAATATCAGTTTTAGCTGTGCTTTACTGCAAAAGAGAGAGAAAGAGATTATCTAGCAGAGCTGGCTTACTCCATCTTATAACCTATACTGTAGCTGTAAATGAACTTCCATAGAAAAAATAATAGAAATAAACATATAAGCATAAAAAGTAAATGTACATCATGGTAAATGTACCATAATTTTCTTCTTTCTTTCTAGACGATGAACAAGTTTATACGTAAGGTCAGTTAATTTGTGCGCTTTGGTGTTTAAATGACGGCCCAGATTGAAACTGGAAATATGCATAATATTACAAATTACTTTAGAAGAAAAAAGAATGTCATATCACACATAACATTATAATCTTCATTACATTACAAACAATGGAGGGATGACAAACTTGTCAATAAAACATTTCTAGCTATACATCATATTGTTATAACTTTTATTATAAACATGCTGTTTTTCCTGTATTGTTACAGTATATTAGGAATGGTGTTTGCTACAATATCAAACAAGGAATAGAGCACTCCTTATACAGGGAGTAATTTATTACTGGATCATGAAAATTAAATTGTATTCATAATCAAGTTATGGAAATGGTTAATACCCTAAAAGAATATAACACTTATCAAATAAGAGCCATCAGAGCTGAATTTGGCTTCAAGCTATCTATGTGGATTATTTGGATTGCATATAAGCTTGACTCAACGTAAATTACGTAATCATTCCAGACAAAAAAAAAAAAAAAAAAATCAGTTTTATGGATCACGAACTTCATACACAAAATTTGTATAATAAAACGCTGTATAAAGAATCATTGTATAGCGAAAGGATCATACATACTAGATAACATCGTATAAAGAGACGTATAAAGAAGCTACTTTTGACAAAGTCAGCTGGCCAATCTCAATACGCGCTTGTGCGGAGCCCCGCCTAGTAATACAATTTTCGTATCATATAACATTCAGACCAGAACGGGTTGCTGATTCTTTATCAAGTTCTGACACAATGCCCAAAACGATGTTTTGCTGTACAACATTCACACTAGGAAACCGTTTATTACTTATCTTATATGATTCTTGTATAGATATACAATGAATTCTGATAGTCTGAACGCAATGTAAGAGTCAAGAGTCCAAGTACATCTACCTTGAACTTGCTTCATAGTACACTCCAGAAAAGCATACTCAAACTGTATTTTACACACGTCTAATATAAGTGTATATTATGCCTTGGTATGTTGAGAACAAATTTATAGAACCTGTTCCATCTTGTGCCTTCACCAGTTTAAATGTACATAACTCCATAAATAATGACATTTTTCTTAATTTTCAGACAACCTTGAAATCCAGCATACATTGCTGCATCCTCATGGCTTTTTACCACACACTTACAAATACATCCACATATACATGTTCCTATACCACTTCATGTAAAAATAGAATATCTACAACCTTCGATTTTAAAAAGCTGAACCAATTCGTGTCTTACATTTATCAAAATAAATCTTCCTGTTCTCTACATCCATCAACAACCGCCAATCCCTCTAAAGCTGGAAAATAATGCAGCATCTATCTGTACATATACATGAATACCTCTCTATTTAAGAACTGTAAATCCTAGAACCCCCCCCCCCCCCCCTCCAAAAAAAAAAGGTCTAGTCCAAGCTATATTGACCTATACATTACCGACCACATCTTTTATTCCAATGTACCTACCTGATGATTGTATGAAGCTGATAGCCTTACTACAGAGTACAGAATGAATCAGACAAAACATTACTGAAGATAAAATTTAAGTCAAGTTATGGACACAATACAATCATATTCCACAATACTTGGTAATGTGTGGGGAATACCTTTGACTTGTCCAGTTATGCTTGTACAGTCAAACCTGCTTTAGTGACCACCTGTATACAAAGACCATATTTTTTTGTTTCCCTTGAAAATGGTTTCTCATTGAAACATGTACTAAAGGAACCTGTCTACAAAGACCACTTTTCATGTTTCCCTTGAACGGTCGCTGTAGACAGGTTTGACTGTATTACATCCAACTAGTTAAACATCCCAGGAAAGAAAAATACTTATTCAAGAAGACACTTAATTAAATTACAGCAAATAAATCACATATTCAATGTGAATCGTAACAATTCATTTTTTCCACTATGGATTTTTAATATGGATTTTTAATCTCTAAAATAAGATTAATACACAATCTTATCACATGGGGAAGACACTAATATTTCATATGTAAGGCCAGCTAATTTATCTTCCACTAGTTTGCAGTTCGGATTTGTAACTATTGACAAGATAGGCCAGTATGAAGAATGCTTATTAAATCATTATTTCGTATTTCCATTCATGGGGCAAAAAGTGCACACATTATTCTTTGCCAAAAGGGAAGGGAGTCGTATCTATAAAAAAGAAGATGCATGATTTTTCAATTTCATAAATACATACTTTTTTTTTCTGATTTAGTTATTGATTACAGAATACATTGGCTTACAAATAGCATTTTAAAATATAGTCAACATGCAGTCCTTAACAAATGTTAATCTACAAATTTATTTCTATTCAAGGTTTGACCGTTTTTAGTGATTTCACATTATTCTTCATATTATGTCTATTCTGCTTTGTTTTCAAGTAGATGAAAATGATATCATGATTTTAGTGATCTATCTTTTAAGGATATTTAAATACCTTGAAGTTGTTATAATATTATGTATTTTGGGCAAAATTCCCACAGGGCAATAATAATGCTAATAACAATAATAGTAATAATGATGGAGCGCCAGGAGCATTGTGGCATGATCATGTGCCCTCTTAAAAGTAGCCACCATTATTATAATTATTATTATTATTACACATACATGTATCATATGACACTTGAGATGCTTAGCATAGCAAACTAGACGGAAATAGTCACATATACATGAGATGACTTATGGGCATACATACATAACTCATCTCTCAATCAGCTACGGTATGGTCTAAGCCATTCGTGCATAAAAAAGCATAGAAGTTGTTTATTCAGTGGAAGAAACAACATATTGCATACTAATATATACTTGACATAGCTTCAGGGGGGTGTTTCACAAAACTTGTCATCAGTGACAAATGACAGTTTTTGTTATAAGCTACTGAAATCCTTGCTTCTGATTGGTTACCAGCTGATTTTTCGCTAAGTTTAGTCATTTGTCATTGAAAAAAGGCTTTGTGAAACAGGTCCCAGATAGAACACTTCAACTCTCCATGGTAAAGCATGCTGTTTTCAATACAGAATCATATTCCAGAATCCTTAGCAATAATACATACATAACATCATTGTGCAAGATCCCATACTTTGGCTGCCTATAGCAAGTGAGATGATACAAGCAATGTTCTAGGCCAGAAAGGAGCTGAAATAAGTGATATGAAATTTGAACAGAGGGCAGTATCTGAAAAGTATATTCAGGTTTTGTTTACAAAGAATTAATGCACAAAATCTCATCCATGCTGATGTATTTTACCATATGTAATCATTACCGTATGATAAGAATGATTTAAACAATATCTAATTAAATCATGAAATCAAAAACAAAGACCTGTCTGGACTTAACCAGCTATAGATGCTGATAATCCATTCATACCAGCAAGATTCCAAACAGACCAACTACAGACAAACAAAACAAAACAAAAACAAAACACCACATTTCCCCAAAACAAATGGCCAAGTCTTTGAAGGTTTTGAATCCGCTTGGAGTCAGTTTGGTGTAGTGGCGGAGGTATTATACCCAGTCTTATCAATGAGACTAATGCCACACTCCACAAAACCTCCATCACCCAAAGTGGCAAAGAATCGGTCAGATTGGAATCAGTTTGACATGTGAATAAGGTATGAAGCAGGTTGCATTAATCAACTATTAAAAAATAATATTTTAATTACAGAAGGGTAGTGAGTGAAAGCAACTCATGATTCATCAGGTGAGAAGAAGAGAGCTGATAGAGCAAACACTAAGAACACCATTCCTCCAGTCAACGTTACTGTGGGGGAAACAAAAGACAAAAGAGAATAGAAACATAACATTAGAAAGGCAGAAAAACCACATCAAGAGGTCTGCAGACCTTATGCTCGCAATAAGGGACCTAGTTCCCAACCCTTTGTACCGGTACCATTGGATTTATTGGAACAGTATGACAATTTAGGGGTGCTGCTCCCTAGTCAAACAAATTTAGGTCTTCTTCAAAGACAGAAAAAAACGTGAACTGAAGGAGGGGGGAAGAAAGGAAAAATATCCCCCCCCCCTCCCCTTACCCTCTCCCTAACTCTAAGAGGGAATGTCCCTTCCTTAATTTTTCATTAAAAAAAAAAAAAACTTTTTCCACTTTAAAGGACGTATTAAAACCTAATACAAATATAGACCGGATGCAGAAACTTGGCCTGCAGATGGCCTATACAAATCTAAGATGCATCACTTATTAGGGGCTTAGTTTACCTCTTTGTGAAAGCATATTTTATATTTTGTGATTTGATTGTTGTTTGCATAAAGATAGATACTGACCTGTTCTAGCTGATATCCTCTGTGCTACCATCCGACCACCAATGACTGCTAATCCTGTACAGAATGCATGCCCTAATGTACCACCTATTGTTACGCCAAGAACATTCTGAAAAGACAACACATACACAAACAAACTTGAAGAATAATGACTTAAAGAAACTGAATCTCTAAACGATCAATTCAAAGCATATCAAAAGGGGGAGGGGGAAAGAGTAGAGGGAGAGAGAGAGAGAGAGAGATACAGAGACAGAACAAGAAAAGGAGAGAGAGGCAGAGCAAGAGAGTTAAAGGGAGACACAGAGAGAGTGAAAGAGTAGAGAGAATAAAACATAATTTTACCAGTCTTCTGATTGCATCAGTTGGTTGGGCAGAGGGACCATTACGGTGACAGTCATTAAGTTTGCTTTATTTTTCACTGGCCGCCATCTTTTGCATTCAGAATATTACTACAAAAATGTGTATTTGTATAATTTTTGTCATTCTAATTTTGTAATCACCATGATTATGTTTCTTGAAAGTGCCGAATAAATAATAAATAAATAAAGAAATAAATATTGTCAAAATCACTTAATGAAAACAAGTAATATTATATCATTTTCAACTTAATGGGAAACAGTGTATTTAAATACACACATGAGGTCAACACACTTTTGGGGTGAGAGGAATAATGTTTTGTTATTCCTAGGGCTGTCAATCATCCACGAGTTCATTCAGGATTACTTGAACTTGACATGAAAACTGTCAATTACAATTAGTGAAATATCCTTCATCTTAGACAAGTTATTTTCTTGATTGTGTCAAGGTTGCCTGTTGCAATAGGGTTGAATGACAGATAACAGAACAATAGTTATCATCTATTAATGTTAGAAGGTCAAGTGATATATATCTACAAAGTGTGGATGCAAATATTCAATCTGAGATAAGACACAATGCATGTTTATAAACTTGTTATCACATTTTTTTGTCTTTATTTTTCTCTGTCCATTTGATATCAAAGATTCATATTACTGAAGCTCAGAGTACATTATAAATAATGACTCATAAATTACAGGCACTGTGTAAATATGTGTTCATGTGCTTCTGTGATCATTAGTTTTTCAAATCTAAATCTTCATTGTTCACCAATTTCCAAATCAACTCGCTTAACATTTTATGCATGTCATTGGTAACCATTTTAAAATACAAATTTTCTATCTTCTTGGAAATCATCGAGATTAATCTGATCTAAATATTTTCTCACTAGAAAATCTCGGATTCATACGGACTTTGCTTTGCTATATTGTAGCACATTTTTACACATACAACTTACATGTACATGTATATGACAATTTAAAAGCAAAAAAGAGGAAATGAAGAGGAGAAAAAAAACAAAATAATCATCATTGAACTGAACAAAGATAAATTAAAATTCCATAATTGCTGGTATGAGTAAACAAATTGGTCACACCTGTAAAATAATGTGGGTGTTATAACATTCTATTACACGTACAATCAAAAGACCCAAATGTTAAGTTATCAAGTGTCTTAATTGTTTAAAAACTTCAATTATAAATTATCTTCATGAAATGCATATGGCAATAGCAGTCACTTGCATTGTATCTGCTAACTCGATCCAAAACCAGGACAGCTGCCAGTAAGATCTACTCCTCTACTTAAAGACAAGGGAGAGTTCATATTTACATATTCTTGGTCAACTAATCAGAAAAGAGCCTTTTAGAATGATGGACCTGTTCACACTTACCTCTCTAGCTGCCAATACAATGGTAGTCACTTGTGATCTATCTCCCCATTCAGCTAAGAATGTAAGTGTGAAAGCTTCCAATAAGATAGGTGAGAAGATACCAAAGACTTTCCGTCTGTATCCTCCTCTTATTATACCAGATTCTGGGTCTTGTGTCAAAGTAGATTTCATCTCCTTTTCCCTCTGTAAACAAATTATACAAGTGAATGGTTACTGATTCATCAACATTAAATATTTAAAAGCAAAAAGGCAACAACATAAAGCACATCATTACACTTTTCTTGAAAGACCTCACTATGTCATCTGTATATTATTCATCCACATTTTGTATTTTAAAATTTAAATAGACATTTCTTTTTCTTCTTCCAAGAAAATAAGAATACACAGACCTGCCAACCTCTGGAGTTCAAAAACTCTATTCTTTAATCCCTAAAGTTGTATTTTACTGACAAAATTGGATTTAAAAAAAAGAGATACCACGCATCAATGCCTTTCACAGTTCCTACAGTACATACCGGAATATATCGTTTGTTGAATATGCATGATTTTGTCATGACTGGTGTGTCCGATGAACCAATGAACATCCCCAAATTGCTGATGTAAGATGCTTGTAGGATACTTTACAGGACAGAATGGGCATTTTGCATCCTTTTTTTTGGAAAATCATATTTTATTGAAGAAAATCGTACTGTCGTATTTACTTCTAAAAATCGTACGAAACTGGTTGGCAGCTCTGCATACACGCTTACAACAGACAGGTCAAAGTCAAACTGATAAAGTTACAACTGTCACAGAATGACACATATACATGTGTTGAGTCTTAAATGATATACAGGTCATGGAAATATATATTAATCATTATCTCCCACATCACCATACATCATAAATTTCACCACTCTGACATATCAATGGGGATAAAAATGTACCCTAACTCATCAATACATCCATACACTACAAGATATTGAACTTGCCTTCTTGACAGAAGTTTTTTTTCTTTCTCTCTCTCTCTCTCTATGAAAATGAGAGCAAGGTGCATGCACATGTATGTAATGACAGACAGGAATGTCATGTCACAATCTGACATATCTGTACATTAATAACAATAATTCATGTAATTCTTTAATACAGAGGTACAAACATGTTGTGCTATGGGGACACCCAGTGCTATCGAACAAGACATGCACTTTGCGAGATGTGTACATGTGAAGACAACATTACAGTAAGCAATGGAATGCAATCACAGACATGAACACATTATTTGTCAGCGCATGAAGATGGACCATAAACAAACATTTTCTTCTCTAACACCATTATGAGGAAAAATTAGACAAAATTTTATCTGATTCTAAAAACAGATAATGGGGAGTGATGTGTTTAAATCATTTAAGTGAATACAAGTACAATAGTGAGTTTCATATGGGATATATAGTGGAGGTTTATAAAGTACACGTACATGAAACTGAAAGCTATAACTATTACAAACATTAAACCTTCAGATGATTTATGATTTCATAGACAAACAAATTCTGTTTCATTATCAAAAGATTTACTCCTGTATAAAGGGAGTGTCGTGGTCGAGTGGTCTAAGGCGCTTGACTTGGAGATGCGAAGGTCGAGGGTTGGAATCCTGACACAGCACTAATATCCTTTGGCAAGATATTGATAATCAACCTGCACTTGCTACTCTCCACCCAGGTGTTAAATGGGTACCCGGTAGGATGCGACCGTCATTGTTGGTCAAACAGTTTTTAAGCGTCATGTAACGCCTGGCTGGAAGGCTCCCCAGGGAGTGGAGATTGTGCACACATTGTGTGCGGGCAAGCACTGAATCCAATGACCGGGGTAATAGTATATTTGTAAAGCGCTTAGAGACATTTGTATTAAGCACTATACACAAATTAAATATTATTATTATTATTATTATGTATATACATAAACTTGTGAGCTATAGAATATGCACTCTATCCACAAAAATATTGTGGATGATACATGTACAGGTATGTATGTTTATACAAAAACAAAACAAATTAGAACAATGATTTTCTGAAAATTTTACATTACAAATAACAAGGGGAGGGGGGGTGATGGTTTGCAGACTTGGGGTATAATGGATGGAGGGAGGGGGGGGGGGTTGAGATAAATTTGATTATACAAATTGTGCAATTTCAAGGAAGGTTCGTTGGGAGTATAGGTGTTGTACTGTGGTGCCTGCTTATTACAGTCAAAGCTATAACCACGTCAGGATATACTACACTTCTAAAAATCAGGCTCTGTGGCTGCATTGAATTTTAATTCCCATTTCTAAAGCTTTTTCCCTTTTTAATTGAAGCCAGACAATACATTTACAACATATCACACATTTGAAGTAAATGAGAAGGAGGAAATACCACATTAACTTGAGATGCAGGACTTGCCAGGTATACTGGTAACGTGCATGACTCACAAACCCTAAATATTAAAGGTAATACAAAGTTTTGGTATGGGGTCATGAATTTGGTTCAAATGAACATATTGGAATCATATGCGATCCTACAGTATTCAGGGATCGTTTTCGCGGTTGAAATCGAGTCTAAAGTTATGAAATTGTAAATAATAAACTCTTTATGTTGCGTACCTCCCTCTCAAGGTCAAGATATTAATTGAGCTATAAAACAATGTTTCTTGACTAAAATCGACCGATTAGCTATTCCCGTTTGGAAATTATATGTAACAACTACATGTTCTGAGATTTTCATGGTCGCAGCTACCATTGTACGGCCGTGGGCGCAAATTAAAATTTATCAAAATTTACCCCGAGCACCGGCAAATTTTTATATTCAATTTTTCTCGAAAGCAGAAGTGTTTTAGGAGCTAAATTTTCTAGTGCTTATAATACATCCACAAGGGCATCCATATATATCAAAATCGTAAAGAATCACTGTCCATCCAATTTTCAAAATTTCCCAAAACTTTGTATTACCTTTAAAAGTTTAAGATAGGTCTGACTGTCTCATGCATATTGTATTTACTCCACATATTATCTCCAGATCCTCATAGGAATAAGGATACATAGCTTGTCACTTCTGGTATGTCACAAAAATTGCCCCACCCCAGGGAATGACCCATAAACATAGAAAGCAATTATTTGGACCAACGCAACACATCCACATACATGTAGATATATAGCCGATGTTACAAACACAAAGTGGTAGGTACAATACATTATAACACTTTCTGGATTGTATTTTAGGTAAAGTCCCTAATATAAATAAGTGTATATTATGTTGATGACTGAGAGTGAATAACCAATTGCCTGCAATGATTGCCATGATGTGCTCATGTTGATGGGATGACCTTTGAACTTTGAACTTACTGACCTCATCACCGTTGACCTCTACATGGTTTTCTATGTGGTTTTGTTGACTTTTACTTTTCTGTGCATGCACGAGAGTAGAAAATAATGCTCAACATAACTGAACACAATTATAGACCACTTTAAACCATGCCATCATGCTAGACCAAATACATGCATGCATCTAAATATAAACTAAAGCTAAAATTATCTACACAAAGAAATATTACTGCATGCAAGAGAATTAAAAGTGAAAATATGAATGATACAAAAAAGATAAAATTTGTATAACCTTTAAAGATTTAAAGGGCAATTCCGGTCCTAGAACAAATTAGTCATCACATACTGTCATGGTCATTGATAACCTTGACACCCTTGTAGTCTAATTGACAATATGAGAGTGTAAAGTTAAGGAGGCAAATCCAGTTTTTATAAATGTTTGAAAAGGGCTTCCTTCATACCTTGCACATGTACAAACATATTTCAATTATGTAATTTTATGAGAATAAAAATTGTAGGTAAGACCTACAGGTCATCAATTTTCCATCAAACTGGTAATACTGTACAACCCTCAAAACAAGTGTCATTAGCAAACAGTGTTTCAGAAGTTTCCTTCATTTGTCTTTAATAAAATCAATTAGTTTTAAGCCAGAATTACCATTTAGGTCTTGAAGCTACAAACAAATAATAAAAACCAAAAAGTTTGGTAACATGCATTTGCCATACAATGTAAAGATTGCGAAATGAATATCTAATGTGAAACTGAAACATGAAACTACTAATAGCAAACATGCACTCCATGTATATTAGCCTACTACTTGAGAAAGAAAAAATGATCATCAACTACAGAGACTATTTATAGATTGTAAACAAGAGCATCAAATAACAATATCAAACAAAACTACAAACCAAGAGAATAATTCGGACTATGAAAGTGTGAGAGAGTGTTCAAAAGTCAATATGCAGGCTAGTACCTAAGAAGGGGGAAATGCTAGATTTAGAACTAGGGTACATTTATCTGTAGTGGTTAGTTAGTAGAGGGCAATCAAACATATCTTACCTCTTCATCTCTGCGTTTTAAATCAGCCTGTACCTCCTCTAACTCTTCCTGTCCCTCGTCCGGTGACATGCTCCACCCCTCTCGTAGCATGCGTATACCAAAGATGAAGAAGAGCACTGTAGAAGCGTAGTAGGTGTACTTACGGGGAATGATGGTGATTGCATAACCAAGCATAGCTAGTGGAAATTAACAAAATGAACAAGTAACAACTTAAAGTTTCAAAACCAAGTTTGTGGATTCATAAAAGAATGAACATGAATGTGAAAGACTCGTAATTGAATAAATTCAGTCTGAAGTACAGGGCAGCATTTTACAAAACCGTCAGAAGTACAAGCTAAACAGCATCTCATTGATACATGTGTATTAAAGTTTACATGCTTTTCAATGGGATGTGTTGACGAACTTGTTCTTTTGAAAATTTTGTGAAGGAATATAAATTGATTTTTTTTTTCAGATAGCAATAGAGAAAAATAATTTAAGCTGGTATACTTCAAGCTATGAAGTTCATATCATCTTGTCATGTCATGCCTTACTGGAAGGTCAAGGGTTCAAAACCAAGCCAGTGTGCTAGTACATGAACCTTCACTATTAAGCTATCAATCAACAACAATCATCACCCATTATAGTTGTAGAGTAAAACCTGTATATAAAGGCCCCTAAAAGGAGACAAGAAAAGTGGTCTTTATTAACAGGTTCCTTTAGTAAATCTTTCAATGAGAAACCACTTTTAAGGGAAACAAAAAGTGAAGTCATAAAAGAGAGGTGGTCTTTCTATACATATACAGTCAAACCTGCTTCAGTGACCACCTGTCTACAAAGACCACCTGTCTACAAAGACCACATTTTTGGTTCCCCTTGAATGGTTTCTCATTGAAACATGTACTAAAGGAACCTGTCATCAAAGACCACTTTTTGTGTTTCCTTTGGATGGTCGCTATAGACAGGTTTGACTGTAGTTGCAGCTGAAGCAGGTTTGACTGTATCTAACATACATGTAGGGCTGACTGTGGCCCACTGAGGTCCCCCTGCTTCATAGTTAGCTACAAGGATATGCTTAAAGGTAATACAAAGTTTTGGTAAATTTTGAAAATTGGGTGGATAGTGATTCTTTACAATTTTGATATATTTGGATGCCCATGTGGATGTATTATGAGCACTAAAAAATTTGGCCCCTAAAACAGTTCTGCTTTCGAGAAAATTGAATACAAAAATTTACCGGTGCTCCCGGTAAATTTGATAAATTTCAAATTGCACCTACGGCCGTACAATGGTAGCTGCGACCATGAAAATCACAGAGTATGTAGTCGTGACATATAATTTACAAACCAGAATAGCTAATCGGTCGATTTTAGTCAAGAAACATTGTTTTATAGCTTAATCAATATATTGACCTTGAGAGAGAGCTATTCAACATAAACAGTTTATTATTTACAATTTCATAACTTTAGACTCGATTTCAACCGCGACAACAATCACTGAATATTGTAGGATCGCATATGCTTCCAATATGTTCATTTGAACCAAATTCATGACCCCATACCAAAACTTTGTATTACCTTTAAAATTTCTACATCCCTAGTAAAGCATTGATCAATATGAACCCACCTGAAAGAACAGTCATGACAGCAAGGGCGCTCAGGGCACCAGCAAAGATTGTGATCCTAGGATGTCTCATAGCCATAATGGCTGCGATAAAGAATGTTTTATCTCCTAGCTCACTGACAATGATGACAGACAGTGATGCAACGAATGCATGGACGAAGGTCATGTCCATTCTTCCTTTCTCGCCAGGACTATCCAAACCACCTTCTCCTTTATCTTCATTCACTATGATGTCATTGTCCTGTAGATCAGGGGAAAAAAGTGAGATAAAATGATCAACTTTTATATGTACACTAGGTAGTTAGTGAAATGTAGTGGTATGGAAAGCACATACGAAGAGCAAATGGCATAATACACTGTAGTTTAATAGTGATATTGGTGAATTAAAAGTATTATTTTGTTTACATCTGAAAAATGCTACTTCCAATAAGCAGAGAAATAAATCACAAAATGAAACCTTCATTCTTCATATATATGACAAGAATCACTTTTTTGTGAAAAGTTGAAAATACAGTGTGGTAAACAAATTTACGATATAGATTTTAAAATAGCACTTTACAACAACAAAAAATACTATTTTTGTCCAAAGCATAAAAAAGGACAAGCTTCTATCAAATATCCTGCTGTGCTTTGGTTCATCTTATCATCCTGCTATGAAAGTAATCATCAATAATACTCGGCAAGAAATGTTGCCTTCTTGGCTAGCAGCTTGCCATTCTCAACTCTTCAAACGTTACAAAATAATTCAAGAGGTAGCAGGCTTTCCCATCCCATTCCCATTGACCAAAACAATCGCAAGTTTGCAGTCTCCTATCTCTTATGCACATAGTTGCGATTGATATCAACTCTTTGTGATGGGGCCCATGTATGTACTTACTTTTAATTCACCAGCGACCATTGCAGCGGCCTGGTCCCCTTGGACTGGCCTTTGTTCTTTGCTCTGAGACTCATCATGTGCATAGGCTAGTCCTAACGAGCATAGACCAAACATGAGACAGCTCAACAGGTGCAGGTACGCTGCACACCTTCGTACAGTTCTCACTCTCCTCCCCATCTTGTGCAGTGTGTTTGTAGTTCGGGCTTGATATACAGGCTTTTGGGCTTGTTCAACAGGCTTCTTTGCTTGTCTAACAAGCTTCTTAGCTTGAAATAGCTTGAAAAGGAGACTTCTTGGCTTGTTTAACAGGAATTCCTGGCTTGGCTTGAGATGGGGTGTTTCACCGAGCTTCTAGAACAGGTGGTTCAGGTAGTGTCGCCAGTAGTGTCTCCTGATAATTCCTGACCAATCTGTTGAATAACCAGTGAGGGTGCTGTGTGTGGCACTTAACGGATCAATCTAATACCATTCCTTTTAATCATGACATACATGTACATCCATCTGCGTTTATCCTACACGGATATAAAGGAAAGTATGAAAAGAAAAAGTTAATGATAAAAATCAAGTAATCACTTGAAAAACCACCACATATGAAAGCGTAAACTATACTCCGTAGTGATTTAAAAGTCAAACTTTGTATTTATTACCTTCTTTAAAACATATTTAGGAAAGCGCCAAGAATTGTTTGATTGAACCGTACAACTTCACCTCCATCCCATTCAATTGTGTGCTATACATGTTTCAATGGGATATCACCCAACATGTATTTACATGTACAGCTGTTTCATGAGATTTTGCCCTGATATCTTTGATCCAGTAAACAAACTGATAAAAAACAATCAGAAATAGGTACAGCAATGACAGTGCTCAAAACTTACAAGTGCCTGGTGCATATAAGCCTAAACACTCTGCATCAAGACCTCCCAATTTTAGCATTATTATGGACACTGAGTCATTGCCCCTACCAAAAGAGAAATCACGAAAAAAAGTAAAATGGAGGATTCTGAATGTGGTTAAATGATCCCACCCTTTCTCATTTAAAAGTGTCCTACTTCACATCAGATCATATACACATGTACCACCATATGACAGTGATATAATTAATCAGCAGTCGCACTTTAGACCCTGGAGAGGACACTTAAAGACTACTAATCTCTCAGATTACATTGCTTCTTTGATAAGACAAAAGACAATTCCAGTAGGCCTGTCTTCACTATCTCGAGATTGCCAAAAATCCAGCTATTTGAACTATCCCGATCGCAAACTATCCAGCTACATGTAATTTGCATCTTCATTAGACCGAAGTAGCAAAATTAGCGGGATATTTGATCGCGATTGTCATCCCAAGATATCTCGGGATAGTTTGCAAAATATCCCACTATTTAGCAAAATATCCAGCTATTTGTCCAGTGCGTCTTCACCAGACCGAAGACTCGCACTATGTGCTAACGCTGAGCAAAGTATTTAGAGCTAATTTCTCAAGGTCGAGTTTCAAGTTTCGAGGTTGAATCTTGAGCTGATGAAGACGCGATTTTTAACTTCAGGATTATTTCCCAAATTAGAAACAGCGGGCTATTTGGCAATCTCGAGATGATGAAGACGAGCCTAGTGATCAGTGACCAAGCTCGTGTACTTTGTCTGACCTGCACCCTGAATAGTGCTCAATATATTGACCCTTGATACATGCTAGATTTGCAAACAATAGACTGTAAATTTAAACCACTGTGATTTGATTAGCAAATCTTTCATTAAGAGGGCTAATAGTTAAAGGGTCAGATATGATAAAACTCATTTAAGCGTTTTAAAATGGCAGCACAGAAAGCATGGAACAACATCCCAATGTGTATCTGAGAAATAGCTTGCCTTGTCAATGTCAAGATATCCTTAAAACATACTTCTTCCCTCAATAATGTAATTGTGATGTACCGGTATGTTTTTTTTAAAGAGTCTATTTAATTTATGTTTCTCATTGAATTCTGAGATTTTGAAAGCGCTATGGTACTTTTTCTTTTTAGCACTTTTAAGTAAATAATATCAGTATAATTAATATATGAATTAGAAATGATAGTTGCCCTCAAAATGGAAAGAAACCACCATAGAGAAACAACACACAAATAAATTTACCATCAAAATATGTATAGAATAGATCGCCCCAAAATCATCTCAATAAAATTGATCAATTTAAATTATGAAATGAATTCCAATACAGTGCAAACCAATATACTCCACATTGACATGAAGTTCTTGAAACATCTTAATTTGAAGTTTTTGTAGAAAAATCCTACTTTGTGACACAGAGGTAGATGTTTTTTTATGGAGAATCTTAAGAGTCAAATGGCCAAACTCGTGTTGTCAAATCAGAAAGGAATGGATAATTGAAGAAATCTTTGTTCGAGCTAGTTTCAATATGACTTCTTGCGTGATCTTCTGGTTAAATGAGCCACAGGGTGAAGCAGGTCTAGCACTGGAATGGAGAGGTACCCTCATGAGCTTTATAGAAGGTGCTTAGTCTAGCAATCCTCCTTTTTTTAGCAAATGTATTCTAACAAAGATCTTTTAACATTGAAGTAACACTACTTTGCCTTCTACGCACTGCCTTAACTTGGTATACGAGTAATTAACGGTGTATAAATCGCCCTCTTGTATCAATTTTTTTTTTGTTGGTGTACCGTGTATAAACCGCACCCCCCGACTATGAATTTTTATTTCGGCGGCAAAAAGGTGCGGTTTATACGCCGTTAATTACGGTAAACAATATTTCAACAATGGTCTGACAAGGGAACAATATGCTACCAATTTAATATCTTCTGCAAACTTGTTCAAGTTATGTTTAACAAAGCCTTTAGCTGTTGTATGATCAACATGTTTATTCTAGTTTAGGTTTTTAAACAACTCTGCTCCTAGTTAGGTATGTGAGTCACTTTCATCAAATGTATTCCTAACTGTATATTATATATCATATATATATATATATATATATATATATATATATATAGTACAGGTGTAAACAATATTTAAAATCTTAGGACAAATTTCATCTACCAGGTTTTATCCTAAGGCAGAGTTGGTCAAGATCTTTCTGTAGGATTTCAGCTTCCTTATCTGTTGAAATGGTTCTAGCTATACTTTGAATAGATCTATTACACAAACATGACAGACACCTTAAACACGTAAAGACGGTAGCATTGGCAGCAGTGGAAGTCTCATGAATTAAAGTATTATCGTGAAATTAGTATAGCAAACTCATTCACTCATTCACTCCACACATACACACACCAAGCCACTATTTCATCCAATAATGTGGACCAATCATAAATGCACGTTTGTTCTCTCTTCCTATTTCCAAGTTCATTGAACTTTGAAGTTTCAGACTTGTTTGGCACACCCACATGTCATGTCATGACACAAGCATGACATGCTTTTCACAACGAAACACGTGTTAGTTTATGTAAAGTCAAATTTTCTGGAATCAAGATTTCATGACACGCTGTTGCCACGATGGTGCTACTTGACTCGAGCAATTAGAGGAGCAAGCTGCAAAGCTCACGGAGGACTGTGCATTTTTTTGCGATGTATTTCTACAGGCGTTTGACACAATACTTAGTCTCAAGTCCAGATCGCTAGCTGTCATTAAATAATACAGGAACAACTTTAGAATACCCCACCATGCGAACTAAAGGTTTTTTTTTGATCCGCCAACCCAACGCTTCAACTTGTTAAAGTACTACAACTTGGTGCCGAGATATAGACTAGTCTTGAATGGAAATCGCAATCGTGCCGCCAACGTGCCAACGGGCCAACATGAGTTGAGAGACTGAATTTATATCGCCAACGTGCCAACGAGCCAACATGAGATGAGAGACTGAATTTATATCGCCAACGTGCCAACGTGCCAACGAGCCAACATGAGTTGAGAGACTTGAATTTATATAGCCAACGTGCCAACGTGCCAACGAGCCAACATGAGTTGAGAGACTTGAATTTATATCGCCAACGTGCCAACGTGCCAACGAGCCAACATGAGTTGAGAGTTTTGAATTTATATCGCCAACGTGCCAACGTGCCATCGAGCCAACATGAGTTGAGAGACTTGAATTTATATCGCCAACGTGCCAACGTGCCAACGAGCCAACATGAGTTGAGAGTTTTTGAATTTATATCGCCAACGTGCCAACGTGCCAACGTGCCAACGAGCCAATATGAGTTGAGAGTCTTGAATTTATATCGCCAACGTGCCAACGTGCCGTACGAGCCAACATGAGTTGAGAGTCTTGAATTTATATCGCCAACGTGCCAACGTGCCAACGAGCCAACATGGGTTGAGAGACTTGAATTTATATCGCCAACGTGCCAACATGAGTTGAGAGACTTGAAGATAAATCGCCAACGTGCCAACGTGCCAACGAGCCAACATGAGTTGAGAGACTTGAATTTATATCCTCAACGTGCCAACGTGCCAACATGAGTTGAGAGACTTGAAGTTAAATCGCCAACGTGCCAACGTGCCAACGAATCAACATAAGTTGAGAGACTTGAATTTATATCGCCAACGTGCCAATTACGTGCCAACGAGCCAACATGAGTTGAGAGACTTGAATTTATATTGCCAACGTGCCAACGAGCCATAGTTGAGAGACTTGAAGTTAAATCGCCATCGTCTTGGAAAAGGGCTTATGAGAATGAAAAGAGACTGTTTTCATAAATAAAAAGGAGACTGTTTTCACAGATGAAAAAGGGCATTTATGAGAAAGGGAAGGGGCTCTTTTTTAAATGGGGGCGCTTATTAGAAAGGAAAGGGGGCACATGTGAAGATATAAGGTGCGCTTATCAGATTTGAATAGGGCAATTATCAGAGGTGAAAAGGGGAACTTCTCGTATCTGAAAAGAGGCACTTAAATTATTACAGATTATAAAGGGCACTTATGAGAATGGAAAATGAACACTTAATGGGAACTTGTCGAACGAAAAGGGTTCGTGTAAAGAAGAGGGTTTTTATGTCAGAGGTGGAAAGGGGAAGGGGCACTTTTAAATATTAATAGGGGCACTTTTCAAAGTAAAAGGGGCACTTCTTACAAAGTTAAAAGGGCACTTTTCCTGTTTTAAAAGGGGCACTTTTGGAGAACTTGATAAAGTGGGGGGGGGGCACTGTGCCCCCTCCCGGGAGCGCCGCCTCTGATAAACATACACACAACGTACATCACACATAATTATGTGTATATACTTTTATAAACGTTATAATTTTAAATGAAAGTTTCGCTTGTACCAGTTAAATATTCGTCTAATAGTAAAATATCCTAAGCACTAAATGACTAATCGAAACTGTTATATACTCGACCAAATGTAAAACGTTTTGTTAACTATAAAGGTCAGGCGATATTCATCCTATTTCATATACAATCATATGAACGAATTATCTCATGACTGCTCTCCTAATTTGGTAAGTGGGTTATTTACATAATATGTTTGCCATTTTCTCTGTTATTTATTTTGGTTTACAAAATATTAACGCTGTTGATTATGCTTCAACTGCAAGCTTGACTGCTGATACCGAGTGATAAGTTATACTTATAATGATAGTGAAACAAGGCATTTCCAGAATCTGTAGTAGTACCTAGTAGTAGTAGTACTACTACTAGTAAAGTTCAAAGCTTGCGCGCTTCGCGCGAGAGGGGAAAACTGATTTCAGACAAGGATTAAGAGTCGAGAATGGTACAACGAATCGTCTTCTTTCTCTATGAATTTAATGAAACGTCAAAGCTTGCGCGCTTCGCGCGAGAGGGGGGTGGGGGGTGGGAATGATTTCAGACAAGGATTAAGAGTTAAGAATGGTACAATGAATCGTCTTTTTTTTCTAATAATTTTTGAAAGGTCAAAGCTTACGCGCTTCGCGCGGGTTTTCCATATCCACCGCTCCTTATGTATTTGTTTGTTTAAAACTTCTTTTATCTTCTTTTTCTAATTTCCTCATGTTATTCTTTATTTCTCTTTCTTTTCCATTTACATTTTGCTTATTAGCACCTGTCTTTCCTTATGGTATTTTTTATTTCCTCCTTCTTTTAAATTTTCTTTCCATATTATTATTTTGTTTAATCTTCCATTTCTATCTTTCCACAAGTTATTCTTTGTTTTAAACACCCAAGGACACCAGGTCCCCGTCACCCTAGGCACTGGAGTTTGCGTTACCTGTAACTCTCACCCTAATCCTAACCCTAGGACACCGGGTCCCGCGTCACCCGAGGACACCGGAATTTGCGTTACCCTAACTCTAACTCTCACCCTAACCCTAACCCTAGGACACCAGGTCCCGCATCACCCTCCGGAGTTTGCGTTACCCTAACTCTCACCCTAACCCTAACCCTAGGACACCGGGTCCCGCGTCACCCTAAGACACCGGGTCCCGCGTCACCCTAGGACGCCGGAGTTTGCGTTACCCTAACTCTCACCCTAACCCTAACCCTAGGACACGGGTCCTGCGTCAGCTTAGGACACCGGGTCCCACGTCACCCTAGGACAACGGGTCCTGCGTCACCCTAGGACACCGGAGTTTGCGTTACCCTAACTCTAACTCTCACCCTAACCCTAACCCTAGGACACCGGGTCCCGCGTCACCCTAGGACACCGGGTCCCGCGTCACCCTAGGACACCGGAGTTTGCGTTACCCTAACTCTCACCCTAACCCTAACCCTAGGACACCGGGTCCCGCGTCACCCTAGGACACTGGGTCCCGCGTCACCCTAGGACACTGGGTCCCGCGTCACCCTAGGACACCAGGTCCCGCATCACCCTAGGACACCGGGTCCCGCGTCACCCTAGGACACCGGAGTTTGCGTTACCCTAACTCTCACCCTAACCCTAACCCTAGGACACCGGGTCCCGCGTCACCCTAGGACACCGGAGTTTGCGTTACCCTAACTCTAACTCTCACCCTAACCCTAGGACACCGGGTCCCGCGTCACCCGAGGACACTGGAATTTGCGGAGTTCGCGTTACCCTAACTCTCACCCTAACCCTAACCCTAGGACACCGGGTCCCGCGTCACCCTAGGACACCGGAGTTTGGTTACCCTAACTCTCACCCTAACCCTAACCCTAGGACACCGGGTCCCGCGTCACCCTAGGACACCGGGTCCCGCGTCACCCTAGGACACTGGAGTTTGCGTTACCCTAACTCTTACCCTAACCCTAACCCTAGGACACCGGGTCCCGCGTCACCCTAGGACACCGAAGTTTGCGTTACCCTAACTCTCACCCTAACCCTAACCCTAGGACACCGGGTCCCGCGTCACCCTAGGACACCGGAGTTTGCGTTACCCTAACTCTCACCCTAACCCTAACCCTAGGACATCTGGTCCCGCGTCACCCTAGGACATCTGGTCCCGCGCCACCCTAGGACACTGGAGTTTGCGTTACTAACTCTAACCCTAACCATAGGACACCGGGTTCCGCGTTACCCTAACTCTCACCCTAACCCTAACCCTAGGACACCGGGTCCCATTTCTGTTTGATTTTCTTCTTCTTTTGCAGTTTTACAAATATATAACAAACAAAACATTTTTATACATGACAAAAGAGAATATGTGAAACAAAGTAAGGTTGGCTGTAACTAATCAGAAACATCAATCAGGTTTATTTTTTATTGCTTGATTTTCTTTTTCTTTTTCAGTTTTACAAATATATAACAAACAAATCATTGAACATTTATACATGACAAATGATTAAACAAAGTAAGGTTGGCCGTAACTAATCGAAAACATCATACAGGAGGGTTGACAAAGTAAGCAAAGCTTGATAGTATAACTACCCTCAATGGATACATAATAATACAAATATGGAGACAAAAATATTGGTAAAATGGAAAAAAGAGAGAGAGGGAGAAAAAAGGGAAGAAAAAAAATTAGTAGGGGGTGTACATCAAAATGTACAGATTTTTGTGGTAGATGGATTTTTATTGATATATTATGGTTATAGTATATTATTCCTCTATTCCTCTTTTCTTGTTTTCAATTTGTTTTACCCACGACCACTTCTTCTTCTTCTTCTCCTTTGATCTTCATCTTCTCAATTAAACCACAAAGATATTTATGGTCTTCTTTGAAGGTGTCACTGTGCAACACTCTCTAACAGTGATTAACAGTAAATTCTCCCAACGTTTTTTTCTCTGAAACTAAGACATAAATCAGGCATTAAAAAATCTTAATGCTATATTGAGCCAATTCACTGCTTTGCCGATTTACATTCACCTAACGTTACCATGTGCGCATGCGCACCCTTATTGTTATCATTGTTGTAGTATTATTCCTCGATCTATTCCCCTTTCTTTTGTTTTCAATACCCACGACCACTATAGGCCCTACTTGTTCTCCGATCTTCATCTTCTCCCATTTCTCTTATTCTTCTTTTTAATATTATCAATAATGATAATATTAATAATAATAATTCTCTTTAATTCTCATCTGTCTTCGGACTATAGACTCTTTCTATTGTTCTGTACTTCATTCCTCTCTCCTTTGATGACTTTGCCAGGATTGGGTTGTCTGCCAACGATGTCCACACTGTGTGACGTCACCAAACCCTGTGCGTAGCACATCGTTGGTCGTTGTCTCTCACCAACATGCATGTGTTGAACAAAACTTTGCCGAGATTGTTTTGCCTGCCAACGATCCTACGATGTCCGAGCGCAGGAGGGGAGGGGGGGGGGGGGGGGGGGGGGGGGGGGAGGAAACTGAATTAGGACATAAAATAAGAGTCTGTATGATACAACAAATCGTGTTCTTTCTCTAATAATTAATGAAAGCTAAAACCTTCCATGCTTTGCGCGGGGGAGGGGGGGAACCGATTGATGAAACACCAAAGCTTCCACGCTTCACGCAGGAGGGGGGAACCTGACTTCAGACAAGGATTAAGAGTCGAGAATGGTACAACGAATCGTCTTCTTTCTCTAATAATTTAATGAAAGGTCCAAGCTTGCGCGCTTCGCGCGAGAGCGGGGGGGGGGGGGGGGAGTGGCGGGAACTGAATTCAGACAAGAATAAGGAGTCAAGAATGGTACATCAAATCGTCTTCTTTCTCCAATAATTGATGAAAGGCAAAAGCTTCCGCGCTTCGCGCGGGCGGGGGAAAACTGAATTCAGACAAGAAATAAGAGTCGAGAATGGTACAACAAATCCTCTTTGTTTTCTAATTATTAATGAAATTTCAATCACCAGCGGCGTGCCAACGTACTGACAATGGATCATAAATCGCCATCATGCCAACGTACTAACACTGAAACATGAAGTTAATAACGTGACATTTCAATCATTAATTTCATATCGCATTAATTTGAAACAGCTCCCCCAAGTACTTTTAAATAAATAAAATTGTAAATCTCCATCGTGCCTAGAAAGACAAATGTGAATGTTATATTCCTTATTCGGTCAATGGCCAGATGACGGACGGACCAACGCAACGTGCCAACGCTCCTTATTTCCTATATTATTTTCGTTTGGCAATGAGGGACGGGCCAACGTGCCAACGTGCCAACGCGCCTTATTTCCTTTCTTTGTTTGCCATTTAAAGTACACCACAAGTTCCTGATTTTTTTCCCCCCATTACTTTTAGGCTACTTATTTCATATTTTAATTCAGTTTGTCAATGAGGGACGGGCCAACGTGCCAACGCGCCAACGCGCCTTATTTCCTTTCTTTGTTTGCCATTTAATGGACACCATAAGTTTCCGATTTTTTTTCACTCTTTACTGATACTTTCCGACAGTTGTTACATTGCTTTTTGACGATTTTCAAGCAATATAAAGAGTAAAACATTCCAACTAAGGTGAGAACATCTTTAACAATCTATAAATAAAATACTTTGATGTGTAAGAGGTAATAGGAAGGAGTTAAAACATAACAAATAACCATATTTCCATGCTCGACTTGATGCGTTAGCAAATTCAGAAACTGGTCACGAATACGAAAGGAAGGGACTACACTAAATTGGTACGTTGGCGCGTTGGCGACCAACGGAGATACTACGTTTTGGTGGGGTATTCTAAAGTTAAGCCATAATACATCCCCCTAAAGCGCACATCTGCCATATAATACCACTAATAATGAAGTTTAAGTGGTTAATCCAGCCAAGCACTGATCAGGTGCAATCGCGCATCGCATCGGTGTTCCACGGGGGGCGGACCACGGCACACTCGCTCATCGAATCGCCAGAGCTCCCGGCGGCTATCAACAATACACGTTGCTTTATTTGGTTGGCAGCGCAGACTGTCACTCTTCGTCAAAAAAGTACTGGTAGATCTACAGTGCAGAACCAAATCGATACGTAGAAATGCCGAAAATACCGACAACCAGTACAATTTTTTTTAATTTTTACGTAAGCATTATCATTGCATCTTCAATAACACATTCTGTAAGCACTTATATGTTAGAATTACCCCAAAGAAGAGAAAATACGGTAAATTAGTCACCTTGACGCGCAGTCTCGATCTGGATTTGCCACGGAGCTAGCTTGTCAGATTATTCACATGTGCCGTAGCTGGCGCTAGATCACACTCCTCTGTAGAGTACCTGAGGTCATTTTACCGAGCAGGGGCGGGGGGCGGGGGGAGGGGTCCCCTTTTTAATAAAATCTGTAGATTTTACTGCCTTTCTCATTATTTTCACGTCAAATAACAATGCCATCTGTTGACTTTTCTTACTTTACTTTACTCCAACGATGTTATATCCAACTATTTATTGTAAGACAGCAAGTGATCGAATGACATTTGTATCATGGGGGGGGCAGGGGCGTCCCTAAAGAGGGGTACAACACCCCCCCCCACACCTGTCAGGATATTGTCGGTAAAATTGCGCTGCCGTTGGAAAAATGAGAAAAGGGGGAGGGAACAAACGAGAGGGAAAGGGAAAGAAAAGAAAAAGGAAAAGGAAAAGAAAGGAAAGAAAGGAAAAGAAAGGGAAAAAGGGGGAAGGAAAAGAAAGGGGAAAAAAGAGAAAAGAAAACAAGGAGAAAGGGAAAAAAAGGAAAGAAAAAAGAGAAAAAGTAAACAAAGTAACGGGGGACGAAAGAGAGGAGAAAAGAGCCTGAGAAAGGAGGGGTGGGAGTAAAAGAGAGAGGGGGGGGGGGGGGGGTTGTTGGGTGGTGTCGTCTCGTCGAGGGAGCCAGAAAGATATGTAAATACTGTAGAGCCTCTTAAGCGTTGGGAGCCCCAAAAGTTTGATGGCAAAATTTGACTCAAATTGTATTATAATGTGAAAGAGGATTTAATTTAAGACATATTTCTGCAAGGGTTTTCAAAACAAATGCGTTTAAAATCGAAAATTGATGAAAGAATACAAGATTTAGATTTTCTGCTTACAACAGAAAACCCAAATTATTGTTCTGCTTCTAATGAAGCTAACTTAATATCAGGGTGGACTTTCCCTCCCTGTATTCAATAATGAGCAGAAAAGTGTAATCTATTCCTTTTTCCACTAGACCATTTATTTTTCTAACATGTCTCAGCAACAATTTGTTGATATTCTTTCTGCAAAATAAACCAACATTTCAAATATATACAGTGCGTCTATAGGTTTTTTTTTGTTAACAAAACTTTAAAAAGTTACGCAAAACGTTGTTTGAATATATAAAGCTAAAATCTGGCCGCACGTTGCCTGCCCCAGATATCGATTTGCACAATCATGGATTGTATGTACTAATTCCAATCATGTTTTCACTCCGATGGATTGATTATACTCCTTAGCATATAAAACAAGCTAAAATAAAAACACCGTTTCGTTTGGAATAGTAGAATTGTAAACAGGTTACGTTGGGTTCTTGATTATGTGCATGACAATCAAACCTTTCTGATTATCATAATAATTAAAACGCCATATGGAATTGAATCGTAAACAGGTGACCTTGGGGTTTTTATTAGTGCACGGCAATCAATTTTTTCTGATCATAATAATTAAAACACCATATGGAATAGAATCGTAAACAGGTTTCCTTAGTTTCTTGATTACGTGCATAACGATAAAAACTTCATCATGATAATAGTAATAAAACATCTTTGTTTTACAATCTTTTTAGGTGCTCTTAAAAAAAAAACAGATTTGAGATAAATGAGGTAAAAGTAATTATAGTATAAGAGATATTCAAGTCCATTGAATTGAAAGAGTGAATAAACAGGTTAAGATAATAAGAGTACTATTATGGAAATCATATTATCTTATCTAGGTACTCTAAAATGCAAAGACTCTCCAGAGTCATACATTTTGCACAAAAGAAATTTTAATTATTTTGTGAAAAATTGTTGGACACCAGTGGTGGATCCTGGGGGGGGGGGGGGGGGGGCTGAGCGAATTATCGGCTGGCACGATTTTCAAATTTTCGGGAGCAAAAAATAAATAAATTAGAGCTCACTACCCCCCCCCCCTCCCACTCCCACTATGCGAATTATCGGCCGGCTGTTTCGCCGCTAAATATTTTCTCACGAATTGCCCCCCCCCCCCCTGCCGCCGGCTGGATCCGCCCCTGTATATATGTTGCTGTGTCGGGTCAGCTGTGTCGGTATTCTTGCTCGATCCTCTAGTACTATATCAATGCAGTAATTTGAAGTCGGCGAGATGTCTAAAGTTGGTCGGCTGGCAAATTTTCTCGAAGTTTCACCTTCCTGAAATATCAGCAAAAGAAATCAGCGGTTTAGAATTTTCAGGATAACTGAATTCAGACGAGGATTATTTTCGAGAACGGTACAAGGAATCGTCTTCATTTCTCTAATGATTTAATGAAACGTAACATCTTCCGCGCTGCATGGAGGGGGGGGGGGGAACTGAATTCAGACGAGGATTATTTTCGAGAACCAGGGGCGGATCCAGGGGCGGGGGGCACAGGGGGCACGTGTCCCCGCCCCCCCAAAAAAAAAATGGCTCACTCCCCCCTCCCTCCACTGAGCGAATTTGCGGCCGGCGCAATTTTCAAATTTTCGGGAGCAAACAAAAAACAAAAAACGAATGTGCTCTTACCCCCCCCCCCTCCCTCCCCCCCCCCCCCCCTCCCCCCCCCCCCCCCCCCCCCCCCCCCCCCCCCCCCCCCCGCTTATTCAGCGGCCGGCTGAGTCGTTGCGAAATTTTCGGCCCGATTTAAAAAATTTAACTCCCCCTCATGAAAAAATCCTGCGTACGATACTGATTTCACCCCTTGCCATTTTGTGCCCCCCCCCCCCGTAAGAAATTCCTGCATCCGCCACTGACAACGAATCGTCTTCGTTCTCTGATAATTTAATAAAACGTCGAAGCTTCGGCTCTTGCGGAGGAGGGAGGGGGAAATCGCCACTCCCTTCAACCCCCCCCCCCCCCACTACGTCAATGCTGGTCACCATTACGTATACAATAATTGGTCGGCTGGCAAATTTTCTCGAAGTTTCACCTTCCGGAAATATCAGCAAAAGAAATCAGCAGTTTAAAATTGTTGGGATATGTGGTACGGTATGTCGGCACTGAAACAGATCTCGTAGGACTTTTTTTTTGTTTGTTGCATTTTTGGATTCACTGGGGTCCAAGCTATCAAAAATTGATGGGGTTCAAATTTTCCCGAAGACACCAAATTTCGCTTTTGCGCTTTATATAAGCCATTTTGGACCACCCCCCCCCCAGGAAGTGAAGGAGGGGTCTGAAAATTTGAACCCCATCATTTTGGCCAATTGGGACCCTTTTGAAGCCAAAAGGAGGGGGGGGGCGGGTAAGAGTACATATTATTTTTTTTGTCCCAGAAATTGGAAAATTATGCCGACCGACATTTCGTTTAGTAGGGGCGGGGAAGTCACATATACAAGAGCACATTTTTTTTTTTGTCCCAGAAATAGGAATATTATGCCGACCGATATTTCGTTCAGTAGGTGGGGGGGGGGGGGGGTAAGATCACTCTTTAGCACATTTTCATTCATTTTAGTTAGTTTTGGGGTCTGGAGATTCTTGCTTATAATACAAATTCATGTGACTATTGTTATCGTCACAATTATCATACCATGAAACAAAACCTTATCAAATCTTGATGTAGGGCTTGTATATAATATATTGAGCCCTTTATCAACCTGGATTAACATTTTTTTAAATAAATTTAAAAAAAACCTGGATTAACATGAGACTGGAGGCCGGGGGGGGGGTAGGGGGTCTGCAGATGTACCGTGGACAGTAATTGTATCGGATGCATGTAAGAAAGCCATTTTTACCATTTACATTATAGTCTTTTGGCCTTCTTGCGGGCAATCAACGATAATTATGCGCGCTGCTGGCACACTGGATCGTGGCCAGGCGCGAATCCGGGGGGGGGGCGAACGGGCCTTGCCCCCCCCCCCCCGCAAAAAGAGAGAGAGAGAGAGAGAGAGAGAGAGAGAGAGAGAGAGAGAGAGAAGGAAAAGAAGGGAAAGGGAAGGAGGAGAGAAAGGGAAAGAAATAAAAGAGAAAGAAGAAAGGTAGGGGAGATCAGTTGTGATTTTTCCCGCCAACAAGATGTAGATCGGGGGGGGGGGGGGCACTGGTGTACTGATAGGGGAGGGAGATTGGGGGAAATGAAATTTAAACGTGGTTTATTTCTAATTCCATACCGGTGGTTAACAAATAATGCTGATATGACATAATTTTCCGAGATTTTTCCTCACTTTTTGAGTACATTAAACATTTTTATGCCTTTGTTGGAAAATGACAAATTCCTAAATTTACAGTCAGGCAAAACATATGCTTATTGAGAGGCCAACATGTCAGGGGCCACGGAACGGCGGGGCTCGGGGGCCTCGAGCTCCCCCTCCCATTTGAAAAAGTATCTTAAAGAGAAATAGGAAGAGAGAGGAAGAAAGAAAGAATAGTGACCTGCCAGTGTCACAACATAATGAGGTATCAAAATATGCTCATCTGACCGTGATTAAATGCCTAAAAACCCAGAGCTTCCGGGGCTCTGCCCGCTGGACCCAACCAAGGGCCCTAAGTCGGGCCCCTAGATGATCATCTGACGGTAATTTACTGCAATGCATAAAAATCCCTGAGCTTCTGGGGGCTCCGCCCCCTGGACCCCACGCCAATTAGTGTCCTGCTAGTGTCATAAATAAGGTATCAAAATGCTCACCTGACCGTGATTAAATGCCTAAAACCCCTGAGTTTCAGGGGGCTCAGTCCCCTTGACCCCACGTCAATTAGTGACCTGCCAGTGTCACGAATAATGGATCAAAATATGCTTATCTGACCGTAATTAAATGACCATACCGCCTGAGCTTCCAGGAGCTCCACATCTTGAACCCCCGACCAGGGCTTTGCCCCTAGACCCCACGTCAACTTATGCTACACTCTACCTGATCGTTAACACTTTAGCCCCCCCCCCCCGCCCACTTTGAAAAACATTGAGCGGGGCCTGCATGTATTCAGGCGCGGATCCAGGATTTCTTAGGGGAGGGGGCCCAACTTTTTTTTTTTTTTTGCTCCCGAAAATTTTCAAATCGCGCCGGCCGAATAGTCGCTCAGTGGGGGGGGGGGGGGGGGGGGGGGGGTACAGATTACAATTTTTTTTTTTTTTTTTTTTTTTTTTTTGCTTCCGAAAATTTGAAAAACGCGCCGGCCAAAAATTCGCTCAGTGGGGGGGGGGGGGGGGGGGGGGGGGGGGGGGGGGGGGGGGGGGGTAGTGAGCACATTTTTTTTTTTTTTTTGATCCTCAAAAAAATTTCAATTTGCACCCCCCCCTTGAGCGCCAGGGGGGGGGCCCAACCCCAAAAAAAGGTAAAAATCACGTGATTTTACATGATTTTTTTCTCAAGGGGGGGGGGGGGGCCCGGGCCCCCCGGGCCCCCCCCCCCTGGATCCGCCACTGCATGTATTACAAGGGTGGGGTGATGCGGCTTATTTTAGTATCATCGACAAATAGTATGAATGACAATAAAATCAGACAATTTACAGAAATCATTTATATAAAGAATAAATGAGAGTGGATCCAATATGCTACCTTAGAGGACGCCGCAATTAATATTATGAAATTCTGAGTTAAACATTATTCAAGGAAACATTATATATTTTTATATTGGAAAGGTAGCTTCGGATCCACTCCAAGGCCTTGATGAAGTAACATATTGTTGTTGATCGTGTCGAAGGCCTTGGAGAAGTTCAGGAATATGCCCACCGTAGTGTAAAGGTGTATCAATAGCATGTGCCACCTCATCAACAAATGACAATAAAGCATGAGTAGTGCTTTATTTTTCTCTGAAACCAAATTATGAAAAAAATATTATTATTCTTTAAAAAAGAAACAGTCCGAGAATACATTATCTTTTCTTATTATCAAGACTATTATCTAAAACCTCACTTTTATGAGTGGGGTAAAAAAAGATAGAATCAGGTTCCGGAGTACTTAAAACAAAATTAGCAAATTGCTTTTCAGACTCGGCAGGAATATTTTGAGCAAGATTTTCACTGATTAAAGAATAATATACATCAAAGATATTACCAGGATCATCAACAATCACGTAATCATGTCGCATTTTGGTAATGCTTGATTTATTTGTTATTATTTCTTTCTAATCTGCAGGGTAGCCCGTTCACCAATAAGTAGTGGTATTCCATGAGGTCCTGAATAAACATGAACACATTTACATAAAAAAGAATTGTTTAAACAATCTCTTAAATGAGTTGACAGAGGAACCCATTCTCATCTACCTTGTTCCATTTAAAATATAGAAGAAACAATAAATATTGAGCTACATTTTGTCTGAAATCTTCAGAGAGGAGGGACATACTTTCAGTGAAAATAAGTCCTTCTCTTCCCCCTCTTTCTCTCTCTCTCTCTCTCTCTCTCTCCCTCCCTCTCCCATCCCTCTTTCCATTTCTATATCCCATGTTTTTATCACTCTTATCATCCTTTTGTACATAGTCTCTTCTCCCCACCCTTTTTCATTATTCGGTTAAAACATGTTTACGGTGTTATTTGTTTTTGTACTCAAGCACTTTTGACGAACATTTTTTGTATTAATTTTCTACAACATGTATATTTTATAACCAGGCTGGTTAAAACAAAATGATATTGCTTTGAGGGACCTGACTTTTACAAGTGAAGCTTTTCTTATAAGGTCTCCTCATCTTTCTATTTAATTTCACTATTGTTGCACTATATGAACTTGTTCCTTATAAATGTTCCTTTAATGAAATCTGTCACATGTTATACATTTATTAAATTGTATTACATTCATGTTGGAAGAAAGACAAATAATCTTGAAACCTTGAACCCAATTAGCTGTTATAATCAAATCCACATTTATCATTTGCCCCGGTAATGCCATCAGACTAATTGAATCACGAATATCATATTATATCCCACCAATTTTGAATATGAATATCGAATATCCACCCCCTCCAACCAACTTCACGCCGCTTGAAGTATTGGTTTTTTTTTCCCGTAGAGATCATGCTAGTGGTGGGGATTCCCCCCAATCTCGTACAGTCTCTATCAAGATGCGATTGATGACAACAAGAAATGTTGAAATGGTAAAATCTAATTTTATTTTGTGATATCTTTTTAAAGATAATTATTTAATTATTGAAATATTTGAATAGGAATATAAAGTCTAATGATATTACATTTAATTGATTATTCTTTTATTTTAAGTAAAAAATTAGAGCGCCAGAGTCTGAAAATAGATTAAGCTTAAAAGCATAAAAAACGTATACCCGCGCAATGCAAAATACGTGGATGATGTTTGCTCCACGGGTTGGTCTTCACGGTGCATGCGAACGAAGGAAGTCGATTTGTCAGAATTATGGCGTCTGTTGAGGAATTGAGCATTCAAGGAATCAGAGGTTTTGGACAAGATGATGGTGACCGTCAAGTCATCCAGTTCTTCCACCCTCTAACCATCATCATGGGACAAAATGGAGCAGGAAAAACGGTATTATATTTGTAAAATTTGTATGGTCACTTGGCCCTGTGGCTGTGGTGATGATGGGTGGGCAGGTGTGACGGGATAATTGGCAGTGACGTCAGTTGGACAGATATCCCTAGAAAAATGCATTTTATTAGGGTTTTTTGTTTTTCATGTCCACATAGTCGACGTCAAAGATGTGATGTAATTTCGGCGATTTGCGCATGCGTCGATCGGGTCATCTGGCGTCGTCGGGCCAAATTTGTGAATCGTTTATCAATGATTTGAGGTTCGTCAGAAAACTAGTGCCCCGTCGTCTAAATGACGTCATCTTGCTACATCGCAGCGTTAATCAGAAAGTAAAAACAGAAAGAGAAAGTGATAGAATGATAACAAAAAAACAAAGAATAACATAAGAAAAAGTGATAGAAGGAAGAAACAAAGAATAACATAAGGAAAGAGAGAAAGTGACAGAATGACAATAACAGAGAATAAAATAAGAGAAGGTGATAGAATGACAAAACAAAGAATAACATGAAGAAAGAGAGAAAGAAGAAAGTGATAGAATGATAAAAACAAAGAAAAACATAAGGAATGACAGAAAGAGGGAGTGACAGAATGATAAAAACAAAGAATAACATAAGAGAAGGCGATAGAAGGAAGAAACAAAGAATTACATAATGAAAGATAGAAAGAGAAAGTAATAGAATGATAAAAACAAGGAATAACATAAGAGAAGATGATAGAAGGAAGAAACAAAGAATTACATAAGGAAAGATAGAAAGAGAAAGTAATAGAATGATAAAAACAAGGAATAACATAAGAGAAGATGATAGAAGGAAGAAATAAAGGAAAACATAAGGAAAGACAGAAAGAGAAAATGATAGAGGGAAGAAACAAAGGATAAACATAAGGAAAGACAGAAAGAGAAAGTTGATAGAATGATAACAAAAAATAACAAAATAACATAAAAGAAGCTAGGTGAAAGAAGGTAGAAAAAAAAGAATAACGTAAGGAAAGACAGAAAAAGAAGGTTATAAGGAAGAATCAGAATAACATGAGGAAAGACAGAAAGAGAAAGTGATACAAAATAGAAGAAAACTGATAGATAGAAGAAAAGATGAATGATAGAAAAACAGAGGATAACATAAGGAAAGACAAAAAGAGAAAATGATGAAAAATAGAAGAGAAGATGAATGATAGAAAAACAAAGAATAACATAAATAATAGAAGGAAGAAAAGTAAAGTCTGATAAAAAAAGAATTCAAAAAGGTGATGGAAGGAAGAAACATAGAATAACATTAGGACAGACAAAAAGAGATAGTGATAGAATGATAAAAACAAAGAAAAACATAAGAGAAGATGAAAGAAGGAAGAAACAAAAAATAACATAAGAAAAGACAGAAAGAGAAGGTTATAGAAGAAAGAAACAAAGAAAAACATAGGGAAAAACAGAAAGAGAAAGTGATAGAATGCTAAAAAACAAAGAATAACATAAGAGAAGATGATAGGAGAAAGAAACAAAGAATAACATAGGGAAAGACAGAAAGAGAAAGTGATACAAAATAGAAGAAAATGGAAAGATAGAAGAGAAGATGAATAATAGAAAAACAAAGAATAACATAAATAATGGTAGGAAGAAAAGTAAACGATAAAAAACAAAGAATAAGAAAAGGTGATAGAAGGAAGAAACAAAGAATAATATGAGGAAAGATAGAAATAAAATATGATAGAATAATAACAACAAACAATAACATTAGGAAAGACAGAAAGAGAAAATGATAGAAAATAGACAATGGAAAGATAGAAGAGAAGATGAAAGAAGGAAAAACAAAGAATGACATAAGGAAAATAGAGAGAGAAAATAATAGATTAATAAACGAAGAATAACATAAGAAGTGAAAGAACGAGAAATTGAATAAGCGCGTTCGGGGGGCATTACGTCATCGTGTAGAGAACGGGTGTCGACTAAAAACAAAAAGGGTTCTAAGGTAGTGAACAGGACGGGTGTCTGACGCGGTCCTCGTCCACACAAACGAAAAGCCCCTACTAATATCGATAATGCACACCGGCGCCTACGCACGCTCTCAAATCGAACGTATACGTACGGGAGTACAAGTGTGTGACATGATAGCGTTACATGCGAGCGGCCATTAAGCTGCACAATGTGAATCGTCTCTATTCAAGGCTTCTTCGCAAATTCATATTTTTGTTTAACAGAAAGCAGTTTTTTGCACATAACCTCCACGGCTTTACTTGTATGGTTGTCACTTTCCATATATTTTTGATAAGATTTATTTTGTCTCAGAATCAAAATCTTGAGGTTGGAGGGTGTCCCCTGGTGGGCCCATATAGGCTACATGATATATTCAGAAAATAGTATCGATTCTTTAAAATGCATAAAAGATTTTGTGAAATGTCATGCATGCAATATGATATAAATCATATACCTGTAACCTGGGCAAAGGCATGGGGAAATCATGTTTTGGGGGATAAAAAGGGAAATTAATGGGATAAAAATTAAGGCTGTGCATAACCGTGTAATGAGATACTGGAGTACACTCCCATGCTTACAGACGAATACTCGGATATTCGGACGCCATGTTTTTGGGGGAAATTTTTTTTAATTTTTAAAATTTTTAATTTTTGCCACCACCATACTACGGGAGAACATATCAGGCCATTCGTGAGGGCATCTGAAGCAATCGTATGACCGCCGATGGATTTTTCAGGCTCCGGCAGCAACTTCGTGAGCGTTGGCAAAATCTTTGGCGTACCAAAAAATTGCCCGAAGACCTTACGAACGTTCATTTTCATGTTGCATTCGTGTGTCTATGTTGCCATCGGGCATTCATTGCCTCACGAAGACAATACGAAGGAAAAAAGAAGCTGCCTAATTGTCTTCGGAAGGCAACACAACTACGTGAAGCCTTCGCAATGCCATCGTGTAGCCATCGTATTATAGCACGATGACATCGCGATGGGATCACGGTGTCGGCGGAAACAGCCAAATTTAAGTAGCTCAAGCGTTTTCCATAAAAAAAGCCAGCCTCAGAGCCACAGGCTTTTTCCAGTACCCCCAAAGTGCCCCTTCTTACATAGGAAAAGTGCCCCTATAACTTAGTAAGAAGTGCCCCTTTTTACCAGGGAAAAAGTCCCATTTTACCTTAAAAAGTGCCCCTATTACTTTTCTCCATATGATAAGTGCCATTTTTATTTTGACACATGCCTCTTTTCCTTCGACAAGTCCCCATTTCCTTTGCAATAATTATGTGTCCATTTTTTATTCTCAGAAGTGCCCTTTTTAATCTCTAGTAAGTGCCCCCCTTCACCTCTGATAATTACCCTATTGAGAGGTGCCTCTTTAACTTTGACAAGTGCCCTTTGTAGAAAGTGCCTCTTCCCCTTTTAATAACTACCCATTTTTAACTCCGATAAGCGCACCTTTTATTTTCATGTGTGCTCCTTTTCCAATCTAATAAGTGCCCCCTTTTTTGTGATAAGTGCCCCCATTAAAAGAGAGCTCCTACCCCTTCTCATAAATGCCCCCTTTTCACCTATCAAATGTGTCTCTTTTCATATCTGGTCAGTGCCTCTTTTCAGGTGCGATAAGTGCCCCTTTACACCTCTGATAATTTCCTTTTTAACAATGATACGTGCCCCTTTTCCTTTCTAATAAGGGACATATCCCCTTTTCACAAATGCCCCTTTTCAACTCTTATGAATGCCCCTATCAATATTTGATGGGTGTCCCATTTTTGTTGACAAATGCCCACCAACCATTCTCACAAGTGCTTTTTTAAATCCCTGGTGAGTGTCTCTTTTCAGGTATAAGAAGTGCCCCATTTTCACCTCTGATAATTACCCTTTGTACTTTAAAACGTGTTTCTTTTCTTTTTCTAATAGGTGGCTTATCCCTTTCGATAAGTGTCCCCTTTTCTTCCCTTTTAAACGTGCCTCTAATTTAAAGTAACTAGGGGCAATTTTCCCCAAAGCTCGCTCGCTACTCCACTCGCATTTATAGATGACATAACTATGTCACTCATCAAAGGTCTTTTCAGTCTTCTGTTATGAGAATGTGAGTAAAACCCCTTCAGGATTGGTTTTAGTTCTCTTTATAAGATGTAATTTGTCGCACTGCGACCTCACAAATCTTTAAGATTGTCCTCGCTCACATGTAAATATTCAGACCATCACACCCAACTGCAAAGTATGATGCTTAAACAATATCTTGTATTATGTATAAAGAGAAACAAATATGGAAAGCATCCCATTTTAAATGTAATCATAATGTACATGTATATACCAATGTCTAACAAATTGTATATTTCCCTTTGTAGGTGCCCTTTTTTTGTTGGTCTCGTCCCCCACTTTGGAAGTCGCTCCGACGCCCCTGCTCTGAGCATCATTAATCTCCAATCAGCAATTAAAATTCCCACCGTCGGCTGAAGGTTTCATACCATCGGAGATCATGTGACGCCTTCATGACCTAGTTCAGATGCATAATACTCTTTAATAATACAACGTCATGTAGCCATTGTGTGGCCTTCGTGTGGCCTGTGGGTACACTTCTTATTACAAATTTACATCATCGTGTTGCCTTCGTGTGTGGTTAGGGTGCCATCGGAAGCTGTAGGCATCGTACTTGCTTCGGCTGTTGGTTGGCTGTTGACCAAGTTTGGGGCCATCTTTGTGCGAAGTTCAAGTTACCTTCATCATGTGTCCATCTTATGTCAACTTCGGGACAGTGTGATGCGGGCATTAGTGATTTCCATTGTTCCTTAGTTTTATATACTTTTTCAAAAATTCATAACTTCCTTATTAGTTCCGATTTGACTAAAAACAAAATTGCTCTGTTTCTCTTTTTTTCTGCATCTATTAAAACCAAATTATTTTTGGAGTGGACTTAGCATTTAGGGTGAAGTCCAACCTAATAATTAGCTGCTATTGGTAAAAGCAGAAAAACAAGAGAAAGAAATTAGTGAAAGTTTGAGCCATATCCGATTAAAAATAGGAAAGTTATGAATTTTTGAAGTTAATTGTCATCAATGAAACACAAATTGGCAACAATGTGACGTATCTTGCAAGGTCCTTTCTGATTTGCTCTGTACAGAAAATTTCATCTTTTTTTTTTAGTTGTTGATGAAGGAGTAGATTTGTTTCATACAGGGGTTGTATGAAAAAATATTTTCAGTAATACTATTTAGGGTGCATGCATGTACAGAATTTTTTATTTAGGGAAAATAGAAAGTTCTGAATATTTTTAGTACAAAACAAATGGGAAGGGGCCTCGCAAGATACATGTACCTCAAAGAGTTGCTAATTTGTGTTTGATTGATTGCAGCTTCAAACACTTTCTTATTTTCTAATCAGATTTTGCTCAAACTCTCACTGACCTGTTCCTCTCTTTGCTCTGCTTCTATTAAAACTAATGCAACATCAGAGTAGTTAATACTACAGGTGATAATGATTATTATAATGAGCTTGGGTCTGTTATTATTATTTAATGAGGTAATTGCAAGTAATGATGAAATAAACTATTCTTATCAATCTTGACAGACGATTATTGAATGCCTGAAATACATCTGTTCAGGTGAATTCCCTCCAGGCGCAAAGGGAGCACCTTTCATACATGACCCTAAGGTAAAGTATTACACTTCTATTAGAAAAAGGTTCACTTATTCAAAGATAAACTTGAGTTTTGGTAAATATAGAAAATAAATTCTCACATAATCCAACGAAACTTACATGTACACAGAATGTTTAAGATTACAAATAAATGACATGTGCCAAACAATTTTGTTTAAAAAAATGTATAGTGGCTGAGTAGACAGATAAGGAAATCAGGGTAAGTAGGCCCGACACCATGTGCTTAACACAGGTCAAGATGTGCAAATGGGAGCTGTGGTTATTATTGAAGATGATGCCCAGTAAGTTTTTGTGCATTTGTTTTGATTTTACTGGTTCAAACAACCAATCTACTGCAAGATAAACAATCCAGAATAAACCATAGCAATTTTCTTTTAAAAATATCATTCTCGTACCTGAGCTCATGATTTGCTTAAAAATATTATAGGTTATTAAATGTCTAGATTCTAAGCTTTGACTATATTTTGAATTGAAAAAAAGATTGGATCTAAACTTACATGAATCGTTGCTCTTTTGATGTAAAAAAAAAAATGGCTGTGTTGACTGTCATAGGCTGTGTGTAAGTATTTTCTCTCAGTTGGATCCTATTTGTGTTTACCGTAATATTAGACAAATATATTTTTACAAAATGTACAATGCTTATAATAGAAAAACAATTTCAAGAGAGAAAGATATCTTTAGAGAGTTTTTTCAGCTTTTCAGTCATTCAAAGCCTGGTGTATTGCTGATAACCAGTCTAAAATTTTGTAGCCTACATGTAGTAGTCTAACATTTGATAATATGAAGTATTAGCCCTGCATTATTTATTATTAATAAATCATGACCTGTGCCTTTTCTCTTTTCTACTGTTATATACTTTTTTGTAGTATCTATACAACTGTATATACTATTACATGTTCTTCCTTTGTTGATAATAATGATTTTTGATTAAGTGATATTGAAACAAATGTCTATGTACTGTGATTGCACATATATATCATTGTGATACACATAGATGCAGCCTGCAGGTATTCAAGCTGCACATATTCAACAAAGAGCTCCTGCAGCCAGGCATGATAATATTGTTGAAAACCTAAAACTGTCTGTAACTTTAGAGGCCATATTAGATGCATGTATTGTAGGCCAATTTATTATGTGTTATTTTCTAGTATTATTTAGATTAACTGAAAATTTGAACTTTTTTTCTTCCTTAATTAGGTGTAAGATTCTAAAGAATGCCTGGTTGCTATACCCTAGCTTTTTATTATTTCTCTGTCATTTTTTATCACATGATCAGGTGGCTCATGAGACAGAGGTCAAAGCACAGGTCAAGTTGTGTTTCAAAGACAAGGCGGGGAAGGATGTCGTTGTTACCAGAAGTATGTTAGCTACTAAAAAGGTCAGAGCCATATCACTTTGTAAAAGACTAGTTTGCAGATTCAAATGATACAAATGACCACAAATATCCACAGATCTGTTAAACATTTAGAACTCCCACTTCTTACATTTTAGAATAATCACTGCCAAAGTGATAGAGGTGCTTCGTGAATACCTTTTGTTTGCCTTCTTGAATTAATACTTCCATGTATCCAGCATTTGTCTCGATTGGTTTTATATTTTTGAACAAATCATCTTTATCTTTCCATGCGTATTAGACAGTATTTACGAATTGGCAAATGCATTGAAAACTTATGACATTTGTACTGAGGATATATTGATGGGTTCATGCATCCCACTTAATGTCTTGCTGAAACAACTGTTTAATTAAGCCTATGCTGACAGTTTTAAAGGTTGATATCAAGTAGTAATTGCTTCATAAATGAAGTGCACTGGAAATTATGTGTTTCTTCTCAATATATTTGGAATCTACATATCATGAAGTTCTATTTAATGCCCTAAAAGTAATTCATTAGGCCTAAAAAAAAATTGATGTATTGCCCTTCAGGTGCCAAAACATGGGTCAGTCGGTCAGATTTTTTTTTTCCCTTCTTTCGTTCTCCCTCTTTGGGCTGATATTTCTCAGTTTTTAATGCTTTAATACATAATTTTGTATTCATTAAACATTTTTTCCCTAAAAATCGGTTAAATTTTTAGATTTCGAGATTTTTGGGTCGGTCGCATAGGGCAATACAACATCTTTTTTTTAAAGATAAAGACCAGTCATGGTCATGCGATTGCATTGTGAAAGAGACGTGGAATGGATCAGAAAAGGTTGATCATCTAGCATATTGGTGTGTACTGCAAGGTTCTGGAATCATCAAAATGATAAGAAATTTGGCCCAGTTTTGGTAAAGTTACAAGCACTGTACACATAAAGATGTATATAGGACTACGCGACAGGTGTGCGACACTTGCACGATATCTATCAGTAGGCAGTTTCTCGGCAAAATTTGTATAATTACGTATTAGTCAAAACATATTCTTTCACATGATTGGTAATCAGAGCTTCCATTTCATTTTTTGAGAGGGGGGGGGGGCGTTTCCCAAACTGATCTTTACCTTTAAACGCCTTATAGGCCTCATACCGGTATGCCATTTCCCCTCTTTGATTGTAGGAAAAAAGAATTGAATTCAAGTCTTTGGAAGGAACTATTGAGAGAGTGGAAAACTTTGGAGAGGTAAGATATTTAATAATATATGTATAGAAACATATTGAAGAATTGCATAGCAAAGCAACATCTATTTGGATGATAGTAGATTTCTTGAGATTTGTTTTCAATACGTGAAGCAAAGGCTTATACATACATCACTTTTCTGTGTAGATTTATTCTATTGAAAGTTTGTATGTATGTTGCAATGAACATATATCTTGTGTAATTTCTCTTGTAATGCCATTCTATTCTTTATGTTCATGTATAAGATTACAAGTCATTTCATGAAAATAACTTAGGAAGGGTACAGATAGTGAGATGGTACTGTCCATTAATTGATTGCTTTTACTGTTACCCAAGGAATATACTCATTGTTAGAGCTATTCATTTGCATCAGATCATATTATAGACAAATTCAGCATTAATTGTTTCCCCTTGTATATCATTTCTACATTTCCAGAAACCCAGCAACGGTTTGAAATGTGCAGAAATAGATCGAGCGGTAAGAATATTCATATTTCTCCATCCATCTTTATGATACTGTAATTGTTTGTGATGATGGATGCTATCAGAATTTTGTGTCTGTATGTCTTTCCATGTAAGTTGATACACACTGGGGGTTTTCTTCGTCCACTTCCTCCTCCTCAGCCGCCTCCTCCTTCTTTGTCTTCTTCTTTGTCTTCCATTCATTCCTCTTTCTTCTTCCTATTTTTCTTCATCATCTTATTTCTCCTTCTTCTTTTTCTTTTTCTTCCTTGTTCTTCTTCTTGTTCTTCTTCTTGTTCTTGTTCTCCTTCTTCTTCTCCCTCTTCCTCTTCTTCTTCTTCATTCCAGTTTGGTTTGGGGGATTGTTTTTGGTGGTTTTCCTTTTGCAAAGCAGTGAAGGATTTGATTGTTTTGTTATAACATGGGTTGATTTAATTCATGTAAAAGACATCATTATGACACCATTATTTTGATGATATTTGTCTAGATGGTGGAGAGTCTTGGTGTGTCCAAACAAGTTCTTAGCAATGTCATCTTCTGCCATCAGGAAGACGCTAACTGGTAAGATTATCTTTCTTCCACTAATTGTGGTCCCTTGGATTAGTCACAAATTATATGGTTCAAATCCCATTTAAGGGGACAAATCTCTCTATTTTGCCACTCTTCGTAGAGGTGTCGTGGTCAAGTGGTTCAGCGCCGGACTGTTGATCACAAGGTCCGTGGTTTGAGTCTTGCTGCGGCACTATTGTCCTTTGGCAAGACATTGATCTACATTTGCCACACTCAACTCAGGTGACGTAAATGGGTACCTAGCAGGAATGAATTCCTTGAAATGCTAGAACGTTGTAGTGGCAGCACAGCTAAAGCCGTGACAATAATCTCAAAATTTGGAAGCGCTTAGAGACATAATTGTAATTCGGGCAATATAAAGGCTGAGTATTGTTATTATTATTATTAGTACAAAAGAGATGATAGAGAGGTCATAGGTCACCTGATCCGGCAGCATTTGCTCCATGGCAATTTCCTACACTAACTAACTTCAAATGAAGCCAGGATCCAACACTAAAACCAACACTAATCCTAACCCTAACCCTAAACGTTATTGTAAACTCAATTTTAACCCTAACCCTAACCGTACCCCTATAGCTTTGGTTGTAGCAATTGTTGCAGAAAAAAATGTCTCATCACCCATTGGGAAAAAAAGGGAAATAGTGTTCACATGTGTTTTGTGGCTCAAAATCTAATGACTTGAAGAACTTTGTTGCTCATAAAAACATTATTAAGTGCTATTTTAATGTAACTACCAGTATGTTATTATTAAAACAGACAGGCATAGATTTATGTGAAATTTAACAGCAGCTGATGCAAGGTGATGATGAAGACAATTCACAGCATTTGTAGGCACCATATATCTGTTTTGAAAACATTGAAAATCACATACATAGGTATAGAAGATACAATGCTCGTCAGAACTTGTGTTATAGCACCTCAAATAGAAAAACAATCACTGCAAAGGAACTGCAATTGATTGGTTCAATGTGATGATTTATTTTGGTATATATCTATTTGTTGCAAAATGTGAACATTAGCATTACCAAACATCTCTCACTGAGAGCTCTGGTGAACCAATCAAGTGGTTCAATGCATCTCAGAATGATTAAAGGATTACGAACGAGTAATACAAAGCAACAATCTAATACCAACACAAGAGCTCAAGTGCTTGAGAAAGAAAATCAAAGAATGAAGGAATGTTTTGTTAGTCTTGCAGCTAGAGAAATGAGATGCTCAGCTGTATATACTTTGGCTTCCCTGAGGGCTGTGAGAAAGAAAATTGTGAAGGGCTGATCCAGTCCTTTTGCAGAGTCACATCTGGATCTGCAGGGGCAGACCTGCATATAGAGAGGGCACATCGCACTGGTGGTCATCTAAAAGAGGGGCTCCTCGCCCAATAATGGTTGCGTTCAATTGTTATACCACAAGAAGTGCCGTACTTGCAAGTGCCGAAAACTACTAAAAAACAAATCATTTGTCTATGAGAATAAGGAGAATCCCATATTCATTGATGAAATGCTACCTAAGGAGATAAGAGACCTGCGCAAGAAGATGTCACATGCCAGACAGAGGCTAAAGGAAGAGCACGGAAGGGCTTACTTCAAATATCCAGCAAGGCTCTTCTACCGCGACAAGCAAACACAGAAGGAATTGGAGTATAAGAAAGGTTGAAAGTTAAAGACACCCTCAGTAAAAAGAGACAGAATTAAAGCAACAATGAAGGAAAGAGCAAGATGATAAAGCAACAAAAGACACTTTTGATTAAGTTTGTTGAACAAGGAGGGATCATTTATGTTATCGGGTTGTCCGTACGTACGTCCCGTTCTCATGATCGTGTTATCTCAAGAACCGACTGGTGGATTCCTACCAAACTTTGGTCATTTATGCAACTTGCACAGCCAATGAATTAATTAGATTTTGGGGTCACAAGGTCAAAGATCACAGGGCTCATTATATATGCAAAAATAGCCTGTGATCTCGTTATCTCAAGAAGTGATTGATGGATTCCTGCCCTACTTAGGTTATGTATGTATCTTGCAGAGCCAATGAATTGATTAGATTTTGGGGTTACGAGATCAAAGGTCAAAGGTCACAGGGCTCATTATGTATGCAAAAATAGCTCTTGATCTTGTTAGCTCAATGTATGTATCTTGCAGAGCCAATGAACTGAGTACATTTTGGGGTCATGAGGTCAAAGGTCAAAGGGCCATACAAGTATATGAGAAATAGCTAGTAATCACAATATTCTGAGAACCTGTTAATGGATTAAAATCGAACTTGAATTTGAAAAATTGCTTCTGTTTTGGTTTGTAAAATTGCTCTATGACGTAGGCATCATTTTCGACTGCGTGCAGTCGAACTTCCATCTAGTTTCACAACGCGATGCATCGCTTGAGCTACATGTATGATAAAAGAGGCTGATGGAACAACCTCATGCACACCTTTTTTGTGCATTTTTTTCTATTGTAACTGTTTATGTTTTTTGTTTGAAATAGTGGGACCAACATTTGATGCTTACATGATGGATAATAGATTTTAAATTAATGACGCATAACATAAATGGATTAGGGACTTCAAGACCAGGAAGCGATACTTCAATTTCCTGTTAAAGTTAAAAAAGGATGTAATTCTATTACAGGAAACACATTCCACCGAAAAGGACGAAATCTTGTGGAGAAATCAAATCAGATCAAACATAATATTCAGCCTCTGAACATCCATGAGCATAGGAGTGCATGTGTATAATATTGAGAAGAACTTCGGACATTAAACTTATTGATTCGGTCAAAGATAAAGTAGGATGCTTTTTATGTATCAAAGTTGAAATATACAAGAAAATCTTTGTTATAGTTAATATTTATGCACCTGTAGTGACCAAAAGTCATGATTTTAAACTTTTATATGTATACTAGCAGGACCCGCGGAAATCTGTGGGATTCTAGAGGGGGGCGAGGGGTATAAATAGATGTATAGAGACTCTCTAAATTAAAACCACCAAGAACTTTATTTGCCATTCATGAAAAAAAAAATACAACTCTACTGGTAGTCCCTGCGTAGGTTATGCGTAGGGTGGCGTACAGGTTTGCTTATGGTTGCTTACTGTGTGGAAAGCTTTTACTGCTTTGTCGATCTGGCGTATGGTAGCGCACTGTAGGCATGGCGTACAGTAGCGCAGTGTTGCGTAAAAAGGCATACTTTCTGTGTCAAGTTTCTACGCCGAAAGTACGCGAAAAAATTAAACATGTTGAATTGTTTGCGTCCATCTTGCGTAACCCTTTGCGTCCCTCAGCATATAGGCCGGCGTAGTTGGTACGCAACACTACGCAAATCTACGTATGGACCCCAAGCCAATTAGTGACCTGCCAGTGTCACAAATAAAGTATCAAAATATGCTCATCTGACCCTAATTAAATGCCTAGAACCCCTGAGCTTTCAGGGGTTTATGGCCCCTTGAAACCCGTGGACCACACGCCTATATACAGGGGCGTAAATCCGTACCGTGGAGTGGGGGGGATGATCGGCGATAGCCATCACATACTCGCCCGAGCACACGCCCACACTAATTTACGCCAGCGCGCGCGATCGCGCACGCATAAACACACACAACACACACACACACAAACGCACACGCACACGCACACACGCACACACACACAAACGAACAAACAACAAACAATATTAGAGAAAGAAGACGATTCGTTGTACCGTTCTCGAAAATAATCCTCGTCTGAATTCAGTTCCCCCCCCCTCCGCGCGAAGTGCGGAAGATTGTACGTTTCATTAAATTTTTAGAGAAAGAAGACGATTCATTGTTCCGTTCTCGACTCTTAATCCTCGTCTGAATTCAGTTCCCCCTCCACTCCCGCACGAAGCGCGGAAGCTTTTACGTTTCATTAATTCATTAGGGAAAGAAGACGATTCGTTGTACCGTTCTCGACTTTTAATCCTCATCTGAATTCAGTCTATCCCTTCCCCCCTCCTGCGCGAAGCGCGGAAGCTTTTACGTTTCATTAATTCATTAGGGAAAGAAGACGATTCGTTGTACCGTTCTCGACTTTTAATCCTCATCTGAATTCAGTCTATCCCTTCCCCCCTCCTGCGCGAACGCGGAAGCTTTTACGTTTCATAAAATCTTTAGAGAAAGAAGACGATTCGTTGTTCCGTTCTCGACTCTTTATCCTCGTCTGAATTCAGTTCCCCCCTCCACTCCCGCGCAAAGCGCGGAAGCTTTTACGTTTCATAAAATCATTGGGGAAAGAAGACGATTCGTTGTACCGTTCTCAAATCTTAATCCTCGTCTGAATTCAGTCCCCCCCTCCTCCCGCGCGAAGCGCGGAAGCTTTTACGTTTCATAAAATCATTAGAGAAAGAAGACGATTTGTTGTTCCGTTCTCGACTCCTTATCCTCGTCTGAATTCAGTTCCCCCCTCTACTCCCGCGCAAAGCGCGGAAGCTTTTACGTTTCATTAAATTAGAGAAAGAAGACGATTCGTTGTTCCGTTCTCGACTCTTAATCCTCGTCTGAATTCAGTTCCCCCTCCTCTCCCACGCGAAGCGCCTAAGCTTTTACGTTTCATTAAAGAATTAGAGAAAGAAGACGATTCGTTGTACCGTTCTCGACTTTTAATCCTCATTTGAATTTAGTTTTTCCCTTCCCCCCCCCCCCTCCCGCGCGAAGCGTGGAAGCTTTTACGTTTCATTAAATCATTAGAGAAAGAAGACGATTCGTTGTACCGTTCTCGACTTTTAATCCTCATCTGAATTCAGTTTTTCCCTTCCCCCGCCCGCGCGAAGCGCAGAAGCTTTTACGTTTCATTAAATCATTAGAGAAAGAAGACGATTCGTTGTACCATTCTCGACTCTTAATTTCTTTAAAAAGGGGGTGGGTTTTTTTCTCTCACTCTATGGACTCCTGAGAAATGTAAAAAGGAGGTCATAAAATATCTTGAATATCATAGAAAAATTGATCAAATCCCAGGATAAAATTCCTAAAATTCCTGCTAGCTTTA